TCTTATAACATTTTAATGACGTTGCCTGAAGGACTGTCAATAGATGGCAAAAAATCTATACCAGTCCTGAGGCCTCATTATCATCTGGTCGCAAATAGTTGCGTTGCGTCTGCGATGCGATTGCGATCGCAATTTGTAACGCATGCGATGCGTGATATTATCAATTAAGCGCAATCGCAGACGCAAAGCAATCGCAAAACAATTAAAACATAAGTTGCGATCGCAAGTCTAGAGTGTATTTTGGCGCGAAATTTAAAAGGACACTGGCGCTAGTTTTTGACATTGATTGATTGAAATTGATAGAAATCCAATAATTGATATGATTTGATTGGGTGCGCATGCATTACACTTGTGCAAGGCATAAGTGCGCCAAAATGCAAATCGATTTACATTGAACAGACGGTAGTCGAAGAAACATGTCGAGGGCAAGGAATTGGACAAATGATGAACAAGAATTATTATTAAAACGACAAGTTGTCATGTTACTGAAACTAACTGAAATAAAATGAACTTTTGGCCGTTGTTGAAAATCTAACTCTTTCCGACGAGTCAACTTCAATGCGACGGGTGATGCTTGAACAACAGATACAGAGTACATGTCTATGTAAAAAAGAAAATTGTGCTTTTTCATTTTTAAACTATTAAATTTAACAACTTAGTAATTTGCAGTGATATGCATTTATTCTATTATGTAGAATTAACAACGTTTCTATTCATATTCAAACTCGATCAAATAATATTTAATCTATATCTTGGAACATGGTTAAACCTATCTCGAAATACTCTTCGGCCAATACGATTGTGGTGATCCAGAATGAAATGAAACATCTTGGTGTTCTTGTACTTTTGCAGACGATGTAGGTGAGGTACATATACACTAGGAATACTCAGAACATTAGTGTAGTAGTGGCAAGATTAATTCACCAAACAAGCTTTATTAGCTGGATAAATATTTAATTGGCGAAAATCCTATGCTCCAAAGAGCACGAAATATTGCAGGCACCAATCTAAGACGTATACAGTATGTGATGCGTTCGCAATATTTAGAAACAAACGTGATTTTTAAGGATTTACAGGCTCAATTAAATGTATATTTTAATCATATTAAATAAATAAAATTGAACAATTTCTTCGATACTATTGATTAATACTTAACAGGTAGTGAAATGACCGATATAAAACACCACAAAATATCCATTAACATAGATAAAATAACGCTCAAAGATGAACTAGATTTGCGATTTGATTTGCGACAGGGTAAACGTCGTCACAACTTTTTGTTTAGTTGCGATCAGAAAATCGAAAACTTTGCGTCAGACTTGCGATGCGATGGAATGATAATAACATTTTTGGGAAATAGTTGCGTTGCGATGTCTTGCGATGCGATTCGCATGCGATTTTGCATTGCGACCAGATGATAATGAGGCCTCAGGCTCCCATTTAATGTGCAATGTACTTTGGTGAATAGTTGTAATATTTCTAATCTATGATCTATTTTTGCCCACATTTAGTTTGCCAGGGTGAGTGTTTACATTTATACTTTGCTTCATATAAATTTAGCTGTTATTCCCTCCCACATACTCTCTCTGCCAAAATTTAGTTATGGCAGTCCGGGGATAAGTGGTTTGGGTGTGATACTCGCTTCACAATGTAGTGTAGTTCCATTAACCGCAATTGTTTTTGCTTTAATCCTCAATTAGGCTATCACTTGTTTTGTAATGTAAATCCAGTTGACCATATTAATAAGTATTTGTTAGAATAGATACCACCTTCCCCTATTTAACCTCCATTTCCCACTGCACATCTCTAACCCTCCACACATGAGCACATATTTAACATTTTTTAAACACTTGCGTTTTTAAGACCATGAATAGAAGCCACAATGTCGAATGTATACTATCTTATCTCTATGATGCTGTTAAGGAGAAACCTCTCCATTATGTTGTTATTTTTGGATAGATAAACAAATATTGTTTTTAAACATTACTGATGTCAAGACTTTTTGCTCAAGCTTTGTTGTTGATTTTATTGTGAGGCAGCTTAGTCTTCTATCAGTTTTTATGTCACCACCACAACACTACAAGTGGTGACATATTGTTATGGTCTCCAACTGCCAACTGTTTTGTGTGGACAGTGATCAGTATTTGGCAGTCGGTGGTCAGTGTTCGACATCTGTAACAAATGGTAGGTGGTGACATTTTGCATGCTAATGCCTTGCCTTTTTATATGTTGCTTGATTGAGGAACATAAATGGGATGATTGTTTGAATTAATTTCTTCAGAGGAACTGCACAGAAGAATTCAACTCCAATCAGCCAATAGATATGTTAATCTATTAGTTATTTGAATCTGCTTTCTTTACCACATCCCATCCAAATAGATACATCACCAAATTTTAACTCATTCTGATTTCCAAGAGTTCACTTTTAGCTATGCTTGCAAGATTAGAGTAACCACTTCACAAGAAGAAGCTACATGGATTATCCTTCAATGTTTTCACAACTCATGTGCGATGTTCATGCATTATATTTACAATGTACTCATATATTGTGTTTAATTTAGAAAATACAATCATGTATTGTTGAACTGTGGGAAATAATCACTCTAAAAAACTTGCTTTTTGAATTAAGGATTTAAATCTGTGTTTTCATTAACCAATATTAACATTTTTTTACAGAATTCATGTCATTGAAATGTCAGTGTTCATCCTGTATTTATATCCATCCGGGCAATAACTCAAATACCGTTGGCCCGATTTTGTTCATATTTTGTAAACATATACCCCATGGGTTAGAAGTTCTGCTCTAAAGCCGATTTTCAAAATGGCCACTCATTCAAAAATGGCGGCCATTTTAGTGCCGATTTTACAGTAATTTAGGTACAATATGTAAAACTGTAATAGCAACTCAAAAAGTAGTAGAGCGATTTTGTTCATATTTGGTATGTGAATACCATAAGCATGGCACACTGTCTAATGACACTTTTGGTAGAAGGTGGCCATTTTGAAAAATGGCCACCACTTTAACGTATTTTACTATAACTCGAAAAGTAACGGAGGGATTTTGTTCATATTTGGTATGTGAATACTATAAGCATGGCACACTGTGATGACATTTTTAAGGTGGTCATTTTGAAAAATGGCTGCCATTTTTGCTATATACTTTGTAAAAATGCCAGCCATGGCTGTTCGATGGGATTTGCTACGCTTTGGCGTTGCTGTTGTCTAGTTATCCTCTTGGTGTGTTGTATACATGTATTGGATGTGATTCATCAGGTTTTTATTGAAACGAGACCCTCAACTATAGTCTTATAAATATTCATTGATGATTCTATGATATCAAAAATTGTCAATGTTTATAAAAAACACTGGTTGTTATTGGCTTGGCCTAATACAACCATTTGCTACATGAGTAGATATTATCTCTAAAGCATCAATACTCTATTATACCATGCTGCTCTTGTCACACCCTGGTATAAAATACAAAGGAATAAATGGCCGTTCGTTGTGTATTCTCTCCAAATGAAAGCCTTAGAGGGGAATTAAAAGGAATACTTGATGTATTTCCAAAGTATGATCTATTTCAGAACACCAGAAATATCTGGCATTATAAACTTATGGATTTTGGGGAGGTCATATTATGAATAGGGTATATTTCATACAAGGATGGGTTCAATTTGGCGGATACAGGATATGAAATATATTCTCTCAAATCAGGATATGTGGTGATGAAGGGAGGGGGGACTCTTGGAGTCAACAGTTTAAAGGGGGTTGTTGCAATAGGAAACCACAATCAAGACCCCTTGGACTTTTTAGCATGTTTAGCCATATCACATATAGTATCACATATATATGTCCAGTTTGCCGATGCTCGTGTGCTTGTGTCACTTGACAGGGTTTCACTCGATTTTCATTTGTGCTTGGAGATCAAATCGGAAAGGATTATCTAGAGTAGACTTCTGCCAATCTGCTAGCCTCATACTGATTGCACTGAGTAAATGATTATGAGAAAATGAAATACATATAGTCTGTTAAGTTTACTTGATTGTAACTTAGTATCAAGGTACATCAAAAGGAGTTCCGACCTCTCATATTTGATAGATGCTCAATGATGCTGAGGCCCAAATAGATCAGTGACTTGCTTTGGCTCTATGTTGCACCCTGCTTACCATTGTGACATTGTCACAGTGACTTCAATCAATTAATGTATATTTATTTGCCACAATGTTTGTCATGGAGGATTCTAGTCAACTCAGATCTTCGTTAACTTGAATTATTTTGGTTAACTCATTAAAATCATTTATATTTGTTGTTGTTGAAACAATCTTTGAATCATTTAGATTCTTCATCCTACCATTATATAGACATCTAACCAAATGCTCAAAGACTTACAAATAACTTATTTGACAAATTAAATCAATGTTTCAGTCCATACATCATAAAATCACTTTTATCGAGGACTTGAGTTGACAAAGGTCTGAGTTGACAAGGGTGTGAGTTGACAAGGGTCTGGGGTGATTTGGATTGGGTATTTTGACTAGAGTTTGAGATCCAACAAGGTATTACAATGACTGAAGGAATACATTGGTTGAACAGTATAGAGTTGACTAGGGCTTCAGTTAACTAAAGTCTGAGTTGACTAGCATCTGAGTTGAATAGGATCCCATCTTGATTTGGATCTGAGTTGCTGGGGTCAAAGTTGACTTAGGACTGAATTAACTAGTTGCCATAATGAAGCTCCAATATCATAAATAGAGACATTTCCTGAATCCAGCCTTTCTAGTTAACGGTTAAAATCAATAAATGATGAACATTCAATAAGTTCAAATGATGAACATTTGTTCCATTACGTAGGATGCATATCACTAGGACTGTCACACGGAAGATCAAACATACAATACTAAAACTGAAAAACTGTACGAAGTTGAATATCTGCCATAAAGTTCTAACATTGGGGATTATGGCGGCTGTACTGACATTTTGTTATGTTTTGTATTTTTTAGTGGGTTACAGTCGCCTGTCAAACTCTCTAGATACACGGTAAGTGTTATTGCATTTTGTTTTTGTATATTATATATCATGAAATTTAAAAGAAGAAAAATTGATTCAATTTTAACATGCACAACGTGATCCATGAGAACTTCCATTACCTTATTATCAGTGTTCTGCTTATATATACATGTACTTGCAATTATGTAAATAAAATGACCATATTTGGAAATATTTGTGTATCCCACGAAGCAGTATGACATGAACAATGACTATATTAACAATATTATGAAACATATAGTTCAACAGTTGATTTTTCATTTGTGTATCCCAGGATGCAATATGACATGAACAATGACAATATTAACCATATAAGGAAACAAATAGTTAAAATATTCAATTTTTCATTTGTGTATCCCAGGATGCAATATGACATGAACAATGACAATATTAACCATATAAGGAAACATATAGTTAAAATATTCAATTTTTCATTTGTGTATCCAGGATGCAGTATTCCGTGAACAATGACAATATACTACAGAATGAACTGAAACAGTTGCATAAGAGAATACAGATACTTGAAGATGGGTAAGAATACATCCACTATTGTGTTAAAAATAAACATCTAGGCATGATATATCATATTTCAACCAATCAGAGCACAGTCTATGATATAATATGCATTCTATATTTTTCATCTAAGAATGGTTATTTTTAGATTCAAATTTTTGCATTGTGTGAAAATAATTTAAGCACTTGACTCAATGAATTTGGGTATTTAATGCACTCATGTCTAGTATCATCCATGCTTAAAATTGCCCACCAATCATGCAGCCTGGGCTTAACAATTAACAATCAGAACATTAATTAAAACAAATACAAATAATTTAACAAGAACGATGTTACGATATTATTGGAATATTACAAAAATCAAAAACAAAAACCTTCTGTCACTTTTTATTCACATTATAAATTCAATGTTTACACTTTTATTGCTATTTTGAAATTGACTTCTTGTTGAAACTTGAAATTAAAATCAGAAAATGTGCATAAAAAAAGTAACCTAAAATCAGTATATGATACATATTTTTAAAAAGTGTACCATTATGTGGCACTTAATACTCCCTCCTGGGGTTCATAACCACTATAGCCTATACACTGTATATGTTACGTTGATTTTTATAATATGAGATGTATGGTTTTCTTTAAAATGAACAAGCTATTTTTAAATTAAGCTTGACATTTGATGATGTTTGAAATTGTTGCTGTAATGGTCTGTTGTCTCTTAAAGTCTGAGTATAAGATAGAATTTTCATATTTTAAGATGCTAGGTGAAATAATATACAATCATACATGTACAATACAATACAATACAATGCAGTACAATACAATACGATACAACACAATACAATACAATACAATACAATACAATACAATACAAATACAACACATGTACATTGTATAGATCTACATGTCATAGTATGACCTTTTCAACACCTCATTTATATTAATATAAATGGAGTTGTTAATTGATTGTTAAACAAGTTTAATTAACACTGTCTGCTTACAATCTCTATAATGAAATGGCTTTTTGTTTCATCAGCTGCATGGTTAAGCCTTTGGGCAATGTATGAAAAACAAATCAATATTCGGTAATTTTGATTGCTCAACAGTAGCAAAAATGAAAATGTTATACCAAACATATTGATAAAGTATACTCGTAATTGAATAATAAAAAATGATAATATGTATTGTTAGTACCTCAGTGTGAATACTCGCATCTGATTGGTCAATTAGCGGTCAACATTTTTGCCTGTACCCCACCTGTGCATCATGGGATATCATATTGTTGACCGCATTTGTTACTGTACTACACTTGTGAATTATGGGAATATGACGTCACAATGTTTAAAGAAAAACATGGCAGACTGAAGTTTGATGAATGTGATATTTTGACTTTACTAGACGACAAGTATAGCAAAAATACAAATAGAAACGTAAGATTAACATTAATTTACTAATGAGTACACATTGCTGGCGTGGTTCGGAGAAAAGATTGTGAAACCATGGACTTCAAATAAGCTAGAAGTCCATGGTGAAATGAAGCCATGCCGATTGATGATTGTCGTCTATATGTGTATTATTAGTTTCTTCGGACTAACAAAACAATTGTAGACCTCTCCATGCGGTCAACCGTCAAAATCATATACCTCGACTACAGCTTGAAACTACTGTTGACCTCGACCTTCGGTCTCAGTCAACAGTAGTTTCTCGGTTTACAGTCTCGATATACAATTTTGCCGGTTGACCTCTGGAGAGGTCAACAATTGTATATTGTTAGTACCTCAATGTAAACACTCACATCTGATTGGTCAATTAGCAGTCAACATTTTTGCCTGTACCACACCTGTGCATCATGGGATATCATATTATTGACCGCGTATGTTACTGTACTACACTTGTGAATTATGGGGAATATGACGTCATAATGTTTACAGAAAAAAACATGGGAGATGGACATTTCGTAAACGTTGATGAAAGTGATATTTTGACTTTGCTAGACAAGTATAGCAAAAATACAAATAGAAACGTATAATTAACATTAATTTACTAGTGAGTACGCAGTGATGTGCCGAAAACAGAGAGTTTAGCTACCACTGTCTTCAGATTTTCTTAAAAAATCATTGCTGGCGTGGTTCGGAGAAGATTGTGAAATGAAGCCATGATTGATGACTGTCATCTATATGTGTATTATTAGTTTCTTCTGACTAACAAAACAATTGTAGACCTCTCCATTCGGTCAACGGTCAAAACCATATACCTCGGCTGTAAACCTTGAAACTACTGTTGACCTCGACCTTCGGTCTCTGTCAACAGTAGTTTCTCGGTTTACAGTCCTTGAAACTTGAAACCTTGAAACTACTGTTGACTTGACCTTCGGTCTCTGTCAACAGTAGTTTCTCGGTTTACAGTCTCGGTATACAATTTTGCCGGTTGACCTCTGGAGAGGTCAGCAATTGTATATTGTTAGTACCTCAACTGAAATACTCGATTCTGATTGGTTGATTAGCGGTCAACAATATGTATTATTATATACCCAATATGTAACACTAATCCTGATTGGTCAATACCTAGTCACGTGTTCCGAAATAGATTTACTATTTCCCTCGGAAAGTTATATTCCCTCAAATGTGACGTCAGCGGGAATATACATTTGAACTATTGCCCGCTGACGTCACAATTGCAAGTTCTATTACCCTTGGAAACGTCTGCGCATCATCACTGCGTAGACGAAAAACAGAAAAATGGAGGATGAGCACAAACACAAATCAACTCCGTTCACCATGACAGACGTGCATGAACGATACAATATAAGCAACGTGTATAAAGTTCCATAAGCTCAATACGTCTGTGTAATTTCAAGTGTTATGGTAATTTATTCTGCGTGTTAAACGCGATTGAATTTGTCAAGTGAGAGTCTCAGAGGCAAAAATTTCTGTTGAGCATCTGATGACGTCACAGCTTATAATGCTAACAATGGACCCGGGGAGGGGGCTTTCTAAGACTTTTTGGCCTTCGCAGAGGAAACGGGAAAAGAGTCAGTATAGGGTATATAATAAAACAAATAGTGACTGCCTAATTTCGAGCAATAGTGTAAATGATTTCCCCTTGGGAATATCCTCTACAATGTACTATTCCCTCAGCCTGCGGCTTCGGGAATAGTACATTGTAGAGGATATTCCCTCGGGGAAATAATTTACACTATTGCCCTCAATGGCAGTCACTATTTGTATACTGTTGACCACTACTAGGTACTGTTGACCGCTACTTTTGAAAAATAAATGATGTCATAATGTTTACAGAAAAAACATGGTAGACGGACGTTTTGTAAACATTGATGAAAGTAATATTTTGACTTTACTAGACGACAAGTATAACAAAAATACAAATAGAAACGTAAAATTAAAATTAATTTACTAATTTTATACCTCAACTGTAAACCTTGGTTTACAGCCTCGGTATACAATTTTGCCGGTTGACCTCTGGAGAGGTCAACAATTGTATACTGTACTACCCTTCGGTTTTGTTTTATAACATGGTCCCTCTGTCAAAGAGGCAGGCAGATAAAATGTACACTTAATTGTGTTTTTTTGCTGTTTGTAGTAAGAAGACATATCCAGAAGTGGATTTCCTCAACTATAAAGATAGAAAAAGAATTTTGGTAAGTGTACTTTGCAGTAAGATATATTGTTGCAATATGTTTTAACAGTCAAATTTGTTTTGACAGTCAGACATGTTTTTAATAGTCAAATTTTTTGAACAATCAATATTATGTCACCACCAGAAGTGCAGAAGTGGTGACATATCGTTATTGTCTCTAGCTTTTTTTTGATGTTGTTCCACAGTTGGTGTTCAGCATTGGGCAGTTGGTATATGTAACAAATGGTAGGTGGTGAAATTGTACATGTTATTGCCTTTTATTTAGTTGACAAACTCATGCTAGAGGGCCATGAAGACACTTTTGTGGATGATTTCAATATTTTTCACTCTGTTTTCAGGTAACTGGAGGTGCAGGGTTTGTAGGATCTCATTTAGTTGACAAACTCATGCTAGAGGGCCATGAAGTGACTGTTGTTGATGATTTCAATATTTTTCACTCTGTTTTCAGGTAACTGGAGGTGCAGGGTTTGTAGGATCTCATTTAGTTGACAAACTCATGCTATAGGGCCATGAAGTGACTGTTGTTGATGATTTCAATATTTTTCACTCTGTTTTCAGGTAACTGGAGGTGCAGGGTTTGTAGGGTCTCATTTAGTTGACAAACTCATGCTAGAGGGCCATGAAGTGACTGTTTTTGATGATTTCAATATTTTTTACTCTGTTTTCAGGTAACTGGAGGTGCAGGGTTTGTAGGATCTCATTTAGTTGACAAACTCATGCTACAGGGCCATGAAGTGACTGTTGTTGATAATTTCTTCACTGGGAGGAAACGCAATGTTGAGCACTGGATTGGCCATGAGAACTTTGAGCTCTTACATCATGATATAGTTAATCCTTTATTTATAGAAGGTAAGATGATGTTTCTCTGTAAACCTGTAATTTTGCCATCTTTCAGGATTGCAATTGTGATTGACCCAGGCTAGGCTAGTGCCCACTTTACAAAACACCACATTTTAGCCACGATCTTTCTGCTTATTTCTGAACAATATTCATTTTATTACATGCCTCGTCACCTTGATCATTTTCTCCTTCAATTACCGATTGAGTAGAGCTCTCCCTAAATGTGAAGCCACATAATATAACACACTAGTATTTAATCTGATTCCTCATTACATTTCCATGTATTGCATCCTCTGTGGTGGGACATATTCCGCTGTCTTGTCAATGAAATGACTATTTATTCTGTTTCAGTTGACCAGATCTACCATCTAGCATCCCCAGCCTCCCCGCCATTCTACATGTATAACCCTATTAAGACAATTAAGACCAACTCTATAGGAACAATCAACATGTTGGGATTAGCCAGGCGTGTTAGGGCCAGGGTGCTTTTAGCCAGTACATCAGAAGTCTATGGAGGTCAGTTACAAGCAATATTCACATAATAGAGGCTTTGCTATATACATTTGAAATAGCATTAAAGTGAAGCTACTTTTGGCAGTTTCTCCATATAAAGGTATTGTATACTGGCCCAACCAAATTACTACTGCCATTTGTGTATTCATATTATTACAAGACCTCTAGTAGACAAAAGGCAATTGATCTGTTTTTAGACCTTTCAGGACAAACAGTGTATTGTTGTTTTTCAATCCTTTTGTCAGTTTTCTCCATATAAAAATATGGTATACTGCCCCAACCAAAATACTAATGTCATCTTTTTATCCATCTGTATAATAAGTCCTCTATAAGACAAAAGGCAATAAAAAAAGTTTTTTAACCTTTTGGGGTCAAACTTGTATTGTTGATTTTCAATACTTAAACCAATATTACTGATTCTTGGTTTATTGGCCGTTATTTAACTTGACTCAAGGCTTATCGCAGTCATATTAAAAGTGCAGAGACAAGTTTAGGGTAACGTTTCATTCAAAACATTTTCAACATTTTAAACTTTTGAACTTTTTATAATGTTTGCTTCTTACATTTTACACTCATCTCTATTCTTTGCTACCACCTTTAGGCAGGCCTTATGTAGATGATTGATTTGTTGAAATATTTACATGTAGGATTTAATACTTTTGGATGTACTCAGATTAATCATGGGCTTTCAACTAGAAGGGTAGGCAACTGGGTGTCTACAAAACAAAGACCTAAGACCTAAGACCTACAAAACTAAGACCCCCCACGTTATAAAACTAAGACCCTGTTATAAAACTAAGACCCCCCATGTAATAAAACTAAGACCCTGTTATAAAACTAAGACCCCCCACGTTATAAAACTAAGACCCTGTTATAAAACTAAGACCCCCCACGTTATAAAACTAAGACCCTGTTATAAAACTAAGACCCCCCACGTTATAAAACTAAGACCCTGTTATAAAACTAAGACCCCCCACGTTATAAAACTAAGACCCTGTTATAAAACTAAGACCCCCCCACGTTATAAAACTAAGACCCTGTTATAAAACTAAGACCCCCCACGTTATAAAACTAAGACCCTGTTATAAAACTAAGACCCCCCACGTAATAAAACTAAGACCCTGTTATAAAACTAAGACCCCCCACGTTATAAAACTAAGACCCTGTTATAAAACTAAGACCCCCCACGTTATAAAACTAAGACCCTGTTATAAAACTAAGACCCCCCATGTAATAAAACTAAGACCCTGTTATAAAACTAAGACCCCCCACGTTATAAAACTAAGACCCTGTTATAAAACTAAGACCCCCCACGTTATAAAACTAAGACCCCCCACGTTATAAAACTAAGACCCCCCACGTTATAAAACTAAGACCCTGTTATAAAACTAAGACCCCCCACGTTATAAAACTAAGACCCTGTTATAAAACTAAGACCCCCCACGTTATAAAACTAAGACCCTGTTATAAAACTAAGACCCCCCACGTTATAAAACTAAGACCCTGTTATAAAACTAAGACCCCCCACGTAATAAAACTAAGACCCTGTTATAAAACTAAGACCCCCCACATAATAAAACTAAGACCCTGTTATAAAACTAAGACCCCCCACGTTATAAAACTAAGACCCCCCATGTAATAAAACTAAGACCCTGTTATAAAACTAAGACCCCCCACGTTATAAAACTAAGACCCTGTTATAAAACTAAGACCCCCCACGTTATAAAACTAAGACCCTGTTATAAAACTAAGACTCCCCACGTTATAAAACTAAGACCATGTTATAAAACTAAGACCCCCCACGTTATAAAACTAAGACCCTGTTATAAAACTAAGACCCCCCACGTTATAAAACTAAGACCCTGTTATAAAACTAAGACCTCCCACGTTATAAAACTAAGACCCTGCTATAAGAATCAGTCACCGTGCCTTGCTCTGCTCGCCACAAGGTAGTCTTGCCTCTGGGCCTTGTGTTCCCCAGTAACATACAACAGCGGATTATATAAAAATGGACTGTAATAAATACCCGGATTTGTTGATTTTTAAAAAAAGTAATTTTTTGATATCACTTTTTGTGCCCGGCATAAAAAGTGATGTCCCATTTTATGCCGGCATAAAAAGTGATATCCCATTTTATGCTGGCATAAAAAGTGATGTCCCATTTTATGCTGAGCATAAAAAGTGATGTCCCATTTTATGCTGAGCATAAAAAGAGACAGGGGAAGTGGTCCTAATTATCGCACGGTCCTAATTATCGCACGATTGTCCTAAATAGCTAAATAGATCTTTTAAACCAGTGTTACGAAAAACAGTTCAACACCATTACTCCCAATCTTCATGATTTATTCATATATTTAGAAATATCTCTTCATTTTTTAAGAATTGTTTACTTCCGCCATTGTCATAAATGCTTTTGCGCAAGAAGTAAAATTCGTCTGACAAATTTTGACCCCCTCCAAATAAAGACAGAAAAGTATGTGTATAATGTATATTTTGTTGATATTTTACACTAAAACTGATAGAAAAATGATTACAGCATATGTATGTATCTGTTTTAAACAGAGAAATGTATACAGTATCGTGAAATAACATCTGAAACATAACTGTGCGATAATTAGGACGACTGTGCGATAATTAGGACCACCGCACATGCGAGTCTAAGGGGTCTTAAAGTGTTAGCGTTCCGAGATTGAGAAATGTCAAACACTACTTAGATTTTAGAGGAAAGGTTGATCTTTCGTCTCATATTCTCAAAGTAAGTTGAAGTTATCATATTTGAAATCGTCAGTAGTTTCCCTGAGTACCCGTGCGATGATAGGACGACTTCCCCTACTCCATTTTATGCTGGTATTGTTTTGGAAGTGATGTTTAATGGTAGTTCAAGATTTGAGACCCATCATTCTGGCACAGATTGCTGAACCATTGTTAGTTAAGAATTCCTAATAGAATTAAGAATTATTAGCTGAAACTGAGTTGTTTTGCCCTAGCAAACAATTTTCCAACTTGTAGTTCAACTTCTTCTGTCTATTTGTTGACAGTCTGTGATGTCATCATCAATCATCACAATAGAAATGAGGTAATTCACGATGACATCACAAAGTACTCTGATGACATCATCAATCATCACAATGGAAACGAGATAATTCATGATGACATCACAAAGCAGCTCTGTCATAGATAGAACTCTGCCACATTTCTTAGAAATCAAACTACTATGTGACATCATAGATAATCTCACTGTCACAGATAGAATTCACCTAATTCCCATTGTGATGATTGATGATGACATCACAGACTGTCAACACATATAGACAAAAATGAATTTCAAATGCATATTGGGATATTGTTTGCTAGGACAAACAGAACAGTTTCAGCTATTATTAATTCTTAATTCTATTAGGAATTCTCAACTAAAATAAGTTCAGCAATCTATGTGAGAAAGATGGGTCTGAAATCTTGAACCACCATGTTACTAGGGAAAACAAGGGTCAGTGGCAAGACTACCATATGTGTATGTTACTAGGGTAAACAAGGGCCAGAGGCAAGACTACCATGTGTAGAATCTTAATGTTAGTGGGGAGAATCTGTATATTAGAAGGGAACACAAGGACCAGAAGCAAGACTACCTTTTGTAGAATCTTTAAGTTAGTGGGGAGAATCTGTATATTAGAAGGGAACACAAGGACCAGAAGCAAGACTACCTTTTGTAGAATCTTTATGTTAGTGGGGAGAATCTGTATATTAGAAGGGAACACAAGGACCAGAAGCAAGACTATCTTTTGTAGAATCTGTATGTTACTAGGGAACACAAGGCCAAGAGGCAAGACTACCTTGTGGCGAGCAGAGCAAGGCACGGTGACTGATTCTTATAACAGAGTCTTAGTTTTATAACGTGGGGGGTCTTAGTTTTATAACAGGGTCTTAGTTTTATAACGTGGGGGGTCTTAGTTTTATAACAGGGTCTTAGTTTTATAATGTGGGGGGTCTTAGTTTTATAACAGGGTCTTAGTTTTATAACGTGGGGGGTCTTAGTTTTATAACAGGGTCTTAGTTTTATAACGTGGGGGGTCTTAGTTTTATAACAGGGTCTTAGTTTTATTACGTGGGGGGTCTTAGTTTTATAACAGGGTCTTAGTTTTATAACGTGGGGGGTCTTAGTTTTATAACAGGGTCTTAGTTTTATAACGTGGAGGGTCTTAGTTTTATAACAGGGTCTTAGTTTTATAACGTGGGGGGTCTTAGTTTTATAACAGGGTCTTAGTTTTATAACGTGGGGGGTCTTAGTTTTATAACAGGGTCTTAGTTTTATAACGTGGGGGGTCTTAGTTTTATAACAGGGTCTTAGTTTTATTACATGGGGGGTCTTAGTTTTATAACGTGGGGGGTCTTAGTTTTATAACAGGGTCTTAGTTTTATAACGTGGGGGGTCTTAGTTTTATAACAGGGTCTTAGTTTTATAACGTGGGGGGTCTTAGTTTTATAACAGGGTCTTAGTTTTATAACGTGGGGGGTCTTAGTTTTATAACAGGGTCTTAGTTTTATAACGTGGGGGGTCTTAGTTTTATAACAGGGTCTTAGTTTTATAACGTGGGGGGTCTTAGTTTTATAACAGGGTCTTAGTTTTATAACGTGGGGGGTCTTAGTTTTATAACAGGGTCTTAGTTTTATTACATGGGGGGTCTTAGTTTTATAACAGGGTCTTAGTTTTATAACGTGGGGGGTCTTAGTTTTGTAGGTCTTAGGTCTTAGGTCTTTGTTTTGTAGACACCCGTAGGCAACTTCCCATATTTCATACATAAGCATTGCCTTTGGGTTTTCAAAATTGGAGAATGTACACATTCCAAGAAAATCTTATTTTGTACTTTTTATGGATGATTTAAAGAAATAACTCAAAAATAAAAACATGATTATCAACAAACATGTTGATAATTTAATAAAAAATGGAATTTATCATAATTATGAAAATACAGAAAGTGAACATTCTCCCACAAATTATGTTATTATTGGAATGTGTTCTTTAATAATTACCCACAATTCAATGCTCAAAGAGAACATCTTGGTACATGGTACCTCTTATTCTTATTGGTCTTTTTTGTTTACTTTTACATGATATTGAATATATTTTATGCTTTAATCATATTGAAAATTGATTTTTATTCAAAATAATACTAAAACATATACATTTATTTAATACATGGATTAATCCAACCTTAAATGTGAGCCTTATATGGCATGATCAGTAAAAAAGATTTCTTAGTGGAACGCTTAAATGTGTTCCACTTGCAAGGTGTTCCACTTTTTTGCCGTTTCCACTTTTTTTACCATTGTTATATTTTTCTTACAGACCCGGAGATTCATCCCCAGCATGAGGAATACTGGGGCCATGTTAACCCTATAGGGCCCAGGGCATGCTATGATGAAGGGAAAAGAGTTGCTGAAACAATGTGTTACGCTTATCAGAAGCAAGTGAGTTAACAACTTAGTAAATCTCTCTTTGAACAACTAGTGAAAGACCAAATACAGTGTCATTGCTTAGGTGGTGCAAATTGTGACTCCTCCAATATTTACGACAGAGTATATTGTTTTTGAGATATAAAATGGGTTTATTGAACTCTGTCTACTTGTTTCAGGAAGGTGTAGAGGTGAGAGTTGCCAGAATCTTCAACACATTTGGTCCTAGAATGCATATGAATGATGGCAGGGTGGTCAGCAACTTCATATTACAATGCTTACAAAATGAACCAATCACAGTGAGTCTAATATTCACTTCATCTCCCTTTGCAAGTGCTTACAAAATGAACCAATCACAGTGAGTCTAATATTCACTTCATCTCCCTTTGCAATAACGCAGATGCGAGTAGGTAGTTACCAGTTTCACCACCAGGTGGCTCGTTCGGGTCAGATAACATGGCTGGTATAGTAGAAAGTTCCCTTTAACTTAAATAACATCTGTTTTAGTGGTTCAATTTTCACATAACCCTTATGTATCTGATAGTTATGCAAATAAAAATATGTCCAGTAAATGAAAATGCTATCTGACCGATACAAGAAAAGATATTTCACTTTTTGTGATTTTGTAACATGGGCTCTATGGAGAATCAACCCGAACTAGAAGTCACACTTTCAAAGATAATTAAATTTTCAAACTTGATAAACAATTTTCGAAACCATATTTCTAGATGTACTTTTACATGTAGATTTCAAATATAACATCGTTTTTACTGAATTTTGAATATTTAATGGCGTAAATCAAGATTTTTTCTACTCGCATCTAGTCTATTGCTTACAAAATGAACCAATCACAGTGAGTCTAATATTCACTTCATCTCCCTTTGCAATTGCTTACAAAATGAACCAATCACAGTGATTCTAATATGAGTGAACCAATCACAGTGATTCTTGTATCCACTACATCTCCTGTTGCATCCTTTTACCTCTGCAGAAGCTTAAATAAATAGATGTACTTGTTCGGGATGTCAGTAACGGGTCATCTCAACTTCAGTTCAACTCCATGCAAAATACCACCAAGTTTATGTTTAACCCGAGTGAAACTCAACTCACTTAAATTCATACCCAGATAACTCAAACTCAGCTCTCCAAGAGAAAAAATACTTAACAGTGAAACTCTCAGATAAGAGGAAAAAAGGTAAAACTGTACTGTGTTATACAATTCTTATCCTTTTGTTAACTCTCTTTTGTATATATTGTATTCTGTATATTTTTATTCTGTCTCTGTAGATATATGGAGAAGGGAAACAGACAAGATCCTTCCAGTATGTCAGTGACTTAGTAGATGGCCTAGTAGCTTTAATGAATGGTAACTTCAGCTTGCCTGTTAACATTGGAAACCCAGATGAGCACACCATCATAGAATTTGCTCAAATTATTAAAAAATTAATAGGTGAGTGTAAGACTATATTACAGTGTATTAGTTATTGCTCAAATTATTAATATTTAGAAAGTAAGTATACTTCATTTATGTTTCTTTATTGAATGTTATTGTTCCTGTGGTGTTAAAGTAGGCACTAAACAGAATGGGTCTTCATTCGACTCACATGACTTGTGTTACTGGAAATAAATATGTGCCATGTTCCCCATCAGAATCTGTCTCATCAGAAGGCCAAACTTTTCCCAAGAGGGGAAAGACCCCAGAATTCATTGATGGATTTCCATGTACATATTGATAAATCTCTTGAGATGGAGATTGGTCCATCTAGGAATTCTGGGTTATTCCTCTTCTCACTTTCCCCCATCCCATATTTTAAATACTTTTCTGAAATTTTGAATTTTGTAAGAACATGTCATATAATTGAAGATACATGTATGTCATCCTAATTATGTTTCCTCCCCTCAATTATATTCACTGGTGCCACCTGGTTATAGAGACGTTACATCTTTTTAACAAAATGGATGACCTTCCTTTGGAGGAAATTTTAATTTTCATCATTTTCACCAAGAAGGAGGTCGATTCGTATCCAAATATTTTACCGTGTGTTAATAGTAACATCATGTTACTGAAAATCTGGTCAATCATGAGATAATATATCAACCATCTCCATTAATTGAGTGAGAATTCCTCACTTCAGGAACCAGGACGTTATCTGGTGAATTTCATAACATCTTGGTTGCTTTGCGTTTTGTCCCATTAACGCCCTGAGGGGTCATTCATCAAGCTATTGCAAGCATGTTGCAAGCCTGTGATGTCGCAAGGGCCCTTTTTAGCAATTACATCCTTTTTAATTTAATTGCCCAAATTTTAGCGAGCGATGGTACCCAGTCGCATTGATTTTACTTCAAGAAAATAATTCGATTCTTTATGAAATTATATGGAAATTTTACCACATATAGTTCGAGATTCGATCCATGATATGTTAAAATTGCACAACATTCCAAGTATGATAAGATTTCTCAGTATTTCCCATAACGACATAACGTCTTCATAACCAAGTGGATACCAGTGATATTACATAGAAGCCCCTATTGACATTTCATATTACTATACATTATGATATTGCAGACAGTGCAGGCAAGAGTAAGTAAACATACTTCCCCTGCCAAATAACAATCCAAATCCTGTACTTTTCACTATTTTACGATTTAATAAACAATCCTGCATAATACCTCTTTGCATAACATGCAAATCAGATGTTGACCTGTAACTCATTCAAGACATTGATTCCCCTTTTATAACATATACCAAGTCTTAAGTATTTTGAGCCTGAAATATTCAACATTTTAGGATTGAAGTATTAGAATACCATATAAGGCTTGACCACTGAATCATCATGCCATGGTTAAATAACATATTCCATTGCAACAATCATATTCTAATAAAAACCTAATCTAATGAGCTTTTTTCATAGGATGACATTTATGCCATATCATGCTTCAACAAGAAATTTTGACATATTGTTGGAACTACCATTTCTTGTGACCCGCATCGCTATTGGTGCCAGTTGTAAAATCATGCTTTTGTAATTTAAATCTGGTGGTAACATGTTGTAAATCAGTTGGTGACATGTTGTAAATCAGTTGGTGACATGTTGTAAATCAGGTGGTGACATGTTGTAAATCAGGTGGTGACATGTTGTAAATCAGGTGGTGACATGTTGTAAATCAGGTGGTGACATGTTGTAAATCAGTTGGTGACATGTTGTAAATCAGTTGGTGACATGTTGTAAATCAGGTGGTGACATGTTGTAAATCAGGTGGTGACATGTTGTAAATCAGTTGGTGACATGTTGTAAATCAGTTGGTGACATGTTGTAAATCAGTTGGTGACATGTTGTAAATCTGGTAGTGACATGTTGTAAATCTGGTGGTTACATGTTGTAATATTATGCCTTACAAGTAGTATGATCAAACTTTCTCCTTTTGTTTCTATTTTGACAGCTTTCACTATGTCTTTTAATGGACTAAATTTTCTGTTTATGACAATCTAATAAACCTGTAGAAGCAGAACACCTATAGAACTCCAAAAAGTGTTCCTTATGGGAGGTGTTCATCTTCCAAATTGGAAACCATGACTTTCAAAAGTCTTCTGTATTTGTTTACAAGTTTTACTGTAATTTGAAAACATACTTTGAAAATATGATTTTTATTTTCTGAAGTTTTTTTTAACAGTAATTGTGATATCAATTTATGTGATATACCAGTTTGAGCATTTACAAGATATGAATAAGAAATATTAGTGTTCCAATTATTGTCTTGATATTAAGCTTTGAAATCAAGTTTTCTTTGTGTATGAAACATTATTCATTAAAATTGATTGATTGCATCCATGCAACTATTATATTACCCGTATGGTTATATACAAGGATCAGTTTCCTTCATCCCAGATTTTCCCTGTACCATTCTCAATTTCTCCATTGTTTTAGGAAGTGATAGTAAGATAGAGAACCAGCCTACTTAAGTCCCGCTCCCTACATGACTTACAGTTTAAGCTTTTGAGCCTGTAATGTTTATTAATGTTTCAGGGAGTGATAGTGAGATTGTTAACAAGCCTGCTATGACTGATGACCCACAGAAAAGGAAGCCAGACATATCCAGGGCAAAGAAATACATAAACTGGCAACCAAAGGTAACTCATTTTATTAGGAGTAGTTTAACAATAGAGCAGAGCAGTAGAGAACTTGTTTTTACAAATTTTGCCAGGTTCAGAAAATTATATGTCCGAAATATTGTCTTCATAATGTTATCCAATGGGTTGTTTCTTGTCATTAAGAAAATTAAAATAAGGAAAATGATCAAATTTGAACATTGGGCAAATAAACCACTTGGATTTATACCACTTATACAGTATTTCTCTTGTAGTGTTATCATGCATCATATTGACACTAAAGTTATGGTCTGTATATACACAGGCAAATTACATCGGATCCTGTACAAGCCGGTCTGAGGCTCGTTGAGTCAACAGGCCCTGTACAATCTTGTACAGGCCTCGTTACGAGTCCCGTAATTGCTTATAATTTTCAAGCCTTGTAATAGCTTGTTATTACAAGGCCCGTAATAGCTCGTAATTTTCAATCCACGTTCTTGTCCATACGGTGCCTGTAACGAGCCCCGTAATAAATTATAATTTTCGATCCCCATACTTGCTTGTACGGCGCCTGTAATGAGACCCGTAATAGCTCGTAATTCTCTAGCCTTGTACTTACCTGCATGATGCCCGTAACAAAGCCCGTAATGGCTCGTAATTTTCGAGCACTGTACTGTTTAACTCATTTGTGAAGTCCAGTGAAATTGTTCAGATTGCAGGAAAGTTTTCAATTTTAAAATGGACTTTTATCTAGGTCCAGAATATTTAAAAAGGGAAATACATGTTCGTGATGATCTATCTACATTTCCAACTCTTGAGTTTAGTGTAAATAACTACATGTACATCGATGGAATAACTTTTATGTGCCTGATGTCTTTAACCTTATTATATTTTCAGGTAGATATGCTGTTGGGTATAAATAAGACAATAGAATATTTCCGCAATGAGTTGCACAGATCTAAACATAGTGAGAGAAACCTTCACCCACCAGAGTACGTGCATCGTGTAGCACATCCTTAAGATCTACTATCCTGTATATGCCTACATAAAAGCCCTCCGAAAGGTTTGATGCTGATGGCTTCATCTTAAAACAACATGGAAATGGAATACATAACAACTAACAAATGAAACTAATGTTCAAAGTACTTAATTATCTTTAACATGATAATGACTAGGATGAGCCATATTTAGGAAAATTCATTTGCAAAATGGCTGGATTTACAATTGTGTTCAAAGGGTATTCAAGTGGAGAAAGGGCTACATAGGATTACATAGTCTCTAACAAAATACTTCTCAAAGTTGATATCCCCAGGGTGGGGTCATATTTTAACAAAATAGTTTTGATATTTTATCATTGATAAAGAGATCTAAGTGATCCCTCATTATGTCTTCTTTATGATTTTTGGAATTTAATTTAATGTTATGTTTTAGCCAATATGGCCATATTGTTTTGTTTTTTTATTATGGGTTATAGATATCTGATGGGTTCCATATAATGCACCCATCAGGTTTTAAACTTATGATTTTGTATTGTACAAAAACTGTTTAAAATTAATTCATTTTTTAAGTTTAATGTTCACGAGCATTGCCTCACAAAAAACTCCCCCAAAAAGTAATCTTGCAAAATTGCTAGTAAGTTGCAATCTAATAAGTGACCCAACATGTTCTGAGATCTTTGAGTTTTTGGTGAATTCACCATAATAATCTCAGCTGTTGATATTTACAGGAAAGGTTTATGTCATACACAGGCCCGTAGCCAGTTCAATGGGTTCCAGCTTATCCCCCCCCGGCCAAAAATTCTTTCAAAATCATGTAGCTTTTCCCCTTTCTGAGCCCTTTTCACATGATTTTGGCCATTTTTTGACCAAAATTGTCTAAAGTGAACACCCACTGGAATTTTTCCAAAAGTGACCCCCCCCCCCCCCTTGGCAAATATCCTGGCTACAGGCCTGATACATGTCATAGTTTATCCGTAATAATGCTGTGATTTATTGTAGAGTTTTTAGTGAGGCACAAGAAGTGGATTTAGAATGTTTTAAGTTTAATTTTTATTATGTTATTTTACCATGGTAAGTTTAATTTTCTTTTTTAATTGTTTTTATTTTTATTATTTAATTGTTACCATGGTAAGTTTGATTTTCTGCTTTGAAGTGTGCAGGCAATATAAATGTTTGTTATATAGGGTATTGAAGTGCAATATCTACATACTGCCTTTGTATTGTAAATGTATTCATTTTACATACTGTAACTGCTTCATTTGGTACCTGCTTCATTTTGACAAATATAACAATTTACATCAAGGGTGCATTTTTGAACTGCCCGAGGGAAGTACATTGCATAATATTTAATAAATATTCCCTCGAGGTATCATGAAAAAGAACAATGGACCCATACGTTGCAAATTACATGCTCACATGTTTTCAACAAAAACTGTTCATTCAGGCCCACTTAACCTCTTGAATACCCAGAGTGACGGATATATCCGTCACAAATGAAACCCATTTGGGACCCAGAGCGACAGATATATCTGTCACAGAATTTTTCACTAAAACTGCTCTAATTTTGGCAATTTTTATCCAATCTTCACAAATTATGTTTTAAAATGAATGTAATGGGTCCATGTTTACTATTCTTATGAAATCAAACATCAACTATTGCGTTTTTAGATGTAAATATAAAAAAAACTGGCAAAAAATGAAAAATGCTCTGGTTTCAAACCCTTTTTAGAGGCTGGTATTTAAGAGGTTAAACCGCTAATTACGCTGTGGCAACCTTTTCGGATGCTCGCGTGTGTCAGCCGCGCCAGCTTGTTGCTAGTGCACCACAGGAGATTGATTGCAATAAACCATGATGTCTTTCAAAAGAATTATGTGAGTGTTAGTGTGCACATTTTGTTTTGTTGAAAACAAGCGACCATGTAATTTGCACTACGGGGGCTTTTTGTTCTTTCTTGATAACTGGGGGAAATCTCATCACCTGTTACACAATGCACCACTGCCGCGGGCAGGCAATTCAAAAGCGCAGTACAAAGCTCAAAATTGATTGCCTCAAAGGTTGTGGGAACAAAATGAAGATCATATTGCTGACATATAGTGCATATAGTGGCTGGTATTAATATCATGTATCAACTTGAACTTAGCCCAAATACACCAAATTAAACGGCTGTTGAATGCCAAAAATCTCAAGATTAGCTTATTAGAATCTGTCAAAGTAGCCTTAGGTTGTATTTTTGAATCTTCATGAAAAAGATCAATGGACGGTATGAATTGCATGGTCGCATATTTTTAACAAAAACAACTCATCCAAGCATACTAAGACACCAAAGTTTGTTTCAATGGTACTCCTGTGGTGCACCAGTGATTCACCGGAACAAGTCTACTGGGAAATTTTGCACTGCCGTATAAAAGGTTTAAGTGCGTTGGATGAACTTTTATTGTTAAAAACATGTGAGCATGTAATTTACATTGTGGAGCTTGTTGTTCTTTTTCTTGATACCTGCTGGCAAGACTCATTAAGTTCTGCGCCAGCAAACGCACCACGTGTAGTTCCAAAAATACAGCCTAATAGTTACAATAAATCTGTAAAAAGTTGCATCAGAAATTTGCCAATTGAAATTTCTAGCTGTGATGCATAATCATGAACTGATTATAACAGTGCACTTTAAATGTAAATATTGCTGATATTATTTATGATGAACAAGAATGTGCAAAGTGATTACGTTAATAATGACTAAACATTGATGTAAATGATTGTAAAACCACTGACTTCACAAGGTCTATGATGAATGGATTACTATAGACTACTGAAGGCTTATTCCCATGAAACACTAACAGCTAATATAGCAAGATATAACAGTAGAATTATCTGTATTGAAGAAAGCCATTTTCCAGGAAGATACATGTACTTGTAAAATATACAGTACTGTTGCTTCATCTTTTATTTGTAGGTTTTTAGGTCAAAAAATTTTCTGTAGCCTAATCTTTCTAAAAAGACAGATCATCAGATGGATATTTTTAGAAAAACTGTATTTGGGGTAGTTTCTTCAATACAGTTTTATTCAGTTTTCATTTCTGGAGTTGAATCAGTCCCTAAAAACATTGAATGTAGAGAAAATGACTGGTAATTGCTGTGCACATTTGTAATTCATTTTTATGCAGATAATTTAATTTTATTGGAGTTTCTAATTACAGTAAAGAGATAGGTTGGCAATGATGTAATTTGGATGTAATTTAGAGTGCAAAGTTGTATTAAGAGTGAGGTTAAAGACAAATCTAGGGACAAACATATATTTGAGAGCAAATAAAGATGAATGCCTCAAAAATGACATTCTGAGGCCTACTCCAAACATCCTTGCCTTGCTAAGAAAGGTACTGACAGAAGACTGTGTTCTCTAACGTTGAGAAAATGATGGTCTGAAGTATATCTACTGATCTAGGTGTCAATGTACCAATGACTATATAGATTATACTCAACTGAGGCCAAGACAAAGATGAAATTTGTTTTACATCCCATCATTATTATTTATTGATAGAAAAGTGTGTGAAATATGCTTTTAAATGAATAATATTGACTTGTTCTTGCATATGAACTTAACTATTTCTAGTGAACAGTATTTTCCTCATAGTTGCTAAAGATGGCAGCATACATGTATATTATATCATATTAGCTCTATCTCTAAATATGATTGGGTGCAAAACAAACAATGTCTTGGCCTTATCTGAAACATTCCAAGTACATTAAAACTTGCGTTTATCACTGCAATGTAGTGTCTGCTTAAACAGATTTTACTGTACTGAGAAAATATTATGTAAGAATGATGAAAAGTGTATTATATATTTACGTGGCATACTATCTCTTTTATTTAAGACATTGATGTATTGTAAAATCTATAAAATCATAGACACCTGTAATGAGATAGATAAATTAAATCTTAATATATACAAGATAGAAAAGTGAAACCTGTAAAGTGGAACATCTCTCGAAGTGGGTCACCTCTGTTGGTGGAACATTTTTAGAGGTACGAAAGTGTTCCAGTTAGACAGGTTTTATAGAAATGTTTACAATGATCTCTGCGAATGTTAATTATGATAATCATATTAAGTGAGGGATTTTATGGCTAATTATCCCCAATAATAGAGATGACGTTCCTTTGTGAATTCAGTGTGTTACTGATGAATATTTTCGTAATATCTTTGTTTGTCAAAGAATAAGTAACCACCCTACTTTCACTTAGTTTCATCGAAAGAAATTATTTTTATTGTGCCATTTCTATAAAATAAAAGTTTTTCAAACTTGAAATAGAGTCAACTTAATTCTTTGGCAAATATTTATATTTTAATTCATCGCTTCACTCTGGAAAAAGTATGATACATAATTATAAGCCTGTTGTAGCCATATTGCTGATTACATGTAATGATTATTGAAAGTGATGTTTTATAGTCTTAAATCTTTGATTTAATGTTTACAGTTTTTCGAGCAACAGGGAAATTTATCTGGATTTCATGTTTCTTTTACAAGACTGTATCTGTTGTATTCTATGTAGGTGTTTTTGGAGAATTTAATACTTTTGACAAACTATTCAATTCAATTTGAATAGTTTACTTGAATTAATAGTAATGGCAAACCACTTGTACTCTGAGGTTGTGCGTAAAACAAATATTTGTGTATATATGTGTTGTCATGGTGATGCTTGTACATGTATATATTGGGCTTATGAATTGTAAATATAGGTACCTGGAAAAACTGTTGAATATATTGTAGCGACTAATCTTTTGTTTATTTGCATGAAATTATTGACATGTTTAGACATTGGCTTTGAAAATTGTCTTCAGAAACTGTAAACCAAGGCCAGTGAATACCATTTGTCATGTCAGTTCAAAGAATTATTTTCTGCATCCTAGGTTGCTATTATGCTCATTAAATAAAACATATGAATGAAAGAAAAGTTTTATACAAATAAATGTAGGCTGAAAAAATTTAATTAATAAATTCTAAAGTAAGCAATACTATATTTGTTTGTCTGTTAATATACATTTTCATGAGATCTATCTAATGCAATAGGGTCTGACCTTGAGAATATTTTATGCTTCATGGAGTTGTCTTCCTACAGAAATCCCCTACTCTACTTGAAATAAACTACTTTTCACGACATTATGGTACAATTATCTTTGAGATACATTCAAGTTATATTTTTGTTTATGGTAACACTTGAACTTCATTGTAGTTTTGTGACCCCCTCCCCTTTAACATTACATCATCGCATGCTATCAAATGCACAACTTAAGCTTTTTAGAATTTGAAGTGTTCCATTATAAATACAATATCAAATATGTTACATTTAATATAATATCAAGTAAGTTGAAATAAGCATGAGAACAATATTGAGAGGAATATTAAAATAATTTTATTAAAACTCATCTCATATTTTGACAATGACAACGTATTTTTTAAAATGCCTTTGTGTCATATTAATGGGTGCAAATAATACAGCGAGTATATTGAAAAATTAACATATGTTTATAAATGATTCGCAGTTTGATTTGCTCTATAATACTGTTAGTGTATGTCAACTTGACCTAAGTTGCCATGTATGAGTCATTCCCAGACGCTTATAGTTGTCGAACAAGCCCTTGCCTGTCAACTTTCCCGGGACAAAATGTAAACAAACATTGTTTCGTGCAGTGCAATTTCTAAATTGAACAGGTTTACTAATCCATCAACATTATTAAATTTGCAAATAATTGAAGTATAAAAATAGAAATAAACTAAGTGATGTGACTTTGTGATACTCATTTAGTGATAGAAGGATTTTTGAATCAAGATTAAGATAAATTTCGCCGAAATTGACGACCGTCTATTCCAAAATTTGTTGATCGGTCAATATAATTTTCTAACACGTCTCAACTTGCAAAAAAATAAACAAAAATATTTCAGTGATATTCAGATTTGCAATAATTTTTCGAGTGCCTGGTCGCAAAGAGAGAAATGACAGCATTGTATGAAGATGTATTAATAATAGATATAAGCAAAAATAATATAAACTTGATAATTTGGGTTACAATTAAAACGTTATAGCAGTGTTTAGAGTTGAACGAGAATTTCCAGGGATTCGTTTACTGCACGGCGTTTATACTGTACATCTATTGTGGAGTGATAAGATTTGTTTACGAAGAAAGTGTACCAAGGTAGGATTATTTTACACCATTTTATATATTTAGGGAGTTTTTGTTTTATCATGGGCTAGCCTTTTAAACTAGAATGCAGTCGGGGCACATGCCAATGTTATTTTCTGATAAAACGTTTGAAGACTTGGTTATTTGTTAGCTTTTTCCCAAAAAGATTTTATTTTCATAAGCTTGGTGGCAGGATCCCTTGGGTCGGCCCAGAAAAAAAATTAGGGCCCCAAAAAAGAAATTAGGGCCCCAAAAAAGGCACATATTTGAGGTCCTTCAAAGAAAAATTGGGCAAAACTTGGCCTTTTGGGCCTATTTTAGGCCAAATTTTCACAAACGGGCCTAACATTTTTTCCTTAATTGTAATGTGGCTCTTGGATCCGCCAGTGAGTGGAAATATTAACTTTTTATCTTTAAACATATTAGTTGACCGGAGAATTTTATTTTTGTTATCAGTAGCAAAAGATATCATATCTGGGGCATGTTGAGCCATGTATATAAAGATCTATAGTATATTTGCATCATATTCTCAGGGTCAGATCCAAAGATTTGTCTGTGGGATCAAATTTTTTTAAATCCTAAGAAATCCTCATAAATCTTTCGTCCAAATTCCAATTTTATCCAAATCTCAATAGTCTGAGTCCCATTTGTCTGAATCCCATTTGTCAGAATCCCATTCATCCAAATCTATTAACGCTTTATTTTAAATCAAGATAAAGATGCAAGAAATGTGTGAATGTGGAATATAAAACATCATGTTGATTTGTGATTATTGAATAAAATAGATTGCCCGTTTAGCCATGTTTATTGGAAATATTACATATAGCATTTTACACTTTGTATTCTTCATATTCAACAGAAAAGTGCCTCATTTAATTGTAAATTTACGGACTTACTGATTCTTTAATTTGAATGTTAAAATTAGATGCATATATTCAACATACAAAAGCCTCATTTTCATGTTAGCCATACCCCTACATGTATCTGCACTTAAAGAGAGAAACATTATACATACAGATTTCATCAAAGGAATTAAATGCAGGTTTTGGATACATTTAGAGAAAATGTTATGCATTAAGTCTTTTTATCATGATATTTAAATTAAATATTATATTGACGTTTCTTTATTTTCGAATTCTGACCATGGGGATTCGGATGCTTGGAATTCGGACCATTGGAATTAGGATGAATGGGATTCAGACCATTGGGATTAGGATGAATGATATATAGACGGTTGCGATTCAGACCATTGAGATTCGGACCATTTGGACATGGACTATTGGGATTCAGATCCCAATGGGATTCGGACCATTGGGATCTGGACGATTGGTATTCGTACAAATGGGATTCAGATGTCGACCAATGGTGTGTCCTTGATATCACAATTCTTAGATATAATCTAATTACATCCAACTTTGCCTACCTTAATCTGAAATTGACATACTATTATATTAATCTAGTGATTATTTTCTCATCCAACTCTTATGTTCTTTGTGCTTAACTCTTTTTATTCAAATCCTTAACTCATTTCTTATATATACCCTAGTTTACCTTAAACTCTTATTAACATCAAACTCTTTTCCTCCAACTCAGTCCTCCTGAACCTTACATCCATCTCTGCCCTCCTTAACTCACCATTTCCCTCCAAATCTGCCCTCCTTAACTCAAATATTCCTTCCAAATCTGTCCTTCTCAACTTCAATATTTTTCCAATTTCTCCTTAACTTATATTTTTCCAACTAACTCTGCCCTCCTTAATTTATATTTTCCTTCCAAATCTGCCCTCCTTAACCTATATTTTCTCATCCAAATCTGCCCACCTCTACTTCAATATTTTTCCACCTCACTTGGTACATGTTTTCTAATTTTCAGTTCACCATGTGTGATGCTGAGGACATATTCACCTGTCAAGTATGTTTTGAAGAGTACACTCCTGGCAGGCAACCTAAACTCTTGCCATGTCACCATTCTTTCTGCATAGAGTGTATCCAGAACCTAACAAGCAGAGGGAGCAAAGTGAATTGCCCTGTATGTCGAAAAGCACATAATCTATGCTCAGAAGATATCAAGAACCTCCAGACGAACTTTTATATCATGAGCCAGTTACCAGATAGCTCATCTAGTTCCTCCAAGAAAGGTGTTTCTGGTGAGAGAATGAGAAAACAGGAATGCGGAATACATCCCGGGGTGTTACTTGTAGATTTCTGTGAGGAATGCACAAGGTAAAAACAATTTGTTTTAATGTTGTTTGATTGTTTGTTGCTTGTAACCATTAATTAAGTTATCAATTAAGTTAATTATAACAACTTGATTGAAGTCCTGCATTTAGGCTCGACTAATGTATTGAAGTATCATGGAAATTAAAAATAATTTTGTTAAGATATATACATTAAAATATTGGGGCAATATTTATGTTCTTTCAAAATGATCAGTATTTATAACAAAGAAACAGTTGGTTGACATAATTATATTTTATCTTTAGACCGTTATTGATATCAGTATTGCATTGGTGTTTAAGTGTAAAACTTTGTAAAATGTAATCAGTTATCAATAACAATTAATTATAATAAAATCATTTTTTGACATAAAGATAGAGTGATCAATTCTATGTTCAACATTTGTTTGTATTTTGATTTGTTTATTATGGATATAAAAATGAGAAAATTATCTTGCCGTTGAGTCTTAAAATATGACTTATTCAAAAAAATATAAGAAATGTGTAAGAATCATGGGTATATTTCCCATAAAGGATTTATAATTATGCTTTTTAAACAGGTGCAGAAGGATATGATAAATAAATGTACAGTTTTCACCCTAGACTATTATTTGATGATCATGTTCTATTTATTTGATGAGATCCAATTGAACTCCAATATTTTCATTATAAACATTTAATCACTGAGATAATTAAGATAACAGCTAGAAAATAAAATACTCAAAAACAACATGTGGACATTCTCATTGATGTGACGTTTAGGTTAATGATTACTAGTGATAAATGTTCCCAGAAAGTTGTTATCATAGATAATGGTAAAAATGTATTGTACAGCAGTGTTAAATTGCTTTGTTAGACTTTTGACAAAAGGCCTACTGTGTATCCCCTCAAAAATTCTGTGTTAAGAAGCTTTTTTACGCTGTAACTTAAACAAATTCAATGGTCATTCAAGCTTAAGTCCTTGATTACATTACTAGTCACTAATTACATTATTAGTTAATACATGCAGGGCTTTCAACTTGATAATTGAAAGCCTATGGTTAATATCATATTGAAGTAACACCAATATTTCATTCCTCTCATTAAATAATATTTGTTTAATCTACTTCCAGGTCTGTTTGTGCAACATGTGAGACGCTTTACTGTCGAAAACTCAACCACAACTTTCAACCAATCGCAACAGCCCACAAGATGACACTCAGAAACATTGACAAGAAAATCGCTAGCATCGACAATGCGCTGAAAGATAACATTGATGCATTATCACACATTAATCGTACAATTGAGAAAGTTGATGCTAGTGTTGTCATGGCAACTGATGACATAAAACAAAGGGTGGATTCTATTGTGAGTGAAATTCATAGTAAGGAAACTGAAATTTTGGACAGTGTCAAAACTCGAAGAGGGATTGTTATTAATGATTTTGATGCTCGTAAAGTAGAGCTTCAAAAATTGCGTCTAGCCTTAGAGACCTGTAAATCGCTATGTGATGCTGTGAAGTCACTAGAGAGTGTTGATGAGATAATGTCAAAGTGGAAAGAGGCGGAGCTTAGAGTTCTCACTATTCTAGGTCAATCCAGAGTTCAGGGCCAGGTTGATTCTTATACAAACCCAAACATGGATATGTCAGATTTAATAGAACAATTAGAGCCCATAGAGAGCACTTTGAAAATGAGGCCAGCAACCCAGATAAAACCAAAGCAACAACAGAGAGAATTCAACCATCTAGAGACAGTTGCCATGGAGACCATTCTGGAAACAAACAATATCCCAAACAGTTTAATCCCTCAAATTGAATCTGAACTGAGTTCTCCACAACCTGATTCCCGACTTATCTTCCAGATGTTGCACGAAATGGATGGCTATCTCACATACGACCAATTTACTCATCTGACACACCTCTGTGATGTTCGGGGTCTGAATCGAAACTTTTGGCGAGAATTTTTTGGTTGTTTTGTGATCACAAACTGGGAGCAGGATAGAAAGAATATGTCCCTGAATACCATGAAAGGGTTAGATGAGACTGCGGTTGATATCAGGAGAAAGCTAGATGAGAACAAGGTCAAGTTTGCTGAGAGCTATGTGGAATATGTCTCTAAATATAGAGAGTTGTAACATCCCAATATTCGGTACCCCATGAGTTTTCCAAGTGGGTGAAAATAACTCCATCAAACTCATGAGTTTCTCATGTTAAAGTGATAGCATGCATTACAATTTCAAGTGGATGCAACACCCTCCTATTTAAACACGAGGGAAATCTATGCTGCTGAAAGACATGTTAGGTCAATCTGATCATTTGACCATTTTGTCTCTCTGACTTGTACTGATGTTTTACAGTTTGTCTGACTTCATTATTTAATCTTCTCATTAAATGGGCCAGTTAAAAATGATATATGAGAGAATATATAATGTTACATCTTGCTTCGAGACCCCCCTCCCCTACTTCAACAACTGTTGTTGTAGTAAATAAGGGGGTAAGGGTCTTGAAGCAAGACTAATAAATGGTATGGAAGTACAGTAAAACCTGTATAAGTGGAACACCTTAGGTATCTCTAAAAGGTGTTCCACTTAGGAGATTTATGCAACAATAAGGCTGCAGGACTTTGAAAAGTGTTCCACTTAAGGACGTGTTCCACTTACAAAGGTGTCCAACCATACAGGTTTTACTGTACAGTCATAGTGAAACCCTTGAGAAGGGCACTTAAATAACATGCATGTATATAAATTGAAGATGTTGCAAAGTATTTTTAAGTATTATGGAAAAGCATCCTCCTAATGCTCAATTAATTTAACTATTGGATGAGTTCTGGATCGGACAGCTGCATTTGGAGGTTGATGACTCGAGAGCAGTAATAATATTTTATTTTATTGTATGATCTGTAAAATGAAGCCCTCTGATTGTTTAGTTCTTGTGCTGTACCAATGTGTATTGCTACTGAGATTGTCCCCATTGATCATCTCCGTAGCAATACAGAAAATATTGGTACGGAGGGGACATTCTCAGTAGCAATACAGAGAATGCAGAATATTTCCAAGGCATTATCTCCTAAGTAAAATGTATTCGCCCAAGATCATACGATAAAAACGTTATAGAATGATTTGAAGTGCAATATAGGATATATTCTGCTCTGGATATTCTATATTCGATATTGGCACTTGAGTTCCAATACAGAATTTCCCGAGCAGAATATATCCTGTATTGCACTTAAAATCATTCAATAACTTATAGAGTTGTCAACTGGTGTGTGAACTCAGCCGATACTGGCTGTAAAATGGTATATAGTTATCTGTAAATATAATGTGTAATAATGTGCCTAAAATGGACCATCAATTGCCAAAATATATTGTACATGTAATGTAAATGAACTCTATATAAATGTAATAAATGATTTTCATTTTTAAAATGTGCATAAATATTATATAGATGCCACTTAACTTTATTTATTAGATGGAGGTACATTTAGTGGTTTGTTATCATGGTATATTATATAATGATGTTATGTACTCATATTATTTAATTTATTTTCAATACAAATGTATTTGCTTTATGCTCTTATTGATATAGGCCTAATGACTGCTTTTATTTTGTTAACTATATGTAGGGTTACATTTGAGATGCCCCCTCACTCAGATTATCACTTTGGTTAAGGGGGAACCACATTGGTTTATTGAGCAAATTGTACAGCCTGTTTTACATATTAATCATACTCCACAATTACAATTCATTTAATGTGTACTTTTAATATTTACTGCAAAATTAAGTTCATATTCAGGCTCTTAACATTTTCTTGGACTCAGTTGAACTTTATTTCTGAATCTTGGATATTTTATTTGTATATCCAAGTATTGTTGGCTTATTTTTAAAACACTGTTGCAATATTTTATTTATACATTTTATTCACTAATTTATAGTTTTACTTTAAATATTTATATGGTGGGGGTAGTAAGATTACTTAAGAAGATCCTTGGGGCTGTGTCAAGAGATAAACAGTACTTTCTTTCATGTGTACAGGGTGTTCAAAAAAAATGCAACCCAAAGAAATTGCTATATCTTGAAAAATACTGGTTCTATTATGTTCATATTTTCAGGAAATAAAGAAGAGACTGTGTATGTATAGCTCCTGTCAGTGGTTAGTTGTAAAACATGATGCCTTGGGCACCTGCTCAAAAGACAGTTGTACTTGCAAAATGCGAAAAACACAGTCAGGGGTGACTGGAACCGCAAAAAATTTAAATAACTTCCTAACCATAGTGTTTTGGCTCTTTAAATTTGGCACAAACCATCTTCATTCACTGTATGATAAATCTGTAGAGTGAAATCAAAGTCACTTCAGGGACTTCACTGTCATGGTTGAAATGCTTTCAAATCGCAGTCAAACGCCCTGGTTCAGGGACTTTAAGAAGGCATTTTGACCATGACTATAAAGTCCCTGGAGTGATTTTGATGAAACTCCACAAATTCAGCACACATTGAATGAGGATAATTTGTGCCAAATCTGAAGTGCCAAAACACCATGTTTAGAAAGTTATTTGGTTTTATTGCTGTGGCAGTCACCTCTGACTGCATTTTCATATTTTCCAAGTACAACTGTCATTTGAGCAGGTGTCCAAGGCATCATGTTTTACAACTTACTGACAACAGGAGCTATACATACACAGTCTCTTCTTTCTTTTCCTGAAAAATAAACATAATTGAATTAGTATTTTCCCAGATATAGTTATTTTCCATTCACGTTTTTCGTATTTTGCTAGTACAACTGTCTTTTGAGCAAGTGTCCAAGACATCATGTTTTACAACTAGCTAACAACAGGGGCTATACATACACCGTCTCTTCTTTCTTTCCTGAAAATATGAACATAATTGGATTAGTATTTTCCAAGATATCGCGATTTCTTTGGGTTGCGTCCATCATTTTGTTACAAAAACCTGTGCTATAAGAAGTAGTGTTCTACTTGGGAGGTGTTCCACTTATAGAGGTTTGTTTTAAGTGTAAATGAAGGGCCTGTTCTACACACTGTTGGACTTTTGCACTCCCATATTTAACAGATGTAATCTTATTTACATGTTGCATGTACTTGTACTCTATATTGCTTATATACAATAAAATAATTAAATGTAAAAATCACTTATTAGTCAACATTTTTATTTAGGTGACTTACTTTGGGAATGACTTTAGAAATTGAGAATGTTACTATTTTCAATCTTATAATTTCATCCACTCCTTAATATAGTAACTTGGGACTCGCTTTACTTTTGCGAATTTGCAATTCTCATCTTCACTGAAGCGAAATACCTGAATTTTTTCTCGTCACTTTAACAGTTGATGTTAATGATTGAATGGATGGGGACAAGAAACAAATATATTGCTGACGTGGATAGTATTTAAATAATAAAAATTGTAATGTTTAAGTACAGAAATCAGATGCAGCCAAAATTTAACAAGGCATACAAAATGTCACTACCTGCCATTTGTTACAGACATTGATCACCACCAAGCACCAAAAAGTTGGAGACTATAACAATATGACAACACAATATGATGATGACATAAAAACTACTGACCATACATAATTGCTTTATCCTATACCGAGTAGAGATTTCAGGGATGTATGGCCACCGCAATGGTACAAGAAGTGCTATTCAAAGGAAGTCACTCGAATTCAATAGTTTGTTATTCCATTAATGTGAGTGAGGAATATAACAGTGAATAATAAAACAAATATTTAATTCTCTTTTCGGTGACACTTTCACAAGATGATATTCCACTATTCCTACAGGATTCATGAAGTAACACGTGTAAAATATCCTCAGGTATTCACCTCAATAGAATTAAATATTTGAAAACTATCTTTACACAACCTGCTTAAACACAAAAATCAATTTTGATTGGTATATTTCCTTGTATTTTTCTATCACATTAGAAATACACAATTATATATATTTAATACTGCATATTAAACTTGGTAATATTACATGTATTTGGTGCAATTCAAACACAATCCTCCTTCATAATATAATGATATTCAAACTGAAAGTATTGTATACAACTTGTGGTTTTTTCATGTTTCATTGTTTCAAAATTAATCTTAATAACAGCAGTAACATTACATGTATAAATGACTTTACAAACTCTAAATTGCAAATATACATGTATACATGCCATGTATTAAGACCATTGAAGTACACGCTTGGTTTAGATTTAAAAAATATAATGAAGGGGCTCTTAAACAATCAAATGAGCCATTCTTCATGTCCAGGTTTACACAAAACAATTGAATGTTAGTCCTAAAACATAGAATTTCAGATTCATTTTCACTAGTCATTTGCTGAATCAGTGATCTTCAAAATGATTGAAGTGCATATTTTTAGAAACAAACTGGAATATGGTTCAACACTAATGATATACTATTTACCCATTTAGTATTATGTAAGCTGTAATGGAAAGAAAAGAATACATGTACATGTACTCTAGAATGTAATTGCAAAGTACATAAAAACCAAACTCAATGAATGATATGACACACCATATACAATATATGGTGCGTATCAAAAAAAACGCAACAGATTGTTATCTCGGAACAGCACAAAACCAGTGATAACAGCATTGATTTCATTCAATGCACCATAAAGCCACGTGTCTCCTCTTTACAATGATATATCATTCATTGATATTTGGTCATGGTTGGGCGAGTAATCATTCCATTTGCAAAGTGGGCCAATATTAGCTTTGGACCAAGTTATAAACATCGCAAAAGTCCGATGCAATATTGGAATAAAACATAAAACCAATGCTGACTGCATCCTTTTCATTCAATGTACCAAAAAGCCAAATTACTCCTCTTTACAATGGAATATCATTCATTAAAAGGGAGTCATGACTGGCCAAATAATCATTAATTTTGCAAAGTGGGGCAAAATTCAGCTCGGACCTAAGTTTTAAACAATGCAAAAGTCAGTACAAGGGGCATAGGGGCAATATTGGAAGAAGGTGTGACAGGTGTGGCATAGACAGTAAAGTCTCCATACTCATACTCTTGCAAGAATACATCCTATAACACCTCCAAATTGCCACCACTTCCTTACACATAAAGATGCGCTCATCTGTTCATGTCATGCATGGTTCAGCCCTGAGTCATCTGTGGGTTAAACCAGAGAAAAGCAGCCCATAGGCAATTATTTCTTGAGGTTTTGCAATATCTGGTGGAGGACATGTGAGCACAGATGCTCCTGAGATAGCTCCAAAAGAAAAAGTCAGAACAATTCAAGTCAGGGGAACTTCCATTGGCACTTCGCCCTTGTACTGATTTTTGCAATATCTAAAACTTGGAGCAGAGCCGATTTTGACCCACTGTGCAAATGGAAGGATTTTTCACACAACCATTACCACATGTGAATGAATGACATATCATTGCAAAGAGGAGAGACGTGGCTTTATGGTACATTGAATTAAATTGATGTAGTCATCACTAGTTTTGTGATTTTCATGTAGATGGAATAATATTCACCAGTGGGCTATTCTTCATTCCTGACTATGAACTGACAGTGTGTGTACTCCACTCTTTCAAAAATTGCTCTCCTTAATTTTGATATATGAATTTGACATCATTGCAGTTGTCAATTTTGTGTTTTTGCCATGGAAATAAGTAAATCAAACACAATAGCCCACTGCCTTCTATGCTGTCTAGTAACAGCCAAATGGTATCATTCAAACAAAAAGAAATGAAAAAAACATTTACCTAAAAATTTAATATTGCACTCATGTCTATGGTGAACTTTTAAGTCTAGCAGTCACAAAAAGATTTTACGCTCTCAGGGACGTCAGTACAATATATGATCACCCCTGATTACAAAAAAAAACCAGTGCATTAGTCTTCCAATAGATATACCTTCATTCATGCAGGGTTTTTAACAAATATATGACCACTTTTGAGACTCATGTTGAAACACATGTGCACAGATGTTTTTTATGCTTTTTAAGGAGTTGGGTTGGCCTTTGTTTCTTTTCTTATTATCTTAACATTAAATTTAATATACAACCCTTATACATTCATATGAATTAAATTTATATTTTCACATTTCACAGATATACAGATTTCAATCTCCTATGCATTGTAAATGCAAAATGTCAAGCTGGATTGCTTAACCCATTCAATTTACACAAAATACCATGAGCATTTAGGCTGTACATTGAGTCAATCATACTGTTGCTTTAATTCCCAACCCCCCCCCCCACCCCGGCTACTGGCCTGATCTGGTCCTCAATTCAATTAAATTTTGATCAGAAGGTCTTAAATCTCTTACATACACTCTGCCTGCTCTATAATGTATTCTACAATCGCATGACCATCATGGTACTAAGTTTCTTCTGGGTTATCCTACATTGTAAAATGTTGCGTGTAGTCATACTCTATAGTTGGAATGATGGCTTGGACAAACTTGAGAAATATCATTAGGTACATGTGCACTCTCAGTTCTCCCCCTCCCTCGGCCACTGTCTCTATGATCTTTTTCATAACATCAGCGTGTCTGAAATATCACATTCAGCATATTATTAAAAAATCATCAAATAAAAATTATGAGAAAAATAAAAATGCACATGTTGTAAACAAGCTTTTCAAAAGTTGAAGATCTCTTTAAATTCATGTATGTGCAAATTCAATTGTCAAGCAACTGTCTGTACAGTTATCTCCCGTGTCATAAGGTGAACTGATATTATAGGGGCCCCAGGTAGATGGGGACGAGGGGACACTTACTTGCAAGGATGGACTGATGCCATAGGGGGCCCAGGTAAATGGGGGTGATGCTCCATTGTGACAGTTTTCTTAGCATGGTCCTGGCTGAAGTCTGCGTACATCTGGTCCACAGTGAGGGGCTTTCTGTTCTGTATAACAAGAAGAAAATAAACCCTTACAATCCTAAACAATATGTCATAAAAATGCATTATTTCTTGCATTTGAATGTACTGACTCATTGCTCTGCAATTTTGCACAATATTTAGAATTATCTACATGCTTTGATAGGATAGCACAGTCAGGCCTGTAGACAGAGGGGGGGGGGGGGCGGCTCAGAGGTTCAAGCGAACTTCTCCTGGCCAAAAAATTCTATCAAAATCTTGCAGTTTTACATCATTTCAAGTACTTTTCAAGTGATTTTGGGCAAAATTTTTCTAATGTGAACCTCCTGGAATTTATGAAAAGAGAACCTCCCTTGGGAAAAGCTGGCTACAGGCCTGATAGTTTACTTCAATGCATGCTTACTTCCCTATTTTTGCATCCAAAATACTGTATTTCACATTAAATTTACAGATATCTTGAATTTGCGTAAGTGTGTAAAATCGTTAATTCAGTATACCGCAGATTTTACTTGAACACATGATATAAATTGACGCTGTTGCAAAAATCATGAAAACATAAAATACATGACAAATGTACAAGTCCATGGAAATTGCTCTCGTGAATACAGTATGTTTTACAGTATTTCCACCAGATTATTTTTAAGGATCTCACCTCATCATATCCATAGAGCCAAAGTCTTGGTGTTTGGTAATATTTGTCATATGTGATGTTCAAATCATAAGTTCTTGTAGCCAGGACCCCTGTGTCTCCACCTACTGCAGTGTCAGAGTCCTCCTTTGTAACCTTTTTGGTGTCTAATGTTGCCTGAAAGTAAGAAACAGTGTACAATTGAAATTCTGCAATAATGACATACAAAAGTGAATAATATGGTGCAATAGAATATCTGAACAGCAAAACTGAAACAATATTTGAAAGAAATATGTCATGTAGATTGTTAGATATCTGTATTTCTTCCTTTTTTCTGTTCTAATTAAAGGGGCAATAAGGACTGTAGAGAAAGAGAAAATAGGAAAGTTTTTTCATTTTTTCTGAGCTATCAAGGCAACATTTGGTTTAACATCTTCTTTGACATTCCTATTTTCTTAAAATGTATGGATAAATTATCAATTTTAGCATTAAGAAGTGTAAATTTAGTTCAAAGCTTCAAAAAGGGGACTTCCACTTTTATATTTTTAAGATCCACCATGTTTCAAGAGGAATATCAGCTAATATAATGTTTATCTAGGGGGTTTCTTTGTAGATAATAAAAATAGATGTTAGTCTTGATGAAATATCCAAACTTAAATATTTTTTGACACTGGTCCATGATCGTTGTTGAATGACCCCTCTGCATTTATTATTGCACCTTTAATATTGTAACCTAACCATGTTCTCAAACACGGCCATTCTAACCTCACCAATGTACTCAAACATGACCACTGTGACTTACCAGTGTAACCAAACATAAATATTGTGACCTCACCACTCAGATACAGCCATAGTGATCTCACCAAAGTTCTCAAGCATGATCATCACAGCTTCACCAATAAACTCAAGTAGACTTACATTGTCTTCCTCCAACATCCCACTCTCTTCAAAAGCTTCCATGTCTTCAGCTTCCTCGTCATCATCATCATCATCATCGTCATTGTCATCATCAGCTACACGGCTTGATGCGCCCTGGAAAGTAGTATTAGCATATAATGAGAACCATTTGAATACTATCTATCTGGATATTGACTTCAGGTTACAGGTTGTGTGCTCCTATTAGCTGGAAACTGACATACATTGCATTTATAGACAATTTATAACATATTTTAGTCTAATACATTGCATTTTTTTTGAATCATTAAACTATAACACAGCTTCATGAACAGGATTAGCTCAGAAAATGAGTTCTGACTGGACAGGAAATTATTTGACTTATTGTGTAACTGAATGTTCCAAAACACTATATGTACATACCTTTGAGTCTAATGTCATTTCAGCCACCCCCTCTTGGGCTTGTGTAACTGAGGGTTCAGCGTAGTGATGCGTATCTACCCAACCACCATCCTCATCTTCCTCAATCACCTTTTCATATTCTTCCTTTTGGTTATCCAAGGCTTTTACACGTTTATAACAGGGAACTACAAGGAAAAAGAATTACTTTAAACAAGGTTGGTACAACATTATTAAGTCAATACAAAACAAACTAGGAAATCTCAGTAACTGAATTAGGCCATTTTAGGTCAATTGTCTGTTGGCAATACATTTTTAAAAATGGTGACCAGGCACTGTTCTAATCTATTGTACAAGATAAAAATTAAGCATTAACATGCAAAATGTCACAACCCGCCATTTGTTACAGACACCATTGTTTGTCTGTCAATTTGACTAATCAGTAAAGATGTCTTCTCAATACAGATTTAAATTATAGACTTATGTCTTTGAATCCTGGGATTATTCCCCCCCCCCCCTAATTTAAAAAAATGGCACATGACACAGATGTTTAATTTTTCAGATGAAGGCACATCCTTTGAAAAATTTCATGCACCAATATTTTGTTCAATTTGGGAGCTCTTTCACTTATCATTTTAAATTAAGTCAATATGTATGCGGACTCTGAAGTGTTCCACTTATGGAGGCCAGGTTCACGTACAGAGGTGATCCACTTTAGAGATTTTACTGTACTTACCATTTCTAGTGATGAGAAATTGTTTGTCTTTAGGTAGATATGGTTTTATTTTAGACTCATCTCCACTCGCCCACTGCCAAGTTGGACAATGGTGAACTATATTCTCTCCAGCAGCCACAAACTAAAAAACAATTATAGCAAACTTAATCAGAGAGTCAAAAATTATTTATTATGATTCAATGCATCATCTTAGAATGCATTGTAAGTGGGATGGGATAGATGCCCAAAACTGTCACAAATTATGCCTGTTTCAAATGCTTACTAGCCTTTTCAAGTAAAAATCACAATGGGGTATGTATAAAGGTTCCAAGGCCCTTAAAAACCTCAAGTGGATGCATCATCCACTTACTAGTTACACATAGATTTTCAATTTTCATAGATCACAACGTGGCTAATAATGCTCAAAGTACAGCCACTTACACATGTATTATTGTATTGTATTCTTTGTATTCTTTGAAATCAATAATTGTATATTTCTACAAGCTTCAATAAAATAGTACTGCACTTGAAATATACTTTAAATTAATTAAAATCAGAAAAGACTCACCTCTTCTGGTGTTATAACTCCTGTCTCTCTGAATTTGGATTCCTAAAATATATAAGACAGAGTCCTGTAATATATGAAAAGATGCAGTCCTGTAACCATGTTATGTCTTGAAATAATATGCTCACTAATAATAAGACAGGACAATGGGCACAATGCCTAATTAAGACTTTCATCAAGCCCTTGTTTCCTGAGTTTAAGGGACTTTCCTGATATGACAGCTATTATCCTATACATATTACTTTCCATATTTCACGCCTTACCATCGCGTAAGCAGGCGTCACCATACAGCGTCAAAAAATAGCGGAGTACAGTTTTCTGTATGGTAACGCAAATTAACTGCTTTGAAGCAAAACTATGACATGGGTTTAAAAATACTAATTTGATGAAAACAAATACGATTTCATGTGAAATAAAAACAGCATTCTCTTAGAAATGGTTTTAACTTTCTGATTATGATAAACGTTTTACGAGCACTGTTCGGATTTTTTCTGAGTGAATCGGCCCACATAATCGACCCAAGTGAAAAAAGGTTGTTTTTTCACATTTCGTTTGGTTATTATTTTCCCTGCCGTCTGAAAGTATGGATTATTATTATGAGAATATGTATTTGTTGACTACACATTTTAGAACGGGCGAAAATTCAGCAAACAACCATTCATTATGTATATTTAAAAAAGATCAAATTTGTACAGTGACGCACCAGCTGTATGGTGATGCTATGCTTTGATGAACTAAATGAGACTAAGATTGTATGAAATGGAAACTCTGGAGTATGATCATTTGTTCATATATAGTGCATGGGCGCTACAGTTCAACGATATCTTCCACCGCTTAATGGAAGGTTACTGGAAATGTATGATACGGTAAAGATCATGAAATCAAAAACTCTCTTGTTGCTATGTTATTTATGTTTTAAAACAAGGGATGTCACAAGTAAATCTCATCTTGCACGCGTGACTTTTTAGAAGTGAAAGATGCAATATCTTGCATGGGGTAAAGATGGCTGTGTAGGCTATCTTTGTTAGTCATATGAGAAAAGCCTGGTTTAGTTCAAATGATACCAAAGCATTACGTCAACTTTCAAATAGTTAATTCCATGAAAACTAAAAATATCGAAATTAATAATTCCTGTCCGCCATCTTAAATGCAAAGGTGACGGCTGTAACCTTCGCTTGATACTTACCAGTGATAATGTACATGTAGATCTGACGCTTCTTTACCTCTTGTTCGAACAGTAAGCTTAGAGCACTTCATAAAATCTAAGGAATCGTCACCATACAGCTGATGCGTCACCGTATAGTTCTGATCTTTTTTAAATAAATACACTGAATGATTATTTGCCGAATATTCATCTGTTCTAAAATGTGTTGATAACCAATACATATTCTCATAAAAATAATCCATACTCTCAGACGACAGGGAAAATAATAACCAAACAAAAAGTGAAAAAACAACATTTTCCCTCGAGTCGATTATGTGGGCCAATCCAGTCAGAAAAAATCTGAGCAGTGCTCGAAAAACTTTTATCATAATTAGAAAGTTAAAACCATTCCTAAGAGAATGCTGTTTTTATTACACCCGAAATTGTATTTATTTTCATAGAATTAATCTATTTAAAACCCTCATTATAGTTTTTGCTTCAACTCAGTTAATTTTCGTCACCGTACAGAAAACTGTACTACTGTATTTTTTGACGCTGTACGGTGACGCCTGCTTACGCGATGGTTAGGCTAATTTAGCAAAACACTGGAAACTTTTTTATATAGTCAAAATTGGTAGCTAACATATAAGGAGAGAGATGGTCTGGCAAGGAATATCACTTTAATAATAAAATTGATAAGAATTCGCCCAAGAAGTGTAATGATTATTACAAACTGGTTCATGCATATACATACATTGTATATTGATAAATGTCACCATTTGGCAATAATGTTAAGAAAATGGGCAATATCATAGTATCTTAAGTACCTTATTGTATACATGTGAATAAATACTAAAATACATGTATCCCCCAAAGGCGAAAAGAATGAGAGAGCATGTGTGTGTTTTTAGTTATAAAGTAACCTCTGAGTCTGAGTCTAAATGGATAAAGGTCTCATGATACTTAACAGAAAATGACAAAACAGGAAATGACAAAACCATGCTGGATTTCAAACATTTTTTGAACCAAGATATCAGTTAACATAATTATTGATCTGGTTGGTTTAAAGCTAGCTCAGAGGCGTAAGTGATCTCCCCAACTCTTAGGTTATCGCATCCTACGACCCCTTTAGATTGTGGTCGTACGCCCGATTCATTGGTAAGCCTGTCTTTCTACAATGTCGGAGAATGAACTACGCATTGCACTATTAAATGACCTACCTCGATACATTCCAGAGTATTTTAGAATTCTTTTTATGTTGTTAGATCGCCAACTGTATGGGTTTATCGGCAGAACATAGATATTTTCGTTTTTGATAGCAATATTTGCGTGTAATATTTAACTTATTTCAACCGTCAAATTCCTCCATTCAGTTCCCGGCATGCACCAGTCATAAGGGAAATCCCTGGGGAATTCCCCTTCCGACATTTTGAAAATTGCTGACATATTTCCGATGTAAAAACTAAAATCTCTTCGACATTGTAGAAAGACAGGCTTACCAATGAATCGGGCGTACAACCATAATCTAAAGTGGTCGGTAGGATACGATAACTCTAAGGCAAGTGGGCCCAGCAATCACCTGAAATTTTTAAAACAGGCTTGCACCCACCTCAAAATCTATTTGCACCAACTTGAAAATGAGCAGAATCATGAAAAGTGGACCTATTTTTGACAAATTTTGGTCTGAATTTGCGAAAATGAGAATTTTGCACCCACTTGAGAAAAAATTCCAGGGCAATCAGCAGGGAAGTTCAATATCACTTTGGTTTCTTGCATGACACTTGACAGCCATGACAGAGCATCACTGTGACAGACAGTCTGACTGACTGACTCCATCAGGAAGTTGCCTCAAGCTCAGGTTGTTTGATTTTCAAACATAAACTAAAAATTTACCTTCAAAACAGGAGTCAAGTATTCTGCAACACCAAGAGCTGTCCCCTTGACAGAATTTATGATGTTCTGCATTTCTAAAAGTCAATGAATTTGGACAGATTTGTCCCCAAAAGATTTCAAGATTTTTTTTACTTTTTGTTTTGAGAAGTTCAAAGCAAGAACAAATCACACAAATAAATATAGTTTTTCATGAGAATTTTACAATTTTAGTGAATAAAATCGAATATCTATATCTTGGAGTTCCCTTTTAGGTGTGGAATTTCATTTCATTGGCAGTTCAATGAGGTGGTAACTTTACGTCGCCAAAATTTGCACTAACATTGAACTTCTCAAAAACATTCCGGGAAGATTTTTGAACTTGAAATATTGTTTTAGCGTTCCATAACGTCATGCTTGTGTATTGAAACGATGACAGATTCTAGCTATTCGAAGAGTATTGAAATACCAAACGATTTGGTGTTCAAGAATCTGAAAAGTGCCAAGCGATTCGCTATCGATATTGGTAAGAATGTTATTTTCACATATTATCGCCCAGATGAGATTGTTTCCATTTTCCTCGCATGCTATCTATTGCAAGACTTATGCCTGGCACAGCCGTCGCCATGTTATTAAGTGTTTTTAGTTTCGCAAGGATCCTGCCATGACCGTGGTATTGTTATCGTGAAAACATGGTATAACCTTGACAATGCTATATATTGCAAGGCCTGTCATGACCGTGGTAAAAGCCTATGGGAAGGGGGTTTTGTCACGTAATCACATCAGGTGGTAATACGTTTTCACGATGCACGTTACTAATCAGAATTACTTTCACATTTCACGTCCTTGATCATCAAAATATTACATTCACGTTTCACGAAGATCAAATATCAATCATTACATTGATGTTTCACAGTGTCACAGGCGTTAAATAAATCGCCAAACCGTCCAATGGTGAAACACAGACTCAGCGAAATCACTCTCCATTTTGCTTGCAAAACTTGCAAAGTCCAGACGATGGTCGCATAGTCCAGATATCTCAGTATATCAGGTCGATCTTTGTATTCGCCGGATTGGCTTGCTATTGGTTGAATTTCTACTAAGTCGTTATTCTCGACCAATCAAAATACATGTAGAAGAAAAGAAGTTAAAATATTAATATCCCGATGGTATTACACCTCTCTAATGTTTATCTTTTTAACATTTCGTTCGGCGAGAATACATTTGATACTACGTTCGCTTTTGTGATACACCTTATTTGTCGACTTTTGTAAACTCAAATGTAATTAGTTCCTATTTCTAAACTTTTCTGTTTTTAGCCAATCAGAACACCAGTTACAAAATGCGACAAAGATTAACATAAGAGAGTTGTAACAGTAATACCATCATATTTGATCTTTGTGAAACGCGAATGTAATATTTTGATGATCAAGGACATGAAACGTGAAAGTAATTCTGATTAGTAACGTGTGACATGAAAAAGTATTACCACCTGACGTGATTACATGACAAAACCCCCTTTCCATAGGCTCTTTATATGAGATTCAAAATCGGGTACAAAATAAGAACATAAATAATATTTTCATAGATGACAGCAAGATGTTTTTCTTGTAGAGGGTGATAGCAATGTGCATACATCCACATTTCGGCTGTAATTAAATGCTTTCAGATGGTTCTCTTCATATATCTACATGTACGTATCTATTCCAGGAGGTTCATTATGTAAGCTGGCATACTATTCTACTGTGAAGAAGAAGAGAAGTCTTGTCTCAGATGAAGATCTAGTGGAGGTAGGTGTTACTTTACTGAATAAACTTGTCTGGACTGTATAATACATATGCAGTAAGAATTGCATATTTAAGTATAGTGATCTGTTTGTCTTGGTCTCTAAACTTGGTTGGATGGGGGTAAGCTCCAACTTCAAATCATGCTTGGGTCAGTTGTTGATATAAAAAATGTGATTTATTTACATCAGGATTATACATGTCACGATATAGGGACAAAAAATATTGACATTTTAAAAGTACCGTTTTTTTTTCGTTTTGTTATTATGAAAAGTAATTAAGGAACGTTTTATGCAGGCATTTTAAAACACGTTACTTTGCCTTTAAAACGTTCGTTCATTGTCAATGGATGATATTTTATGTAGCCATTTCTAAAACACGTTACTTTGCCTTTAGAACGTTACCTTAATAGACTTTAAGTTTTCTCTAATAAGAGTGGATGCTTTTTATGTACGCATTCTTAAAACACGTTACTTTGCCTTAAAAACGTTACTTTAGTGGACTTTAACTGATCTCTACGAATGGATGATTTTTTATGTAGGCCATTTTCAAAACAAAGTACTTTGTCAGTAAAACGTTACTTTATTCGACTTTAACAATACTCCACGAAGAATGGATGAATTTTATGTAAGCATTTTCAAAACACGGTGCTTTGCCTTAAAAACGTTACTTTATTGGACTTTAACTTATCTCCACGAAGAATGGATGATTTTTATATGTAGGCAATTTCAAAACACAGTATTTTGACAGTAAAACGTTACTTTATTCGATTTTAACCATACTCCACGAAGAATGGATGAATTTTATGTAAGCATTTTCAAACACGTTACTTTGCCTTAAAAACGTTACTATATTGGACTTTAACTGATCTCCAAGAAGAATGGATGATTTTATATTAGGTATTTTCAAAACACAGTACTTTGTCAGTAAAACGTTACTTTATTCAACTTTAACCATACTCCACGAAGAACTGATGGCTTTTTATGCAGGCATTTTCAAAACACAGTACTTTGCCTTAAAAACGTTACTTTATTGGACTTAAACTTTTCTCCACGAAGAATGGATGAATTTTTGTGTAGTCTTTTCAAAACACAGTACTTTGTCAGTAAAACGTTACTTTATTCAACTTAAACCATACTCCACGAAGAATGGATGGCTTTTTATGCAGGCATTTTAATAACACAGTACTTTGCCTTAAAAACGTTACTTTATTAGACTTTAACTTTTCTCCACGAAGAATGGATGAATTTTTGTGTAGTCTTTTCAAAACACGTTACTTTGCCTTAAGAACGTTACTTTATTGGACTTTAACTGATCTCCACGAAGAATGGATGATTTTATATTAGGCATTTTCAAAACACAGTACTTTGCCTTAAAAACGTTACTTTATTAGACTTTAACTTTTCTCCACGAAGAATGGATGAATTTTTGTGTAGTCTTTTCAAAACACGTTACTTTGCCTTAAAAACGTTACTTTATTGGACTTTAACTGATCTACACGAAGAATGGATGATTTTAGGCATTTTCAAAACACAGTACTTTGTCAGTAAAACGTTACTTTATTCGACTTTAACCATACTCCACCAAGAATGGATGGTTTTTTATGTAGGGCCTTCTTAAAACACGTTACTTTGCCTTAAAAACGTTACTTTATTGGACTTTAACTGATCTCCACGAAGAATGGATGACTTTATATTAGGCATTTTCAAAACACAGTACTTTGTCAGTAAAACGTTACTTTATTCGACTTTAACCATACTCCACGAAGAATGGATGGTTTTTTATGTAGGGCCTTTTTAAAACACGTTACTTTGCCTTAAAATCGTTACTTTATTGGACTTTAACTGATCTCCACGAAGAATGAATAATTTTTTATGCAGGTATTTTCAAAACACGTTACTTTGCCTTAAAACGTTACTTTATTGTACTTTAACTGATCTCCACGAAGAATGGATGATTTTTATGCACGCACTTTCAAAACACAGTACTTTGCCTCAAAAACGTTACTTTATTGGATTTTAACTTTTCTCCTCGAAGAATGGATGCTTTTTAGGTAGGCATTTTCAAAACACAGTACTTTGCCGATAAAACGTTACTTTCGTGGATTTAACTTTTCTCCTCGAATAATGGGTTACGTTTTACGGAGTGGCTCCAGGACCGACAATTGTCGGTACTGGAGACTGTCCAGGGGTATTTGCTGGGGTACCGACAATTGTCGGCACTCTATCGTCACCTAGTAGTGTCAGATAGAGAACCGACAATTGTCGGTACGCAAGTGGCTGCTACGTGTTTTTGATAGAGAGCCGACAATTTCATAAATAAATTCACTACATTTAATTTCACAGATAACTTCATCAGTGGTAGTCTAGTGGTTAGCGAGCACGATTCGATCACACTCGGTCCCGAGTTCGAATCCCGGCAAGACCTACTTTTTTCTTTTGAGAGGCGATAGTGCTTCTTTTGCGGTATGGAATCGTACAGGCATTAACTTGTAGTGAGCCATAATTTATTTCGACAAAAATTGATTCAACTTCCATCAAAATTGTCCTACAAGCTTCAATTAAAAAACATTTTAAAGCTCTTTTCTTGTTCTATCTAATGGGTCGATATATACAATTAGGAGGGGATGCTTTCGCCCCCGTCGACCTCTACCCTTACTACGCCATGGCACAGGAGAAATATCTCATTTGGAATATATCACTGTTTACTTTGCGTTTGGTAGCTCTCTCATGCGAGATGGAATCGTGGCCATTAACTAAGGGAGCCAAATGCAACTTCCATTAAAAATTGTGCTATAAGGTATGAGTACCGTAATCCAACACCAAATTCGAAAATTCATAACAATACTTTGCACATATGGCGTTCGTGACCAACTATGAAACGCTTACACCCCATAGTGTTATATATCAAAATGCACCTGTCCATATAGGGGTTCGATTGACCTTCATCAAATTATATGGAGTCAGGTTACTTTTTGAGATATCAGCGTCCGTTTATTGTAACTCGCGTTTGCTACCACTTCCTCAATTCTGATATGACAGGCAAACACGTAGTAAACATCCTCACGTTCGGAACTATTTTGACCTACATCGCTATTTTCGTAATTCAAATGAAAGTTGAACTCCTCTTTATTTTGATACCAAATAGTGGCATACTAGGTACCCTAGAAGCCAACTATGGGTTATTTAGAACGATACCACAGGTACAAACGCCCCTTCCTTTTTATTGGGTTTTCAACGTTTACTACCATTCCCTGTTCCCGGGCTACCATTTTTTGACTGGGTTTGGTAATCCCCGGGTAACCGGGGCTAATGCCCTCCCCGGGTTTTGCACTTGTTCCCAAAATATCCGTATGATATCTGAAATATCCCCCCGCGCATTGCGCATGCGCCAGAAAATTCGAAAATCAATATTTGTCGGTCCTCTAGCGTGTAAACACAGCATATCTCCCGTACCGACAATTTATTTGTCGGTCCTCTAGCGTGCCACCACATCAGAGTCTAGAGTACCGACAATTGTCGGTACTCTAGCCTTTACGTATTTTTTATGTAGGCATTCTAAAAACACAGTACTTTGCCAGTAAAACGTTACTTTTAACCTTATTCCTTCAAGTGTCGAACATTTTAGCCTGGTGTTTTTAAAAAGCGTTACTTTGGCCGATTTCCGTAACTTTCTTGTACTCTTAGTTTTCCTCCATCGAGCGTTGGTGAAATTTAGGTAGGCATTTTCATCAAAAAGCGTTACTTTGGCCCTTTTCCGTTACTTTCTTGGACTTAAACTTTTTTGCCCGATTGAGTATTTTGAATGTAAAAAATAAGGAATCAAAGGACGATATTGAACCCCGGGGGGTTCACTGTATATAAAACTCGACGGGGGTCCTAGGCTGAAGCCTCAAATATCAATATGTTCCCATACCAATCTGTCAAACTTCAATAATTTCCCATACCAACCAAAATAACGCCCGAAGGCCATACCAAATGTCCAAGTATAGGAGCAATGCCATACCAAATGTCCAAATATAGGACCAATGCCATACCAAATGCCTAATTATGAGACCAATGCCATACCAAATGTCAAAATGTAGGACCAATGCCATACCATATAAAATTCAAAAGTTGAAGAAGGCCCTTGAAAAGAAGATACTTCGGGAAACGATCCAAAACAACTTCAAATTTGCAACTACTGGACCAATGCCATACCACGAATGTTAGGTAACATATCTACAACGACCATTCTCATACCAGAAGAGCAAAGGTCCGACCATTGCCATACCTCAGAAGTCAGAAATTTCCGGGCATTCCCATACCAAATCCTAAAATATGGGTCCATTGCCATACCAAACGTTGAAAAAGGTACCCCACATGCGCCGAGGATCCCCGTCAAGGTTTATATATAGTGAACCCCCCGGGTATTGAACAGTATTTTGTAAAAGTAGAAACAATTGTACGAGCCCTAACTTTTGTATATTTTGGTTTGTTTTGTAGTTAGCTATCATATGTGTGGCCTCTTATATTTCGATGCTTCTCTGCCATGACATTTTCGACACGAAAAATTAACATGGATGAAACTCAATAAATTACTGAATGCCAAACGTTTGCTGTAACTATCTGAAATACTAAAGTTAGGCCTTGTACATAGGTTTCTATTTCTCCAAATATTGTTGCAATATGGTTTATTTGATTGCTTATTTTTGTAATTCAAAGTACTCAATAGATGATTTTGAATCGCATTTTGACGAACTTCAGTTTTGTCCCCGTCAGTCGATAAAAAGCAATCAAAAGACAACAGTGCAATATTAAATGGAAAAATACATTGATATTCTGATGCAAACGATTGTATTGTTTGTTAGCTCGTGTTTTGAATAATACAATGTGTATATAATTCTTGAAAACTAGTGATTTAGTTCGACGTTTATGAGATGTAGTTGAAGCGAACGACATCTTTATGAATTACTCATACTTATAGTCGGATTGAAAACTGTGTTTTATAAAGATGTCGCTCAGTATCAGAAAATACACCTTCCAAATTTTCACATATCAATCTGTCAATCTGTTATTCGTTCATGATCATTTCATTTCATGATCATGATCATGGTCAAAATTGCTGCATCAATGTCTAAGATGGTTGCATTCAAACGTACTAATAAAGGGAAGTGAAAAATAATGCCATGTTATAAGTGACCTAAATGGCGCGGACGTCAGAGAGCGCCTTCCGGTAAAGTGGGTGTTTGGGATGAATCGATCTTTTATCGTATGAATCGCTAAAATTGCAACTCTGAAGTCATTCAACACTGTTATCGGCTAAACTAATCTATAAATTAACGTAATTCATGAAAAAGGATCCACTTTGGTCTTTTAACCGCCTAATTGAGTACATTGAACGTTAAATAAGCAACCAACATATTGCAACAGAAAATGAAAAAAATATAAACATACGTACAAGACTATTGTATATTACAGATAGTTAGGTATAACGTGCAGTAAAGCTGTACCTATTTAGGGAGTTTCATCCATGTTATTATTTCGAAAATAACATGGAAGATCATCGAACTACGAAACAAACCAAAACAAAAGTTAGGCATTGTACAAAAGTTTCTGCAAGAATTTAAGATTTTCAAGGTGGAATAAGTGAATTAATAGATGGAAAAACACTACTAGCCTCTCTTTACACTATGGTCCATCTTATATTTTACAATTAGTAATACCACTCACTGACAAGATTTTCAAGTTACACATCGAAAAAAGTTTAAGTCCAAGAAAGTAACGGAAAAGGGCCAAAGTAACGCTTTTTGAAAATGCCTACCTAAAATTTACCAACGCTCGATGGAGGAAAACTTAAGAGTACAAGAAAGTTACGGAAATCGGCCAAAGTTACGCTTTTTAAAAATGCCAGGCTAAAATGTTCGACACTTGAAGGAATAAACTGGCCAAGTAACGTGTTTTAACAACTTGGCATGGAAACAGTTAGAGTCCACGCGAGTCAACGAAAGTAACGTTTTATCGGCAAAGTACTGTGTTTTGAAAATGCCTACCTAAAAAATCATCCATTCTTCGAGGAGAAAAGTTAGAGTCCACGAAAGTAACGTTTTATCGGCAAAGTACTGTGTTTTGAAAATGCCTACCTAAAAATCATCCATTCTTCGAGGAGAAAAGTTAAAGTCCAATAAAGTAACGTTTTTAAGGCAAAGTAACGTGTTTTAAGAATGCCTACATAGAAAATCATACATTCTTTGTGGGGAGAAGTTAAAGTCCGATAAAGTAACGTTTTATTGGCAAAGTACTGTGTTTTGAAAATGCTTACCTAAAAATCATCCATTCTTCGAGGAGAAAAGTTAGACTATAAAGTAACGTTTTTAAGGCAAAGTAACGTGTTTTAAGAATGCCTTCATAAAAAATCATACATTCTGGCATGTGTGGGGAAAAGTTAAAGTCCAATAAAGTAACGTTTTATTGGCAAAGTACTGTGTTTTGAAAATGCTAATATAAAATCATCCATTCTTCGAGGAGAAAAGTTAAAGTCCAATAAAGTAACGTTTTTAAGGCAAAGTAACGTGTTTTAAGAATGCCTACATAAATGCCTACAAAAATCATCCATTCTTCGTAGAGTATGGTTAAGTATCATACATAAATGCCTACATAAAACATCATCTATAGTCATGTTTGACTTTCCATAATAACAAAACGAAAAAACGGTACTTTTAAAATGTCAATATTTTCTGTCCCTATATCTTGACACTGTTGATCAGGATATAATCAATATCCTTTGGGTAGACCAGTGAATGTTTTAGAACTGTATGTAGCCTTAAACCCCTTTCAGAAAATTATGTTTGATGTTGAACAGAAAATTCTGATGATTTTCCTTGGTATGCAGTACCATTCTGGTGCCTGTGGGTGGCATTCTTAAATGAAGTAAAACATTTTTCTTGTACTGTATTTCAGATGGCCCAGATTGAAAACTTACAGGCTCTGAGTCAGTCTTTTTTTGCTCTCTGAACATAGCCTTAAATTCTGCTTTTCAGGACAAACCAGGAAGTCATATATACAAAGTATCCGAGACTGATGAGATAGGGTACAAGCTCCATTTTGTCAAGTTTGAGACCAAGTACATAGAGGCGTGTCTAGATTTCATTCAGCAAGATGTGATTGGCGGCTGTCATTTTCCTAATAAGGTCATCAAAGCAACTGGAGGAGGAGCCTACAAGTATAAGGACCTAATAACGCAGAAGCTGGGAGTTGAGTAAGTACACTATTCATTTGATAAGGAAAAATATATTTATGGTCACTGGGAATGTTAGCCAGCATTCAAGAAAAACACTTGACTAGGTCTCATCCCTGAAAGATTGCATATTGTCACAGGAAAAATGTCACATGCTTATTTTTTGACAACTATGGCATAGTTATCATGGTGCCCTGAATTGATTATAACCTATATATATATATGATGTATTTGTCATTCAAGGTTTCCAGAGAATTTTATTTGCTACACATGTACAGCATCTGTCAAGAAACTAACAAACATTATATTATTCTTGATAATACACAAAACTGTATGTTTTATTTTATAATTTTGACTGAGATAACATATATACTTTATAAGACAGACATGGTGTTTGAGTTGTTTTTTAGATAACCATATAACTAATAGAAATGAAAAATACATAAACAATGATACAGTAAAACCTGAGTTAGTGAACACATCTCTCTAATGAACACCTATTAACAGTGAACGTTTTTATTCGGCAAAACCTTTTTCTCCCATTGACTCCCATGTTAAAGTGTAATGAACACCTACCAACTATGAACAGTGAACACTAAACCCTGGCAAAATCAATTGAATTATCCTGTCTCTAGTGAACATTGAATCAGATGTAAGATTTCTCGCGGATTTTCTGCAACTGCCTTATCAGAGTTAAGCAGTTTATGTTTATATTACCTGCCAAAAATAATTAAAAGGTCAATTTGAGATCTTGATCTCTTCTATTGAAACAGGTGTGGCTAATTATAATTCTTAATAAGCTTTTTTTGTTACAAAGGATATGCGTCTGGGATTGATTGCTTGGAGATAATCTGGCTAACTATTATTACCTCTATCTGCTAAGTCCCAACTTAATCTTTTTTCTCATCCCGTCAATTTAAAAAAACGATTGGATCAAAATTTTAATTCATGATCATTTCACTATTAACTGCATCTTTAACTAATTCAATAAAGTCCTTTAACTGACTCAAATGTCTCAAAAATTCCACTATTTAAAGCACCATCTTGATGAGATAAAAAGAATTATATAGAGATAAAAATTTGACAATGAAAGGATGAGCCATTCAGATGACAGTCAGTCTAAAATAAGTCAGTTTGTATATAGCATTACAACAATATAACTATATATAACAATATAAATACTTAACGCTTGAGTGCCATGGGTTAATATGGGTAGAAAATAAAATTTAAATTTATTATTCAAATATAAATATGTTTTAATTCTTTTTAAGACTCATTTTAGTTTGATAAAATGTGCTGTTTTAACCAACATGGAATTGTGGATATTTTTCGATTACATGCACCTTAATGTAAGAGTGCCACTGTTAAAAAAGTGTATATCTAAATAAATAAATAATTAATAAATAAATAAATAAATATTCCCTCCTCTCTTTTAATAGCTGGTCTCTTTATATAATACGGCAAAATGCCGCGAAATCAAATCATTGCTGTAGTGAACACCTACCAACAGTGAACATTTTTTCTTGGCAAAAAATTGTTCACTATACGCAGGTTTTACTGTAATTATACATTTCATGCTTATTTAAGTTTTGACAAAGTAAGGAAACATTGATAAATGGTAAACCCTTCTTTGACAACACTTCCTTAGTTTTTCTGGATTAGGAACTTTTTAGGTCGTTTGAAAATGTATAATGTCAAAACAAGATACATGTTTTCTACTTCCCTTAAAGGGGAATGTTGTAACTTTGTGATTTGGTGTGTGTTTGATCATATTAGAATGTGTCACAGATGACTAGCCATATTAGGGAGTGTCACAGATGACTTAGCCATATTAGGAAGTGTCAAAGATGACTCAGCCATATTAGGAAGTGTCACAGATGACATAAAAGTGGAATGATGAATGCTCATCATAAAAAGTGCATTTTGATTTTTTAATTTATTGTTCATTGTTTGATGTTTGGCCAGTCCTTTCCATTGTCCTTTAAAGGGAATAGTAGGTGTAGAGGAACTATGAAGTTAAGGTACCAGAATGGGCCAAATATTGATTCCAACTCTTCTTTAAATGAATTTGTATTCTGAATCTTAATCTTGTTGTCTTTCTCAAAAGATGTCACTCCAGCCATCACTTGAGAATATTGATCGTGAAGGAACTTAAAACTTGTCACCCAGAAAAACACTATTGAGTAAATGAGAAAGAATATGATAACTTGATAAAACTCTGTATTGCCCACAACCCAGTCAACAAATAATTGTGGAAGGAATATATCGTACAATTCTAGAATTCCAAGATCAAATACAATGACGTAGATGTAGATACATGAGTAGATCAGGCTGAATGAGGTTGCCAATACAGACCAGAAAGAAAACACGATGAAGTGACGTTGGTTGTTCATTGCTATACAAGAACCTGTGAAAAAACAATGATGGTCGCGTTTTAACATGCATGCTTGACAAAGTGGACAATGGTGTGTTCTCGGGGGTCGGCTATGCTGGCATATCAAACATGGTTTCCAGGACCAGTAAGGATACATCACAGTTTTTTCAGGGTCTATATTCCCTTTTGTGTCATTCTTTTTCATCTTTACTGCATATATCTGTCCGTTGCCACGGAAGCGCTTCCACACCATTGTTTCTCCATTTTCAATTGTCCTTTCATTTTCTTGTTTATTTTCTACATTATCTGGAGTTTGTAACTCTGCATCACGTGTAATTTCCTGTAACTCAGGTATGGGCATACTATCAGCTAGCTTCTTTTCATCCTCAACCTTAAATATGCTTTTCACCATGCGTACACATAACCAGTTGACGATCATTTCTCCAAAGATGTCATACATCACTCCATACATGACCATCTCAACAGTGTATGAGATCTCAAAGCTTAAATGCACAACTGGAGCCACATAACAGTGTCCATAGTAACATGCACCAATCATGGTTAGGATGAACCATATGGGAAAAATATTGTTAACATCTCTCATGGTCAATTTGAACTTGTCTTCCTTGTTGAAATGTTCCTTGTACTTTTCAGCTAGAGTCCTCTTGACATCCCTTGCCATTTTACCTGGAATATATAGGAAATATGCCATGCTTACTTATAAATAAGGGTACCAGGAGGTTTTGAATAAAGGGTTTATTGTGGGGGATTTATCCATTTTATCCTATACTTGGACATGTTTGCAGTATATAAAGAATAGTTTGTGAGTTGTATTTTCATCAGCGGACAGGATACAGGTTTACACCCTGGCTGAGTGGGCAGATATATTATATTAGCCTCAGGATAATCCCAATATCCTGAACCTCATATAGGATAATTTATATCTCCCTGGAGGACCGCAGGGACATATACAATTAATACCTACTGCCTAGTCCTCAGATATGATATTTATTCCCAAGTGTTTATCTACCCCAAACTCACCCAAGTATGAAATACACCTTATACCATGCAGCTATATATTCTTTTATTGACTCTTATATATGTCAGTCTCTCCGACACATGGGTCACTATACAGTTATTTACATTTGTTTTATATACAAATATACAGTCATAAGCAAAATAGAAAAATCATTACATCATGATTCCAATGTAGTGTTGATATATACATTCAGACTGAAAACACCTAATTGCTACAAAATGTACATTCTATGATACAAACTAAATATACAAAAAGTTACAAACTTTTACAATGTTAGAGACTAGATATGAATGCTCTTACATTGTTATGAGGAATTTGGCAAAAGATTTTAATATGTTAATTTTGCAGTTCATGATCTCCTTTATTAAAAATTCAGGCATTAAGTTGCTAATAGGAATATTTTCAGCTAGTGTTTTGAAGAATATTGCTCTCTGGTTTGTATAAGAAGGGCAGTAAAATATTAAATGTAGTTCATCTTCTATTTGATTTAGGTTGCAATTTAAACATAGTCTATCTTTTAGTTGTATCTTTTGTCCATTTTTCTTTTTGTGTCTACCTATTTCAATTTCTAATTTGTGGTTACTTAGCCTTATTTTGCATAATATGTTTCTAAGTTTGCTGTTTTTTATCATAAGTAAAGGCTATTTTTTTGAATTCAACTTTGAATAAAGAATATGTTCTCAGGCATGGTTTTTTTGAGTGATCGTTGATTAGAGCAAGCCATTGGTTTTTGTAAAGAGATCTTAATTTATTTGATACTTTAAAATGAAGTGTTGATTAGATACAGTGTAGCAGCATTTACTTCAGTGTAGTTTGTATTTCCAAATGTATTTGGTGAATTTTAGTCATTATGTCACATTTGATAATACATTCAAACGCCATCAACATAATACCAAAATTTAGAAATTGTAAACCCGATTATGATTAAGTGCTTCTTTAAAGTGTAGTCTAAGATGTCTAGATATTATATTATACTGCAACGCTGTCTCATGGAAAATCTAGTGCCTTGTTATTATATTGCATATGTAAAAAGTAACTTACCTTTTCTTTTTTCTTTGCCAAAATATCATACATGTATTATCTCTGTATAGTGCAGAAATGCAGTGTATGTAAATATATCAGTCTGAAAGTCTCTTATAACTTCACTAATGTCAGCTTAGCTGGGTTATAAATTATGTTTGTATTTGTCATTGAAGAGATTTTCAAATATTCATTATTTACACTTAGCTAACATTTGTTTTATTAAATATACAGGTACATGTTAATCTTTCTCCAAAGGCCAAAAAAAAAAGTTCGGCTTTTTTCAATGAAGGAAAAAAGACTTATTTCTGTCTCATTTAGGTGGAATTTCTTGAATCACTCGGTATTTGTACAATCTATGAATTATAGCTAAGATTGAAAGTTGATTTTTGGTAATTTGTTGTCTCTATTTGTAGGCTTCTATCTATAGGCTTTATTTAGAGGTTATGTCACTATGACGTGAAATATGCCTGAGTTCTCCCAATATAGGCCGACCTTGGGAGGCTCTATATTTGGGCAAGAACGAAGGCATATTTCACGTCATAGTGACATAACTGATGTATTACATGCCTTTGTTCCCATGGTTACTTTGTATCAATGACGTGACGTCATGATATTATCATGGTTATTAAAGAAATCTAATATCAAAACGAGGTAAGCGGGCTATATCGGGGTAATCGGGCAATATCGGTGGATATAGCTCGCTAACTTTCCCATTGACTTCCACACAAATGCTTCGCTAGGTATGTAATACAGATGAATATTGTATTGATGAATTAAGAATGGGGGGTTTAAAAAATGTGTGTTGCAATCAGAGGGTCACTTATATGTAGTATATGTCCTGTTCTGCAGTCTATATTATCATTATTATCATGACTCAGTGATCTTTGAAATAAGCAAACTGATGAAATTAATCAAGGAATTAAGCTCAAGAGCCTATCCATGAGTGAATTATATGTGCAGTTAAGCATGAGTCGTAAGGGTGAATATTTAGGCTAGCAATTAAACAAGTGCACTTTTCACAAATTAAATAATTGATAAATTCTTTCACTTCAATCCCTCTGACTCATGCCGAAGAGTGCAAAACATAATTCGTTTTGAAAATTTTGCAAGGGATAATGGTAGATTAGATAATGAGACCTGGATAAAATGAAAAAACTTTGCATTAGCATTCAGTTAACAATTAACACAGGGTATAATATTGTTGCATTTGTTATGGTCAGAAAGTGCTCATGTCTGCCTATATGTTACTTGAATCAAGTACAGAATGTTCATGGTGACATAAAAAAACAAAAGCTAACAGATGTCACTGCAGGATGTCAGTGCCTCATTTTACTCTATTGAGCCTCTGTGCTTTCCAATGGTATATACATGTATAACAAACTAATATATATATTTGTGGTATAATTCTTAGTTTTTCATACAAAATATCAACAAACTGAAGACTTAATTAAAAATGTACTAAACCATGTTTTATTCAATTTGATGTAAAAAATACAAGGTGAAAATAATGCAAGTATTTAATTGATGAGCATTTAAGATACATGTAACCATTCCTTGTGTTCATGTCACTTTCCTCCAATTCATGTTACTTTCATTGTGTTTTGTACTTTCCTGTGTTCATTCAAATCATTGTTTGATATTTGGCCAATCCTTCCCATTCCCTTCCAATGGAAACTGCAGATGCATTGGGAACAGGAAGTTAGCGTACCAATATGGGCCAAAGATGGACACCAATTCCTCTAGGAACGAGTTTGTATTCTGAATTTTAATCTTATTTTCCATCTCAAATGAAGTCATTCCAGCTCTTATTGATCTAAATTGCTCCCGACTGAACCTGATGCACGCCAGCCAGAAAAAGAATACTGAGTAAATGAGAAAGAAAATGACAACATTATAGAACTCTGTGTTGCCGAATAGCCAATCAATGAATGTCTGTGGGAGGAAGATGTCGTACCACTCAAGAATTCCAAGATCATAAATTGCGACGTAAACGTAGAGACCAGAGTAGATCAGACTACAGGTGGTGCCAATGACTGACCAAAATGAGAAGACGATAAAGTGACGTTGATTATTCATTCCTATGCATCTGCCAGTGAAGAAGCAATGGTAGTCACGTCTTAGCATGCATTCATTACATATTGGGCAGTGATGTGTCCTAGGGGGTCTGCTATGCTGGCATATTAAACATGGCTTCCATGACCAGTAAGGATACATCACAGTCCTCGCAGGATCCATACTATCTTTTGACTCATTCTCTTTCATTGTTACTGCATAGATCTGTCCGTTACCACGGTAACGCATCCATACCATTGATTCTTTATTTTCATTTTCATCAGTATTTTCTTCAGGATTCACTGGAGCTTTATAAGGTACTTCCGCAGCTCGATCCATCTCTTCCACTGGTTCAGGAGTAGGCGCTCTCTCTATTTCTTCTTCCTCTTTCGCAAATGTGCTTTTGACTGATCGTATAAACCACAAATTGACGATCATCTCTCCAAATATCCCATACATCATTCCATATAGGCCCATTTCGATAATCAATGGCACCTCAAAGCTTGAATGCACTGCTGGAGTGATATAACGTTGTCCATAATAACACGCACCTATCATTGTTAGGACCAACCACGTAGGCAAGATTTGGTTTATTTCTTTTTGAGTGATTTGGAACTTGTCTTTCTTGTTATAGAGTTCTTTGTACTTTTCAGCCAATGACCTGTTATCTTCAGTAGCCATTTTGCCTGGAATATTTAAATAATAGAGTATGAGCTGTAATAATAAGGTACAATGCAGTATCATTATCAAATGCAATACATGAGCTGCCATATAATATGACTAAGAATGTGGTATAACACATAATACATAATTAATGAGATGGCAAGAATATGGTATTTTCACAATGTTCCAAATACAGAGCCACGTGTATTACATTAATAATTCAGCTCAGGAGGTATCAATTATAAAACTTGTATGTATTACATGAAGGTCAGTACCCAGCCCTATAAAAGAGGAAAAAGCAATTTAGTAAAATTTGTTGAAGAACATAACAAATTATCGTTTGAAATGCTCAGAATGCACCATATACAATGTGAATTTTAAAAATATTCTTGGCATGGACTGCCCTTTTTGGGGTTCGGTTCGCTCGCAGTGGTCCGAACCCCAAAAATTGCACCCCCTTCACAATTGCTGGTTGACGTCCCTGTGTATGTACTAGATAGAGTATTTGTTAATATATTAGTATATATTGATGATATACTGTAGCAGTTGGAGTATATGGAGTCATATCTTGCATGATGAATAATAGATTTTGCTCCGTTTTGTGAAATGGTAAATTCAAGGGAAGACCTTTTCAGGAAATAATATTCTTGGACTTTTAGTATTGAATATAAAATTGGCTGGGGTTGAACCATAGTGGTACTGTTTTACTATTCTAAGTCATGAAGGAATGGTAGCTGGGATAATTACAAGCCTATTTGACCCCCCCCCCCCCCTCTACTAAACAATTAAATTCTCACACAGTGTTCAAGGGCTTATATAGCTACTATGAAATACAAGAACATAACATTTTTTGGCTTTGACAAATTAATAAAATCCCTGGATAGTGATTCCAATTGATTCTTAAAAAATATTTAGATTGATGGATCAAAACATAAGGACCCCTCTCTACCCATACATCTTTCTATTGGTATATCCCTATAGATTGCATCTCCAATGACCAACAGTACAAGAGATTATTTGTGCTTATGGAAGCTCGATCCTGAAAATGAAATTGAGATTTTATTAGAGGCCATTTGGTTTCATGAGAGAGTCTACTTTTTTTATAAAGAGCCATATTTACTAAGAGAAACTGACTGCTGGTGTGCTTTTTGGCTTATTGTTACATCGGGATTGTTACAATGCATGCTGCAACTTAATCAGCTATGAAATCACTACATTTACATAGTTGCAAATTCCTACTGTTTTGCAGAACTTTCTAGAACACAGAAAATAAAAGCACATATTTGAAATCATTAATGTAATAAAGAGATATATTAAAATAACATGCAAATACATAAGTTTTCTTATCAGCACATATCAGTGCAAAACAAGTATTTTATACAAGTAATAACTAACCTTTTCTGTTTCTTTTGCCCCAAAACTGCAATATTCTCGTTTGTTCTCTCACTTCTGTTATACACCGGTACATGTACACATGTAGGTCTTTGAGTTCTCAATGGCTATTATTGGATTTATTCATATTATAGTGGCACCAATATAAGTTAAGCTGGCTTGTTTGAACAAACTATTGAATGAAGGTTTTCAAACAGATTCAATCTACAGCTTACATTTGATTGGTCGCTAATGACAACAAACTAGTATACTGAAGTGACATCTTTTGGATACTTTAAACACTTAGACATTTTTGTAGACTTTTTTACTTAAAGGCTGTGTATAGAGATATCCTCAAAATAAAAATGATATCCTCAGGTTCTCAAAACATTTAGAATATAAAAATAAAAAATGAGATATTAACCATCTCTTTTAATTATTCTATACTTATTTTTTAATTAATCAATATATTCTTAAGATTTCAAAGTTAAAAAAGATTTGATATAGAGGCACTGATAGTCAGTCAAGTGCAAATGCATTTTCTTTCCAATATGTATTATGGTAACTATTACTATAATTAAAGTACATGAATAGAAATATTATATTTCAAGCATTTCACATATTAAATCATTGACTTGCGGTTAGTCACTTCATTAAGCAAACTGGATCAGATGAAGTACTACTATATGTGCATGAGGAACCACATCACATCAATGTGATGTACACAACATTTAACATGTAACATTTAAATATAAATACACAACCTTTAAATATATATGTTTGTGTATATGATTGCCTTTGTTAAAACTATAGAAGAGAAGTATTTGCTCGTGTGATGTTCTCATAACTAAGCACAGATTGGCCAAAATGTGTTTGATGAGGTGTTTTTAATATTCCTTATTTATGAACTTATGATTTGTGTTTTTGTTTTTGAAAATAGGAATCAATGGAGCGGAGTCAAAGGAAAATGGGATTGACAAAATGTTCACTGGATAAATAGTAAATTAACACAAAATGAAATAAATCACCTTCAAACTCTTCTTTATTCAATTTTTTTTTTCTTTATTCAGTTATTCACTATTAACTTCTTTATTTTAACAGTATACACTTTTTGAATCAATGCTCATAAGATGTTCTCATAACCAGAACTATACAACTATAAAATCAAACTAAAAATAAATTGCAGACTCAACTCGTTCAGTCTAACTTATGATTTGTCACTTTTGTACTTTCAAATATTGTCCTTTGATCTTGTATTTACCACAATATATTCCACATTACATTGAATGAAACAATAAAGTAAACAATACTAAGTTTAAAAAACATGAGCAATTGTACCTATTTATTAACCTATTACTATATCTAAGAATTCTTGGAGAGAGTTCTTTGATTAGTAATTTGAAGTTTGCTGATTAACAAATGCATGTGCAATAGTACTATAGAATGACATTTATGATATTCTGAATTTCTCAAAATAGTTAGCCAAGCTCTAGCTATTAAAATGCTCTACTGAATATGGCAAAATACATGTACTTCATGGTATTTCATTAGTCCAATTGGGTCCTTAAAACCAATTGAGAGCTCTTAGCTAAAACCCAATGAATTTACACATGCCATGTTGTGTGTTGCAAGATAACTTATTATGGCCAAGGTCCCAAGATGTACTTACATACTACTACCTGTACATGTTTGAGAGCACAATTAAAACATTTTATGAGCATTATACAGTCATGAATCTTTGATATAAATTTTGGTTTTATTTTATATATTTCCTAATTTCATTGTCCGAAATTTGAACAAATGATATCCTAGTTTCATTGTTTGATGAAAGACAGACTAGTTCCTTGTTTCATTGTTTGGTAATAGACAGACTAGTTCAGACTAGTCCTTGTTTTATTGTTTAATATTTGGCCAATCAAGAGCATTTTGTTTAATCGGGAAGATATTGTGGCAAGGAAAAATAAAATTCATATATCCATGATCACCAAATACTGATTTAAGTTCCTTGTGAAAAGAATTTGTATTCTTGATTTCGATGTTGCATTCAAATTCGAATGCAGTTACACCTTTCCTTATAAATGTCAGCTGAAATATTATATACTTTAAAGAGAGGATTATAAAAAATACTAAACTATAAATCACAAAATATAAGATCACATGACAGAATGCAGTATATCCCATACACCAACGGACAAATGTAGCAGGTAGAAAGATATCAATCCAAGATAATTCTCCAAGGTGGCAGATCATAATGTATGAATAAAACAGAGTGTATGCTAGGTATATGGCACTCCCAAGTATTGCCCAGAATGTAAAAACAATAAAGTGACGTTGGTTGTTCAGTCCAATGCATCGACCTGTGAAGTAACAATGGTGATCATGTTTCAGAATGCATACTTTACACAGTGGGCAGTGATGAGCTCTTGGTGGAACATTATATTGGCATATTAAACATGGCTTCCATGACCAGTATGAGTACATGACTGTTTGTTTAGATTTAGCTCCATTTGTAGGCATTTTCACAGCATAGATCTGACCATCTCCTTTAAAGCGTTTATATACCAATGATTCTTTATTCTTTTCAGTATCTTTTTTCTCTGTTGGTTCAAGTTTCTCTGTCTGTGCCATGTCTCTGCCATCTATTGTCCATTGATTTTGACCTTTATCAGATACATTAACCTCACTAATATGCACATGGTTATCATCCTTTTTAACTGCATGTGCATGTCCATATATATTTCCTACATTGCGTATATAATACCAGTTTACCAGCAACTCAAAGAATGCAGAGTATAAAATCCAATAGAAGAAACACTCACTACTAAAAGACAGCTGGTAGGTTGCATTCACAACAGGGACAATGTATAATTGTCCTATATATAACACGCAAATCATTATTATGATGAACCATACTGGTGCCAGTCCATTGACATCTTCAGGAGAGACTTTGAAATTTTTTTTCTTGCTCAGGACCTCGTTATACTTCTCAGCCAAGGTTTTCTCACTGTACTTCTTTTCTGCTTTGGATATCTCTTCTGTCATTTTGTCTGTTCTTTCCTTTTGGTAGCACTGATTCAATTCAGAAATCCAGAGAGCAATTTATTTAGCAAGGAAAGTCCAACTGATGGTAACATTTAACTGCAGGCCTTCAGTTACAGAATTACAGTAAGCTTTATTAGAACTGACCTTATTGTTATCCCTTGCTTTATGTGTCATCCCTTTTGTATTTGTTTGTCCAATTCTCTGGAACTGCACTATAAAATATAAGGTTTTCTGCCATTTTTATAAACTTTCATGTCCATGTTTCAAAATGTGTTCCTTTCTTCCTAATTCTACTTATTTTTACATTTTTCTAATTTTAGAATAGGACTGTACCAATATTTGAATTCAATAGTATACAATACAGCTAGGTTTCCAAGACTTGGATTATCCTACAAATAAAATTTCACAAAGCTCTTAAATGAAACCTAAAATATAGTTGAAAAGAGGGGAAGATTTACTTCTTAAAGACCCTGTGTAAAGTTTGAATATATACTTTAATCATTCAAATATTACTTTTCATGACTTGAAAACCCGCTTGAAACATTTTTTGAAGAAGCTGACTTTGGAAAAAATAGTTGTTCATCTTCTAATTTTCTAATATTTGAATTTCCTTGAGCCATTTTAGAAACAAAAGTTTAGATTTTTAGATCATCAGATATAACACTCAACACTGTAAAACACTCTTCTCTATTTTATCGATCAGGCAAAATTGATAGTTTTTCAATTAGTCAATCAATGATTTTATGCTTATATAAAGTTTTTAAGCATTTTTAAAAGTTTGTGATACCACTAAGATGCACATAAAACGCTTGAATTCAATAAAAAAAAATTAAATATGAGTTAATTTATTGCTAATTTATCAACCAATTTCTTAATTTTTTGCCACATAATGGGTTGGTGGTTTATGTGTCTCTGGTGTATATTATTACTTAACAAACGACATGTATGTGCATGTGTGACAATTAAAATTTTATTCATGAAATAAATTCACAATTTGTTTTACTAAAAATCCTTGAAAATCTATTTTTATAACATTTTGATAACATTGGGGAGCTCTGTAACATAAACAACATGAACTTTACACAATATATTAGAGCACTCATGTAAAGCCTTTGTAAATTGCTATATAATCTTAATTTCTGAAAATAGTTAGACAAAGCTCTATTGAGATTAAGCACTGCTAAATAGCTATGTGATTGCATAATTCTTATTGTAGTACTTTGAAGCAGGCATTCTTCTGATTTTAGAAATGCTAAATAACATAGTACATGTATTAACCTCTTGAATCCCAGGCTATAAAATCGGTTGAAATTGGAGAATTTTTGTTTTTGCCACCTTTTGACATTTAACCACATACCTATACAACTTTAGATGCCAAACTTAGTGAAATTAGAAAATTAAACAATTTTTGTATAAATTGGATGAATATTGTTCAAATAAGATCAATTTTAGTGAAAAGTTTTGTGACGGATTTTCTCGTTACTCAAGGTTTCAAGATCATTTTTCGTCACTCCAGGTAGTCAAGAGGTTAAACTGCCACAATCACACTGGATTCACACATTACTTGTACTGTTGGAATGTCCAACAGTTCCATTGAGGGATTCATTGTTTCATTGTTTGATTTTTGAATAATTAATGTCCTTGTTTTATTGTTTTATATTTGGCCAATCAAGAGCATCTTGTCGAAGAGGGAAGATATCGTGGCAAGGAAAAATGAAATTCATATACCCATGGTCACCAAATACTGATATCAGCTCCTCATAAAAAGAATTTGCATTCTTAATTTTGATCTTACATTCATATTCGAAAGATGTTATACCTTTTCTTATAAATCTCAGCTGAAATATTATATACCTGAATGAGAGCATCATAAAGAAAGCTAAACTGTAAACAACAAAATATAAGATCACTTGATAGAATGCAGTATAACCCATACACCAACGGACAAATGTTGCTGGTAGAAAGATATCCATCCATGATAATTGTCCAAGATTGAAAATCATGATGTATGTATAAAGCAGAGTGTATGTTAGGTATACAGTACTCGCAAATATTATCCAGAATGTAAAGACAATAAAGTGACGCTGGTTGTTCAGTCCAATACATTGACCTGTGAAGTAACAATGGTGATCTCGTTTCAAGATGCATGCTTTACACAGTGGACAGTGGTGAGCTCTTGGTGGAACATTACGTTTGCATGTTAAACAAGGTTTCCATGACCAGTATGAGTACATGACTGGTTGTTCAGATTTAGCTCCATTTGAAGGCATTTTCACAGCATAGATTTGACCATCTCCTCTGAAGCGTTTATATACCAATGATCCTGTATCCTGTCCATTATCCCTTTTCGCTGATGATTTAAGTTTGTCTGTCTGTGCCATATCACCTCCATCCATTGTCCCTTCATTTTTGTCTTTCTTAGCGTCATTCTCATCACCATTATGTGCATGGTTATCATCAGTTTTTACTGTCTGTGTTGTGTTTCTATGTTTACTTTCCACATTACGTATGTAATACCAGTTCACCAGCAATTCAATGAAAGCCAAGTACAAGACCCCATATAAGAAACACTCCATATTAAAAGACAGTTGGTAGGTTGCATGCACAGTGGGAACAATGTATAATTGTCCTAAATAGAAGGTGAAAAACATGACTATGATGAACCACATTGGAGCAAATCTATTGACGTCTTCAGGAGTCACTTGGAAATTGTCTATCTTGCTAAGGAACTTATTATACTTCTCAGTCAGTGTTTGCTCTTTGCACTTCTTCTCTGCTTTGGATTTCTCTTCTGCCATTATGTCAGTCCTTCCCTCTTGGTATCACTGCTTCAATTCAGAAATCCAGAGAACAATGCTTTCACTAAGGAGAGTCCAACTACTTATTGACCGTATTATTTATTTCCTGAACCTTCAGTTACAAAATTAATATGAACATGATTCAAATTGATCTTATTGTTTGCCCTTGCTTTATATGCCACCCCTTTTGTGTTTAATTTGTATATTTTCTCTTTAATTGCACCATAAAACTCAGGGTTTTCTATTTCAATATATTTTAACAATGGGTTTTTACCTTTTTCACATTTGTTGCAATTAATCATGGGGCAATGGAGATATTTTATTTGAGAGTTGGTATTGTTATACATAATAGCTTTCCAAAACTTGGATTATCCTATCAATAAAGTATCACAAAGCTCTTGTTGAAAACAAGAAACGAGTTGAAAAGAGTGAAATTAGCAAGAATTAAATCACCCAGTTTGGTTAAAAAGACCACAAAATCAGGAAGTCACAATTACATGTATATGATTTAAGTTTTAAAGAGATATTGAGTGATACAAAGCATAATAACCAACTTGATTTTGAAAGATTTAATTCTAATTTAACTTAGAATTTGCTTCATTTATATGGATTAATACATGTATCCCTTTAGTAAAATGAAAAAGAAATTTATTTTGAATATGACTCTTAAATGAATAACATAACATATAACTTAAATTCCTATGGAACTCATTATTTATTTGATAGCCATAATGTTGTATGTAAAATTTATGTTGTCAAATGAATACATAAATGCATGTGTATTAGAGTATTCATTAAAAATTTTGTCTAATAATACTATAATTTATAATCATCTTAATTTCTCAAAATACTTAACCAGAGCTCTATTAAATTTAACTGCTAAATACCCATGTCATTACATAATTCTTATATAGAGGTACTGTAAAAGCAGTCATTCTTGTTACTAATTTCAAAACTACTAAATATCATACATGTACATGTATAGTCTTCCACATTTAGACATTTATGGTCAGTTTTTGTCCTTGTCCAATACATGTACATATAGTTCATTGATAGATTCATTGTTTGGGTGGTTGGCAAGTTTATGTTTCATTGTTGAATATTTGGTTCTATTAGTATACAATGAATCCTAATTTCATTGTTTCATTTTTTGAATAATTGATGTCCTTGTTTCATTGTTTGATAGATAAACAGACTAGTTCCTTGTTTTATTTGGTAATAGACAGAATACTTCAGACTAGTCCTTGTTTTATTGTTTAATATTCGGCCAATCAAGAGCATTCTGTCGAAGAGGGAAGATATTGTGGCAAGGAAAAATAAAATTCAAATACCAATGGTCACCAAATACTGATTTCAATTCTTTGTGAAAAGAATTTGTATTCTGGATTTTAATCCTGTAATCATACTCAAATGCCGTGACGCCTTTTCTGATAAATATCAACTGAAATTTGACATACCTGAAAGTGACGATCATAAAAAATGCTAGGTTATTAACCACGAAATATAAGATCACATGATAGAATCCAGTATATCCCAAACACCAACGGACAAACGTAACAGGTACTAAAATATCCGTCCATGATAATTGACCAAGATGGGATATCATAATGTATGTATAAAACAGAGTATATATCACTGATAAGGTACAGGCAAAGAAGGCCCAGAATGCAAACACAATAAAGTGACGCTGGTTGTTTAGTCCAATGCATCGACCTGTGAAGTAGCAATGGTGATCTCGTTTCAAGATGCATGCTTTACACAGCGGGCAGTGGTGAGTTCTTGGTGGAACATTATATTGGCATATTAAACAAGGTTTCCATGACCAGTATGAGTACATGACTGGTTGTTCAGGGCATAGACCTACAGAATGTCCATGATCAGGGTTATTAGCTCCACTTGCAGGCATTTTCACAGCATAAATTTGACCATCTCCTCTTGAGCGTTTCCATACCAACGATCCTGCATTCTCTCCATCATTATTTTCTAATGATTTTTCATTTTCCTCACTTCTGTCCTTTGTTGCATAATTTTGTCCTTTATTAGATCCATTTACTTCACTTATATGCACATGGTTATCATTTTTTTCAACAACACGTGCTGTGTTTCTATATATACTTCCTACATTGCGTATACAGTACCAATTCATCACCAACTGCGCAAATGCCCAGTATGAGATCCCATATAGAACATACTCTGTACTGGCAGAGAGTTCATAGCTTGCATGCACCACAGGGGCCACACAGAACTGTCCCAAATAGAATGTGCAAAACATGGTTACAATGAACCATATGGGAGCCAGTGCATTGACATGTTTGGGAGTCACTTTGAAGTTTTCTTTGTTGCTAAGGATCTCGTTATACTTCTCAGCCAGGGATTTCTCACTGTACTTCTTCTCTGATTTTGACTTGCCTTCTGCCATGTTGTCAATAAGTCTGAAACAGTATATAATATTTCATCAGGTATTGACAATAACATAAATTCATGCTCATATTTTTGAGGGTTTCTCTAGCTAATAATCTGCCATATTGTTCTGAAATGAAATCTGAGATTTATTAAAATATTGGTAACATAAAAGTGGGATAACATCGTTCATTTACAGTTTGTATTCTTATTTTATTTGTATTTTAACAGTTTCTTCTTGATGTTTAAGCCTTTCATGGATTTGTTCTCCAGATTCTTTCATTAATGGAACAATTTCAAACATTTACTTGAGAATGGTTCAGTTATGAATCACTTTAATTGTAGAAAGTTTGCACTTACATGGATTTCTGATGCTTTGGTGCTAATTGCAGTAGTTATATGAGATTAAATGTACCAATATCACTTGTGACCTGTCGAGTTGTTCCTATTGGTATGTCTGCTATCCTAAATTCAAAAGTCCAGAGAACATATTCTGTTTGGATTTTCAGGAGATTCCACGCTTTAGGACAATGGTACATTAGTTATAAGACCTTGTTCTGTTGCATATACCTTGCATTAGTTGGAAAACTTCAATAAGGTCGCATTAATAGAATCATTCCTCAAGTTTACCCTTGCTTTACATGTCACCCCAATCATGTTCATCTTGTTTCATTCATTCAGATAAGTGTCTAATGAAATACAGTGCTGTCTACCATTTCAGTATAATTTCTTGTCTTTGTTTCACAATGCAATGAATGGCTTGCTAAATTGCCTACAAATCCCACTTATTTTCACTTTTTGTAGTTAAGTATAGATATTTTATTTGAAAGTTAGTATTGTTATATTTATGCTATACAAATAGCTTTCTGAGACATGGATTATCCTATAAATATAATATCACAGGGGTCTAATGTTAAAAACACAAAATAGAGTGGAAAGAGTGGAAATAGTGAGCAATAAATTACCCAGTTTGGTTAAAAAACTTCAAAATATCAGGCTTTATATAATCATTTAAATTAATGCGATATGAAGGGAAATAGAAGCAAAAAAGGTTTGATATTAAAGGGTTTACTTCTGTTGGTCTTAACTACAGATTTTGGCTCATTTATGGAGAAATACCTGTAATACCCGTATCCCTTAAATGAAATGAAAAAGAAATATTGTTGGGAATTTATTATAAATATGACTTAATTTTCAATGGAATTTATTAGATAATTGATAAATAGTCATAATGTTGTTTGTGAAATTGAATGCAGTCTTGTAAATAAACAACGAGAGGACAGCATAATTTTATTGCATAAATTTTATTGATTTTTTTGCCAATAAATGTACAGGATGTAGATTGTAGTGATGGTTTTTCCCTTTTTCTTGAAAGCTCATGGTTTTTCAGCCTGATTGAAAAATGAAAAGTCAATAAACTCTAAAACAATAAACTACATATCAAAACTATATGAAACTGAACTGCAGGGAATTTTAAAAAACACAAAATAATGAATATTTCATTTATATTATTTATTTATTTATTTTGATTAAATCTTTTAAAAGACTTAAAAATCCAAACACTTTTGGCCTGTCTAAGTATATATACTTTTATGGTTGAATCATATACTTTCATGGTTGATCACATACGTTCAGGGTTGATCATGTACTTTTAGCCTATTTCAGGGTTGATCACATACTTTCATTGGATGGTTGTATCATGTACTTTCATGATTGCACATGTACTTTCATGGTTGAACATGTACTTTCATGGTTAAACATGTGCTCTCAGGGTTGATCATGTACTTTCATGGTTGATCATGTACATTCATGGTTGATCATGTACTTTCATGGTTGATCATATACTTTCATGGTTGATGCATATACTTTCATGGTTGATCACATACTTTCAGGGTTGATCATGTACTTTTAGCCTATTTCAGGGTTGATCACATACTTTCATTGGATGGTTGTATCATGTACTTTCATGGTTGATCACAGACTTTCATTGTTGATCGTATACTTTCAGGGTTGACAAGGAAGATGAGATGGAATGCTTGATTAAAGGCTGCAACTTCCTCCTGAATAACATTCCTGATGAGGCATTCATGTTTCAGAGACATGAGATGCCTGAGTACAGATTTGAGCCAGTTGATCCAAATGTCTTCCCATATCTTCTAGTAAACATTGGCTCTGGAGTGAGCATACTAAAGGTGAGTGATACTGTATTAATACTTTGGTAAGGGATACTGAGTTTATCGAATGGAAAGTTACAATCAGATTTATTTTCAATATTGAAAAATATATTAACTCTCATGGATATACTTAGCATAATTGAGATATGTTTACATGAATATAATCATTGGTCTTAATATTTAAAACTCAAAGGTTTAGTAAATATATACCTGGAAATATATTATGAAGGCAATATCTTAAGATGATTACAGATATTATGTCATTCATATTTATAGGTTGAGTCAGAGAGCAAGTATGAGCGTATAGGTGGCACTTCCATGGGAGGCGGGACCTTCTGGGGACTGGGCTCTCTGCTCACACAAGCCAAGGTACATTGCAAACCAGTCAGACTCATCAATTTATGAATTGTTCATGATATCTCTCATATTGACCAAGTGGATATCACTCTCACTCGCTCAAGGACTTTTCATTGATTCCAAGATGAAATACCTTTAAAGGATATGTTATAGCTGATTATCTTTTTTTGTGTATGATGCCATAGGGACAAGATCAACAGAAAGATGACATTAAAGGAATATTCCTTGCCAGACCCTTTCTCTCTTGATATGGTAGCTTTAATCATATACATAGTTTCCATATTTAGCAAAACATGGGAAAATGTTTTAATATGGTCAATATTGATCATTTAAAAATCTAGTGCTTATTTCCAGTGAGCTGCCATCTTTTAAGATTTCTTGCAGGAAGTGATGTCATCAACTCTCAACTTCTATAAGCTTGCCCATAACAGTATAGGAAAGTAGCACAAAATTACTTCTAGACAAGTGATAACATTTTCAGGGCTTGTCAACTTAGAATAAAAGAAGAGATTTTCAGAAGGATTAAATAAGATACAAAGTTGAAAAAGAATATTTAGCTGGTTTTGTAATTCTTAATAGCTCCTCACCTAATGCTATATGCAAAGTTGAGAGTCGATGACATCACTTCCTGTGTGAAATTTTGAAAGATGGCAGCTTACTGGAATTGAGCATCACATTTCTAAGTGATCAAAGACCATATCAAAACATTTTTGCGTGTTTTGCTAAACATGGCAAGCATATATATGGTTATAGCTACCATATGAGGAGAAAGATGGTTTGGCAAGGAATATTCCTTTAAAGAACATTTAAATGAAGAATCCACCACTGCCTTCTCTCTGTTGACCCATATGTTGTATACTTCACATAAGTGCTTGAATATGCATGGAAATCTTGTTCATTTATCTTTTATCTTCCAGGGGTTTGATCATCTACTACACCTGGCAGAGAAAGGAGATCACCGCAATATTGATATGCTTGTGAAGGATATATATGGTGGGGCATATTCTGCATTAGGGCTTCCTTCAGATCTTATAGCTAGTAGCTTTGGTAGGGCAGCTAGATCTGCTGGAGGAACTGAAGGTAATATTCTACTATTGTCTTGTTAAAGTGCAACTAAGGATATATATGGCAGGGCATATTCTGCATTAGGGCTTTGTTCAGATCTCCAATTACGAATGTTATTTTCTGATGTCTGATTTTTAATGCTGATTTCTAATGTTGATTTGTCTTTCCAAATGTTTTTATTTCTTCATGTGTCTAAATAACATAATTAATTACTATTCATAATAAAGAGCTTTGATTAATCTCAATTTCTGCAAATTTCATTGCAAACATCACATTTATAAGCTCAACATTCACAGCGGCTCCAACTTGAAATTTGATGATAGGTACTTCTTTTATGAATTGATTAAGATCCAATATGGCATCATTGCATAGCAACGCAAGTAGTGCTATAGATGGCGCTGAATCAAAGTGATAAACCTAATTTGTTTCTGTTTCCAGATGTTAGTCACAAACCAGAAGACATTGCAAAGAGTCTGCTCCTAGGCATCAGTAATGATATTGGCCAAATCGCCTACCTCAATGCAAAACTACATGGCTTAAAAAAGATATATTTTGGAGGATATTTCATTCGGGGCCATCCTATGACAATGCACACCATCACATTTGCTATCAATTACTGGTCAAAGGTAATTTTGCATAATTTTGTTAAATAAAATTAGTGTCAATTTAGTGTCCCGTTCTTGAAAATTTCTTCTGTCCAATCATGGGCTTTCAATTCTAGTTGAAAGCCCATGGTCCAATTGATTGTTAATTGAAGGCAAACTATGTACACGTACTTATACTGACTTACATCGCATCATGGATTTTGATAATATTGTGATTTTGTATTTCAATTCCAGGGAGACATCCATGCTCTTTTCCTGAGGCATGAAGGCTATCTTGGTGCTATAGGGGCATTCCTCAAGGGCACTGAAGAAGCAGGTATAATAGGATTCTCTGAGAAATAGATTTAGATTTTAAATAATACAAGTACTGTACATGAAAATGATCAACAGGATGTTTTCTCTCCCAATATTTTTTATGAGGGGACATTAACTCATATTTTACCCAAAATGCATTAATATAAGTTAAGTTAAAATTAATCAATGTAAAATCAATTAACTGTGCGCTGTTTGTATTACTCTCACACCATTTCATGCTTCGCAGACAAGTATGAGGATGTATTATTTCGACAAAATTTGATGCAAGAATGGTGAGGAAAGTTGGCGTTTGAACAGCAACGTATTTCAGTGCCAAACAGCTTAGAATACATTTGGTGCTGTTTTGACAAAATTTGATGCCGGAATGGTGCCGAATGTTGGTGTCAAAATGTCAATATACATTCTGTGCCAAAATCTGCAGAATTTCAGCATCAAAACAACATCAACAGAATTTGGTGTCAGAATGGTGCCAAAACAGCACCAAATTATATTCACTGTGTACTCTACCCACAATGCATTATGTTTCAGATTCAGAGAAGTACTCCTGGAGATGGTCAGATATGGATGTGACAGGATGGAAAGAGAATTTGTATTCCAGTTCGGGTCTTCCTAGCCCCCGTGCATTTGAAAACCCCCTCCCCAGGGACAGAAGCTCCACCGTGAGTACAATACAGTGAACTACCCCAGGAACAGTGGGAAAATTTGTTTAAATATAATTACATAAAATCCAATTTGATCCTATTTTTTATCATACTGTAGAACAATAAATAAGAAATACATATGATGAAGGAAATGGGTTATATTTTTTGTTGTGTCCATTACTTTTGATTCACCCCTCGTATACTGTACTTTCAGTTTGACATGTTTGAGTTGGATCGCTATGAGAAACCACAGGTGCATTTCCCATTGCTGTTAGACCCAGCTAGTTACTTTCCTGATACAGAGGACCTCACACAAGACCACCTTGCCATGGAATACTGGCTCAATTGTTTCCAAGATGCTATAGATGGGGTAGGCGCAACCATGTCAGTGGTTTTTCCATTACAAATGTTGTTTCAGCGTAATTATATCCAAATATCAAAATCTCCCAATTGTGTTTCTGAATACACCCAGCTTGAAATTATTGTCATATGATTTATTGGGCAACTTTTGTAATGAGCAAAATGTGCTAGCTACATGTAGTTTGTTTTTTTGTGCTAGCTCCCAGGATGTAGCTCTAGCATTACCTTGTGCATTGCTTTGTCCCTTATAGCAGCCTCCATACTTATGTTTCAGTTTGTCCAGAGGGCTATATCAAGTCAGCCGAATACCAAAGATGCTGTTGAAAGGGCCCACAAGTTCAAGGCCAACTATATACAGAAGTTGAATGAACTCAGAGAAAATCCTATGTAAGTACAAAATACAGCAAGCATGAATACACCAATGTCATGTGATGCAATGTGATATGATGCAAATCATGTGAAATATGCTTAGCCAAAGCGCTTTTACTTTGCATGGTATTTTTAAAGAACAGTAGTAGGTGCAAGCCCATGTGACTACACACCACAAGGGAGTATACAGGATTTAGATAGGGGGAGGGGGTCCAGATATTTCATGGGACTTTGTTTTCCACATACCGTATGTAAAATGTGGGAAGTAGGTGAGCTAATTACAGGAAATCTGACATTCTAATTCTAGTCACCAAAGCACATTTATAACATTTATTCATTTATTTTTCTTTCAAATTCAAATTGTATGTACATATTTGTTATATTTCATACTTTAGGTAAATACCCTTGAGCCACCTTGCACCATTTAAACAGTTTTTTTGTAGCAGAAATACATAAAAAGAAGTCCAAGTTTTGGTTGTAGCTCTATAGATAATTGTGAAATTTGACTCGGTCATCTGCCTCATGTAGGCACTGTTTCTCAACCAATGTAAATGTTTATTGGACTGGATTGTCTACCTCACAGTATTGCCGTTGTTTCAATCGTTAACTGGTTCCCATGAATTTTTCTACAAACTCTGAAAATAGATTATTACACCATTATATATTATCATATACAGGGTGAGCCAAAAAATTTAATCCGAACAAATGTATCTTAATAACTCGGTCACCAGCATGGGCTTAGAGTCATATTTGGGACAATCAAACCTTGTTCAATTGTTCCTTTTTCTTCCCAGTTTCATTGGTCACAATGTTATGGCCCTTTCCAAAACATGGTCTAAATGCCGCAACAGCTACAGTAGGCCACACTCACTAGACATGAAACACCCCAGAGTTTTATTTGTGGGGTTGATGTCAATACTAACAACCCTTAAAACATTGAAACAAGAGATAAGAAGGGAGATGTGAGCCATTACAAAAGATGTCTGTGCTCATGTAATGAACAACTTTGCCAGATATGTCCAAGTTAGCCTCCAGACACAACACCAGTATTTTACAGCATGTTTTGGAAAATGGCCATAAAATCGTGACCGTTGGGCTAATTGAAAGCCCATGGTTGGGGCTAGACCAATAACACTTGGTAGAATGAAAGCACATTGAACAAAGTTTAATTTTGCCAATTATAAGTTTAAACCCATGTTGATTGCATTTGCACATTTCAAAACTGTGTAAGATAATAAGTTTCTCCTTACAGGGTTCAAAAGACCAAGTTGTTCACACTTAAATGAATTACCTTCATAATTTATTCGTCCATCCCCATCCACATCACAGGGTTTGATTATGTATTCCTCGACTTCTTCCATTGACATTTCCTCTCCCATTTTGGTCAATACTACCAACATCTCTCTAAAAGCACCAAACATTTTGGTTAATACTACCAACATCTCTCTAAAAACACCAAACATTTTGGTTAATACTACCAACATCTCTCTAAAAACACCAAACATTTTGGTCAATACTACCAACATCTCTCTAAAAACACCAAACATTTTGGTTAATACTACCAACATCTCTCTAAAAACACCAAACATTTTGGTTAATACTACCAACATCTCTCTTAAAACACCAAACATTTTGGTTAATACTACCAACATCTCTCTAAAAACACCAAACATTTTGGTTAATATTACTAAACATCTTTCTGAAAACATTAGAATATAATAAATCCTAAAATAATAAAAGAAATAGGTTTCATTAGAGAAAAACAATATCTGGACTCTAAAAGTTTATCATGAAAGGTGATTTTCTCTCCAGTTGCAAATACATAAATCAAACAATACTGTTCATAGGGATTTTATTAGTTTTCTAATAAATGTCCTCTTTAGATGTTATTACAATTTCCACATGGATATTTTGAGATCCTGGATTTTAGATGAATTTTTGATATTTTCCTTTGGTGGATAAAGTTAATTTAGCTGAATTTAACAGACAGTTACGTAGCTGGTATTATTGTTATTATGTTCATATTGAAAATGTATTATTTGTCATACTTTGCAGATATGTATCCATTTCCATCTTTATCGAATACTTTGAATGCCTGTCTTAGTTCATCTTCTACTTCTTCTTCTGGTTTCACAGTAACACTCATCAACTCTAGGAACTCATCAAACTCCATCCTGCCATTCTCTGAATATGGATTGGGAAATATATATGTAAGCAAGTAAAAGACAAGAAATCAAAAGATCATTGTGCAATAATATATGGAAAAATATATTCCTATTGTACATAAATGACATTTGTATATATTTTGAATTGCTTCTAGTTTAGCTAATAAATATTTTGATGCTTCTCTGCCATAGTATTTTCAAAAAGATTAACATGACTGAAATTCTTTAAATTACAAGAAGGCATAGGCTTATTGCACAAAAAACTAAATAATCTCTTTTACAAATGTCATTCATGTACATTATGAATATACTTTTCCATATATTATTGCACAGTGGTCTCCTGATTTCTTATTTTGGGGTTCTACTGACAAAATAAAACAGTGAAATGTGCTTTAGTTGTCATATTGTGTAAAATAGACAATATATGCAATACATTTAATTCAGAAATAATTCTCTGGAAAATGGGATAAAGTTAAACCCCGTGGTTGTTGGAAAATGGCTGAGGGTACTCACGATTAACATCATGCTTCTTAATTAATTCTTCAACTTCTTTGTTGGATGGGTTCTGTCCTATTCCCCTCAGTAGATCTCCTAGTTCCATGAGATCAATGGTACCACTATTATCACTATCAAATAAGTTAAATGTGGACTTGTAATCTGGAAAGTGTGTTGCATTATATTTACATTTGATAAACCATACAGCAACCGTTGCTTCCCAGAGTCAAGAGAAATATGCAGCTTAAAATGTAGGGATAAGCAGAATGAAATAGATTTTCGATATCACTTTTGTGAAGCTACAGCTGCTATAGAACATATTAAGTGACTAAGGCTTTACTAGGGTGACTAAGGCTTTACTAGGGATTTAATAAGTCATTAATATAAGTCAAATGTAAAAAATTATGACCTCGATTTTTTACATTTAGCTACTTCTATTCCATTATGAATATACCAATTCGATACACGAAACACTGATTTACATATTACATTATTATATGTATATAATTTAAACTCATACCTTTTATTTGACTCTCAGTAAAAGTCACCTTTTTCCTTTCACAATCCTCTTTCTCAGCCTGTAAAATATAACATTGTAATATGACATGATCTTTGTAGAACAATTGTCACATTTGAAGTGCCCTATTGGACTGATTTTATGGGTGAATGGAATATCAAGTACAGCTTTGTACTTTATTTACTTAACAATATTACGATCGCCCATTTGATCAGGCATGTGTGATTCCTTTCAGTTAGCCATGTTCCTTGTATGTTTGGCAAAGTTGGATGGTGTATTTCTCTGGTTTACATTAGTCTGTATAGTCTCATTGTTTTTAGATCATTTTACATCGTATAATAAAATCTGTGTTTCTTCTTCTGATGGACTAACACTTTTGTTACAAAAGTTGACTTTATGGACAAACACCTCTTAATCTAAATGCTTTTGGTTGATTTGAGTGGCATTTTGATTTGAAATGTTTTGTTACATTTAGCGAAGTTCATTTATCATTCATTCAAAAAATGGATTAATATTGTGTCAAAGATACATCACACTTGTATGTTATTTACCATGGAGTCATGCTGTATATTAAACTGATTTAGATCTATCTTGACTTATATTTTTATGGATTTTATCATGCTCTATTTATTTAGTATTTTTGTATTTTGTAGTTAGTTAGTTTAGTTTTAGTTGATTTTTGTATATTGTATATTGTAGTGACTGATATGTCATTGTAATGGTAATAGACCTCTATAATATCCATGGGAATTCAAGAGATGTTGCCCATGATACATCTAATTACACTTCAAATAAAATATATTTGTTAGAAAATCACAACTTATTGCATCTATGCCGAGAACAGTCCTTCAAATACATCAATAAAATTATAAACCTGGGGGACATTGATTTAAGGTTCAGCTGGAAAATAACATTTTGGTAAAAAATTGCTATACATGCACATGTTATTTTCTGGTACAAAATAAAGTATGAAGGCATATGTCAATTTCCTTGCTTTTTTCAGGAAAGTAAATAATGTTCATGTCAACTTGTATACTTGTATATAAATGTGCTTAGGTTTAAAAACTCCAATTACAAATTGGGAAATAATGGATACATACAAACATAAACACTATAATTCAATGTTGAAGTATTTTTCAATCTGACACTTCAACGCTAGTACTTTAATATTGGTCATAATGAAAATAAATAGATAAGTACAGTATTTTTAAACAATTCATTATAAATAAATAACAAGCTCACCATTTTTGTTCCTCAGCCCTACTTCAATATATTTGCTTATAACTATCAGGTTACTAAACTTCACTTCACTAATATGGTATAATAGGTCACTTGGCAATAATACAAATCCAATTACTTTCAGTGGGCTAATACAGATATATACATGTACGCTGTTGGTCAAATATATGGAATATTGGGCATTTCACAAAAATCGGTATTTGTCGTAAAGTTTTAATTGCTTGAAAGTATGGGAGTGATTGTTTTAAAATCTTTAGTTGAAAAAGGTATTCCAGGAAACCTTTATAACTCTCAAGAATATTACTACCTTAGTATTCTCCAAGATTTCAATGGATTCTGAAGGAATAGTTCCTGGGAAATGAAAAATGTGGTTAATGTGTCATGTTAATGTGTCATGTTAATTACAAATGTGTTGTTTATTTTTCCTGGCTGTTCTCCATTCATAAAAATTTGAGAGGACATTGGAATGAGGAAATCAACTGTAAATTAAAAAATATTCCATATATATGAGCAACAGTGTATCTTGCAATCTTATTTATGTATATGTAATATCTCATCTGGGCAGCCAATTTGTTATTGTTTCCAATGTTGATTCAGAAATACATTTTTGATATGGCATTCCCTGTGTGTTTTATAATGTACATAACTATATATGTTGAAATATATGTATATATTTTTTTATTAATGATATCTATATCAGTTTTCACCATCTTTCTATTTAGTTAAGGTATTATGGTACTTTCATGTTCTCCTGTATGATACCATGGACTTTCAGTCCAGTTGAAAGCCCAGTTGAAAGCCCATGATGATAATAATATACAATAGGAATACATCTGCAAACAATATCATATACTGTACTCATTAAAATGATGATCTATTTCAAAGGAATTCAAGTACTTTAAAACATGCATTAATTCAAATTATTGACAATAATTTCATTTATGGCAATGTGAGAGTCGGTTAAGGTTTAGGTATGAACAAGCCCTAAGAAGACCATTCCCCGGTTATCCCAGGTAAATGTTTCTGGTAAGTTACACTGAACGAAACATCAAGCTTCAGATCTCGAGAGTACGAGATGAGACTTTAGACGAGATATCGATAGGATTGTAGTTGGAGGGTTTTCTCCCTAGGTGCGTACAAAATCCATTAACATCAATGTAAGTTATACATTTCGATTCTTTTTATCGACATTTATCTCTTGTATATACATTTATCTATCGCTGAATCGTTTTGTGAAAATTTTATCGTAATATTTCACACAAAAAACGTCAGTTTTAAAAAGTTCAAAAAAATTTCAAACACGTTTTATCTTTTGTCTTTATGACTTTGTAGTTTTATGTTTGAAGTATTCAATTGATATCTCGTACATATGGTTTAAAACTTGAATTTATACAAAAGAATTAATTTATTGATGAATATGGACACGTCACATATTACTCGAGTCTCTACCTTACAGCTAGATGTAACTTCATTTATTTCGTATGTACTCGTATTTCGTATGTAAAAATTGCCACACGCACCTAGAATTCATTTTATATTAATTATATTTAGGATGAAACGTTGCTTGTTTGGATTTAGATATTTCAAAATTTCTTTTCGGAGTTTGACACATGGTTAAATTTTCTCGCTGTAGCTAAAAATGGCTTCCGGTTCCAGACGTGAATAATGTAGGAAACTTTGAAATTATTCTCGCTTAAAGAAATCAAATATAACAATAGATTCAGACGGAGATGTGTGCTGATGTTTCTCAAATCTATACATAAAGGTATATTTCATATTATTATGCCGTATTTCCTGTGCGTGTGACACATTGATTTACAATATTTACAACACCAAGGCAGCTAATCTTTCTACTCAAAGCCGGAATATAGAGAAGGTTTGGACCTAAGTAAATCACATACATGTCCTCAAGTTACGTTCAATAGACTCCATCCAATCTAATAACAGATATTTCATTTATTTACGAGTGTAAGTAACCTTGTAGGCTATTAAATAAATATATCTATTCTATTTATTATCCCATTCCAGAGATTTCTGGTTGTTATTGGGATTATTCATAGTACCATTAAGGTACAGATATCATTTTATTACTTATATATATTTATCTCTTGAGAGAGCTATAATTATTCCTTTTCTTCTATATTTCTGACACCTTATTGCACATAATAAACTTTACTCTGAGGATAAGACAGGAGTCAATAATATCCTTACCTTTCTTCTCCCATTATACAAGACAATTAGAGATGCCTAATGTTATTAGGGTCAGCATTATAGGCCACAGTTTTGTTCGGAAAATAGAAGAATCTAACCAATTTGACTTTAAATTAAAGGAAGACATAGTTAACTATAATACCATTGTTTATACAATTAAACAATTTCAAGATGATGTAAAATATAAAATTCCCTATCCAGATTTGGCTATATTACAGCTAGGAGAAAATGATCTGGTTCATAGATCATCTACCTTTGTTGCAATAAATCTCATCACTTTGGCTGAACAATATTTAGATATACATCCATCCTTCATTAAAAGCCTTTTATATTGGATAACTATTTCAACGCTCATGGCATCCTTTCAAATCCTCGATCAATACTGCTTCAGAATGCATTCAATATAATTCAATATTTTATCTACCAATTTCAAATTTTTAAATGATATTCATCATCATAAGGGCAATAGACTTTTGTTCCTACATCACCCACATACCACCCAATATAGAATCAATGGTCAAATTTGATAGATGACTCCTACGATCCCACACATCTCAATGCAAGGGGAAAAGCATTTCTTCAAGTCCTGGAAAGGCGCAGTCCTGAGATTTCTTGATTACATTTATTAGGTAATAATAATTAGACTTAACATTAGAAGAGACGGCTACTCTTCTCTAACCAAACATAAGCCAGAGAGTCGTTAACTTTTCACAATAGTTTATTCACTTAGTTATCCTTCATAAGTACTATACTTATATTAGGAAATTTAGTTTCCTGTTTACTTATATGTTATCATATTTATATTATGATAAATATATATCATTTTGTATATCATCCGCATTTATTCATGCAGTGTATACTATACCTTTAGACATGATATGTTATCATATTTATATTATGATAAAATTCATATTATTTTATATTTCATATGCATTTATTCATGCATTGTATACTTTACCTTTATTCTTAAAGGTTATCATATTTATATTATGATAATTCATATTATTTTATATATCATATGCATTTATTCATGCATTGTATACTTTACCTTTATTCTTAAAGGTTATCATATTTATATTATGATAATTCATTTTTTATATATCATATGCATTTATTTATGCAGTGTATTCTAAATCATATTTATTATGATTAGCCTTATGGGCATCATATTTATATTATGATAATTCATAATCTTTATATATCATATGCATTTATTTATGCAGTGTATTCTAAATCATATTTATTATGATTAGCCTTATGGGCATCATATTTATTTTATGATAATTCATAATCTTTATATATTATATGCATTTATTTATGCAGTGTATTCTAAATCATATTTATTATGATTAGCCTTATGGGCATCATATTTATATACATCTAACATGGAGCATGTGCTTCTATTTATATTTATCTAAATGTTTTTATGTCTTGAAGTTGCTTACCCTATATATAACTACTAATTATTTCACTGAAAATGTCTGAAACTGAAGGACCTAACCCAAGTATTACTATAGAAGAGTATCACACTTCTAATACCCTGACTGCAGCCAAGTCTATGCCCACTTTAATAAGAGGCAACTTTACAACAACTTTTCCCTTATCCCCTTTCCCTTCTTATTCCACTACATCTTCCATTCCAACCCAACATTTCATTCTCTCTAAATAGACCCACAGCATCCATTACTCGCCCTATTCCATCTTTTGCATCAAGCGCTAATATCCAACCCTACCCTTTCATCCCTCCAGTCTCTACTAACCTTTCAGCTTTTCATAATTCCCAACCCGTCTCTACAGCTTATGGATTAATTCCCAACACAAATGCCATGCTACAAGGACAGGTGTCAGTAGCTTCAATGAATCCAATTCCCAGTTTTCAACATATTACATTACATTAATTTGTCCATATTTCAGATTTTGCGGATTTACTTTAATTCATTTCTATGATGTTCTTATATTTTGGTATTCATGTATTGATTCATGATTGTATTGAAGAAGACAAAAACAATGATTATGTCCTCTGTGAGATGTAATCTGACAATTCTTTTGAATCAAAACATTTGAATTTAAACCCTTCAAAGAAGGGAAAATCCTTTCATTTCCAGAATGGGTCCGAGCATTCAGTATATTTATTGCTGTCTATACCCAAAGATTTCATGATCAAACCCCTCACCTCTTGAAATATATATCCCCTTGTCCCTTTAACCACACCTGCCCAACTTGCAAAATGTTACTCCCGCAACAACGGCAGGCAAGCCCAATTCCCCAACAAAAAGCGCTCAGGTACTGGAGACTCCAGTTAAACCTGAAAGACTCAGATATTGGCTTGAAGGCTATGAACATCAAGAAGAAACAGTTCATGGTTTCTAGTACGGATTTACATTTCCTCACTCTGATTTGCCAGAACATTACAACATTACTCATGATAATTTGTCATCATATCTAAGAACCCAGAAGCTCTCAAAAAATTAAACAAAGAGCTTAAAGCTGGTAGAATACTTGGACCTTTTGACCAGCCACCATTTGATATTATTTCACCCTTATTTCTCGTTCCTAAAAATCTCCAGGTGAATTCTGTGTTATTCACAACTTATCACATCCCAGAGGCCAATCCATAATGATACTATCCCAGACGAAACTTCTACAGTTAAATATGCAACCGTACAACAAGCCATAGATATTATAAAACATTTAGGAAAAGGTTGCTTCTTGTGTAAGACTATTAGAAGCTTGTTTGCTCATGGAAATGGCAAAACAATCTTTGACACTTTATGTAACATCAACCCCTTTACCATTAAGCCAAAACCAGAGAAAGTCTCAAAAAGAGAACTTTTATCTGCTATAGGATTCCTTAGTTACTGTCTGACTGTTGTTGTGTGATTCCTTTCGGTAGATCATTTATTTCAATATTTATTCATCTATCTAAAAAATGAAGAAGCTACATTATAAAATCTTAATCAACACTCCATCTATGCAGGATTTATTAATGTGGAAATAGTTTCTATTCCCTTTAATGGGAAATCTATTTTCCTTACAGAAGAACAAGAGACAAGAGAACAATTGCATCTTTTACCGATGCTTCTACTACGATAGGCTATGGAGCCGTTTGCAATAATCTTTGGTTTAAAGGGGAATGGCCATCAGAATGGAAAGAATTGGACATCAATATTCTTGAATTTTATCCTATTGTTACTGCTATACTTACATAGGCAAAACTTATGTCTGGACACACAGTTATCCTGCATTCTGACAATGAAGCAGTAGTGAACATACCGAAATAAATTTTCTACCAGCAATCAAACGTCCATGCAACTCTTACTTCCTATTTATTAAAATGTCTCTTAAACAATATCATGTTTAAAGTGAACACATTGCTGGTATTCATAATTCTGCTGCTGACGCTTTATCTAGAAACAATTTATGTTACTTTTTATCTTTTTAGAAGCACTTCAAGCTGCCCAAGCCCCGTCTACCAGAAAGTCATATGATTTATTAGTACAGTCCAACTCCCAGACAGGTATAGGTGAATTTCCTCTAACCCCAGCCTCTGCTAGCCTTTTTGCAGCACATCTTCGTTTAAAGAATTATGCCCCTAATTCATTCAAGTCAGCTCTGTCTGGTATATCATATTTATCATATTTTCACAATTAACAATTTCAAAGATCCCACTACTTCTTATGTAGTCTCTCAAATAGTTTCCGGTTTTTGTAAACAAAATCCTAGCATAGACACTAGATTGCCAATCAACACAGCCTTGTTAGAACAAATGGTTTCTAAAACTTCTGAAGTAGATTTTGACCCTTTTGCTCAAGTCTTGTACAGAGCTATGTTATCTACAGCCTTTTTGGCTTACTAAGAAGTAGTGAGTTGACAAGTACTTCCACAGGACACAACTCACAGTTAGAAAGTATTCAATTCTCTCCCGATGAAGCCTTTTTCATTATTACTTTTTCACATTTTAAACATAGCTCATCTCCTGCTACGATATCAATTAATTCTCAATTACCATCTTGTTGTCCAGTATTACATATGAAGTTGTACCTGAACATAAGGTCCTTTAAATCAGGTCCTCTTTTCATTTATAGAGATGCTCCAGTGAAGACTTCTGTATTTAACAATTTTCTTCACAGACTCTTTTTTAATGTCAGGTAGATCCTACCTTCTATAATTGCCACAGTTTGCGGATAGGCGGAGCTACATGGGCCACAAATCTTGGACTTGATGACTATACTATCAAAAGATTGGGAGATGACATACATACATACATTAAAAAATATATTAGGTAGACATTTATAAACTCAGACTGGTGTCGAGTATGCAATTTTCATTAAAGCCCCAAAGTTGCTCAGACAGGTGTCGAGTATTCAATTTTCATGTAAACCCCAAAGTCGGCTCAAACAGGTGTCGAGCATGCAAATTTCAAGTAGCTACTGTTTTTTCTTCATGATGTACTAGAAATTTAATTGAGATAAACCCGCACTTTCTGAATTCAAAAATTTTCATTCAATTCTAATTCCTTTATCTTACCTGAGATTGACAGCATATTACATTACATTACATTAATTTGTCCATCCATATTTCAGAATTTGCGGATTTACTTTAGTTCATTTCTATGATGTTCTTATAATTTGGTATTCATGTATTGATTTGTGTGTATCATTAAATGATTTAACTACTTTCTAATTAATCTTCTTTTCTTTTGGGCTCTCGCGAGAGATCGCGCATGGCCTTATTTTCGCCCAAGAAGATGAGTTGGAGATGGTATTATAATATATCCAATTGAGCTAATTAACAGTTATGTCAAATTGTAAACTCTTGTAGCTAATTAACTTAAATTAGCCATTATTTTCCAAGGTATTGTGTTTTGTGTTAATATACCAATACGCGATAACGTTTAATTTCGTACAGTTTCGTTACCTCTCGTTTGAAGAGCTCTCATGTATGGTACAACTTCGTCTACATCCGGGTTCTTTCCCATTGGATTACACAGGGGTGCTATTTTCAATACCGCATTGCGGCTCTATTAAACATTTATGTAGAGTTTCATTTGCACAAACGATAGGTATGTATGTAATTAAGATATATGACAAAGCTTTTTGAGCTATAATCCCCAAATCCGAAGAAATCTGTAGTTGAAAATGCCGTCCAATTCCAGTGACGTCACTGATATCCCAGAGATTGCTCAGACGCCATCGAAGATCGAAAAATATAAATAATGTTACTTTGAATCTCCGATAATCTTTCTGATTATTGAATAGATTGGATTATATAACTATGCTTGAGGGCTGATGGAAGATCAGAAGCTGAGAAACGTTCAGAGTAATCGACTCGTTCGGCGGGCCAATGAAAATTTGTCCCTTCCAAAGCGATGCATCATGGGAGATATTTATGTAAATTACCACCTGAACTCTTATCGCGAATAGGAGTATTGGCTCAATATTTATTTATATTAATTTTATATTAATAATTTTACATGTACGACTCTCACGGCCATATCTATACTCTACATGAACATAAATTCAAATTATTGACAATAATTTCATTTATGGCAATGTGAGAGTCGGTTAAGGTTTAGGTATGAACAAGCCCTAAGAAGACCATTCCCCGGTTATCCCAGGTAAATGTTTCTGGTAAGTTACACTGAACGAAACATCAAGCTTCAGATCTCGAGAGTACGAGATGAGACTTTAGACGAGATATCGATAGGATTGTAGTTGGAGGGTTTTCTCCCTAGGTGCGTACAAAATCCATTAACATCAATGTAAGTTATACATTTCGATTCTTTTCCCTCACCTCCTTCCCCAGCTTACACCACCAGTTGGAGATTTATTTTCGCCCAAGAAGATGAGTTGGAGATGGTATTATAATATATCCAATTGAGCTAATTAACAGTTATGTCAAATTGTAAACTCTTGTAGCTAATTAACTTAAATTAGCCATTATTTTCCAAGGTATTGTGTTTTGTGTTAATTGGCTCAATATTTATTTATATTAATTTTATATTAATAATTTTACATGTACGACTCTCACGGCCATATCTATACTCTACATGAACATAAATGTGATTGCAGATCTCATGGGTCGCTAACAGTGAGGAGTTTACTAGACACGAGAGAGCAATGTATGGAGGAATTTAATTTCTCGGACCCCTTCTCAGAGGTGATTTTATACACAATGTCTCATTTTCCTTCATGCAGGAAAGGGTGTCAAATGACCCCCCCCCCCCTTTGTGGTTTCTCCTTTTATATAGGCTGAGTTACATATAAGCTCATCTTTTTGCATAAAAACCTTGTAAGTTGCATGTTTCAGTTGATTTAAAAATATCAAACTAAAACTAGATTTTTCAACTCTTTCACTAAACCATCAAAAACAGTTTTTAAACTATATGGTACCGTATCCTATGGATTATGTTTTTTTGCTACTTGACTCAAAACGAGGTTGACAGTTAATTGCCAAGACATTTGAGTTTGCGTCATTTTATAGTTTTCCTAAAAGTTAAAACATTAGCTAACTAAAGTTAATACAATGATGAGTTCTTTCTCACGATCCTATTTCTATGATTGAATAGATAATTCTTATCCTTGGCTCAATATATTTCCAGCAAAAGCAGAAGGAGAACGAACACGCATTGAAACAACTGAAGGAATACCTCGATACATTGGACAAGATGGATTTGGACAATCGCAACCTGTCACTCATTGAAGGTCTCCTTGCAGGCAATGTGTTTGACTGGGGAGCAAAGGAGATTGCAGACATTATGGCTACAGGAAACTTTGGCTTTGAACAAGCAAAGAAAAAATTGCAAGGTAGATGTTATGATTAAATACAAAAAGTCTCTGTACAGTAAAACCTGTCTAAGTGGAACACGTTTGGTACCTCTACAAATGTTCCACTTTGGAGATGTTCCACTGATAGATGTTCATTTGTTAATTTAACATTGAGTCAGTTTGTCTTTGGACGCTGAAAAGTGTTCCAGTAACAGAGGTGTTCCACTGTACAGGTTTCAGTGTAGTTCACTATCTGAATATGTCATACCAAAAGGTCAATATTTGAAGAATACAGATTGAAGAACAGAATGCATATTGGTAAAGAGATATTTTGAAAGACTGCATCTTAGATGTGCAGATTTAGCAGTGTACCTAAATGACAATGACAGTTTCAGCAGTTTCAGCAGTTGTTTGATTGGTCCACCACATAAATGTGCCATTATATTCTATGTCATAATATGATATGTATTTCCCATATTTCCAGTGCGTCCTTGGTTATTTGATGATTATGATGCCTGGGCTGAAAGACTAAAGGGTCCACCACATAAATGTGCCATTATATTCTGTGATAACTCTGGTATGGATATCATACTTGGAGTGGTTCCTTTTGCAAGACAGTTGTTAATGAATGGAACAAAGGTAGGAAAGGCTAATGCCTATAACACAAGGCATTAACATGACAAAATGTCACCACCTAAAACAATTTGGTCAATTTAAAGCAAGTTGGAAAATACCTTTTGACCTTAAGAAGGTTTGATTTGAACTTCTTAGAACATGTAGATGATTTTGAAAAAAAAATCGTCAATTTGAAGCAAGTTGAAAAAAAACCTCTTTGACTTTTTTTGACATTGAGAAGGTCATTGAAGGTCAAATGTAAAGTCAGATTTGAACTTCTGAGAACATGTAGATGATTTTGAAAAAAAAATTTAGTAAATTTGAAGCAAGTTAAAAAAAGACCTTTTTGACCTTGAAAAGGTCATTGAAAGTCAAATGTCAAATCTAAAGTCAGATTTGAATTTCTGAGAACATGTAGATGATTTTGAAAAAAAATTAGTCAATTTGAAGCAAGTTGAAAAAAGACCTTTTTGACCTTGAGAAGGTCATTGAAGGTCAAAGGTCAAATCTAAAGTCAGATTTGAACTTCTGAGAACTTGTAAAGTCAAATTTGAACTTCTGAAAAGATGTAGACGATTTTAAAAAAAAAATTTGGTCAATTTGAAGCAAGTTGAAAACAGACCTTTTTGACCTTTTTTGACCTTGAGAAGGTCATTAAAGGTCAAATGTCAAATCTAAAGTCAGATTTGAATTTCTGAGAACATGTAGATGATTTTGAAAAAAAAAATTAGTCAATTTGAAGCAAGTTGAAAAAAATACCTTTTTGACCTTTTTTGACCTTGAGAAGGTCATTGAAGGTCAAATGTAAAATCTCAAGTCAAATCTAAAGTCATATTTGAATTTCTGAGAACATGTAGATGATTTTGAAAAAAAAAATTAGTCAATTTGAAGCAAGATGAAAAAATACCTTTTTGACCTTTTTTGACATTGAGAAGGTCATTGAAGGTCAAATTTCAAATCTAAAGTCAGATTTGAATTTCTGAGAACATGTAGATGATTTTGAAAAAAAAATTTAGTCAATTTGAAGCAAGTTGAAAAAAGACCTTTTTGACCTTTCTTGACTTTGAGAAGGTCATTGAAGGTCAAATGTCAAATCTTAAGTCAAATCTAAAGTCAGATTTGAATTTCTGAGAACATGTAGATGATTTTGAAAAAATTTTTTAGTCAATTTGAAGCAAGTTGAAAACAGACCTTTTTGACCTTTTTTGACCTTAAGAAGGTCATTGAAGGTCAAATGTCAAATCTTAAGTCAAATCTTAAGTCAGATTTGAATTTCTGAGAACACGTAGATGATTTTGAAAAAAAAATTTAGTCAATTTGAAGCAAGTTGAAAACAGACCTTTTTTACCTTTTTTGACCTTGAGAAGGTCATTGAAGGTCAAATGTCAAATCTAAAGTCAGATTTGAAGGTCAAATGTCAAATCTAAAGTCAAATCTAAAGTCAGATTTGAATTTCTGAGAACATGTAGATGATTTTGAAAAAAAATTTAGTCAATGTGAAGCAAGTTGAAAAAAGACCTTTTTGACCTTGAGAAGGTCATTGAAGGTCAAATGTCAAATCTAAAGTCAGATTTGAACTTCTGAGAACATGTAGATGATTTAGGAAAAAATTGAAGTCAGTCCAAACAGTATTTGTTAAGTTATAGGAAGTTGTAAGAAATTGTTACAGACGCCGGACGCCAACCGCCGGACGCCGGACGCCAACCGCCGGACGCCAACCGCCGGACGCCAACCGCCGTCGCAAAAAAAAACGGAGACCATAACAATATGTCACCACTTTTGGTGGTGACATAAAAAAACGGAGACCATAACAATATGTCACCACTTTTGGTGGTGACATAATAAAATTGGTCTCCTTTTCCCAATTATAAATAGAGGCTTTGATTATAGCTTTGAAATCTCATTGAAGTATGGTTTTAATGAGATTTTAGGAGATATACAGATTTAACCATCAAGATTATAACTTTCATGTTGTATTTGAATTCTAAATGCAATTTTGTGCACACCACTCATTTAAATCTGACCACAAAACCTTCAATTATCCATATTTTGAAAAATAACACCCCGCAAACTTTGCAGGTTCTACTGTGTGCTAATTCAAGACCTGCCCTGAATGATGTGACACACAGTGAACTAATCATCCTCATGAAGAAAGTGGCAGAGATATCCAGTGTCATTGCAGGTGCCTTGCAAGATCAGAAATTGCAAGTTCTTGCCTCTGGACAAGGGTCACCTTGCTTGGATTTAAGGTACATTGTATGCTTTTAAAAAATGTATATGTATGGTCATTGACTTGTGCCTGATGTGTCATTATGAAAACATGTTTGCTGAATCAAACTTCATTTGCAAGGTGGATAGAGATAACCCAGGCCCAGCCATTTTGTCTTTTCAAAACGAGGCTGCAACCCATTGGAGATGAAAATGGAGGCCACTCCAATTATTGGAGCTACTCCTTCCTCCATTTCCTCTAAATGTACGAAAGTTTTTGAAAACTCGCTTCATAGTCCGTGAACAACCTTCCATAAATAAATTCTAAAATATGTTCAAAAATTAACTTCAAATTTCTGTTCCATAAATAATCTCCAAAATATGATTAATGAACTTTTGTTCAAACAATCAATCAATGCTTCAAAATAAACTCCAGTATAATCATCCATTAAGCAATTACTTTTTTATCAAGGGACCAGTCAAGATCATATTCATGATATTCAACTCTTTCAAATAACTCAATTTATATTAGATAATGAAAACACAGCATAAAATTCTTAACTCATAAGGGCTAAAAAGGTCAGTTCATCCCACTGGGGATCAACTTCTGAGCTACAGAATTTATCTATTACATGTACCAGTATATCAAAGTGTGACTGAACACTTTGAAACCATGATTGGCCTTTCATGATAGAAAATACTGGTATCCTGCACTATTAAACCAATTCGTCACAACATATTTATAGTGTTATTACTTTGTGAACATCCTGTATTTCTAGATGTATTGACCACGACCTGGCTGAGACACTAAAACAAAACGAGACAGACCTAGTGGTCATAGAAGGTATGGGACGTGCTGTTCACACCAACCTCCACTCTGCGTTCTCGTGTGATTCTATAAAAATTGCCGTCTTAAAGAACCGCTGGCTGGCTGCAAGACTCGGTGGAGAAATGTTTAGTATTATGTTCAAATATGAACGCTCAAAAAAAGTTCAAGTTAGCACTTGATGATGGACTTATTTTAGCTTTACAAAGGTTCACAGTTTATAGTGCCAAGACCGTCTTGAGTATGAGTAACTTTTGATTTAATATAAATATAAGAATAACTATGGTTGTGTAAAACACACATGTAATGTATGTTTGATCATCTTCATTTTGTGACAATTGGTGACTATATGAGACTTCTACAGAATTATTCTACCACTATATACAGTGATCTCCCCAGCATTAAAGCAAATGGGTGATGCACCCTCTTGAGATTTAAATAATTAATAGGCTTGCACCCACCTGAGAATCATTTGCACCAACTTGAAAATGAGAAAAATTTTGAAAATAGGCATATTTTGACCAAATTGCTAGAATTTTGCACCCAGTTGACGAAAAATCCTGTGGAGACCACTGATATATTTGTTTGCAGTACCTGTTGTGTAGTGATCATTCTTAGAATGAAAAGTTAATAAAATGGCACCAGTAAGAAATAAAGTAAACAGGCATTAGCCAACACTCCAAATTGTATTCATACTAGTTTGTCATACGATTTTAGAAAAAGAAATTTCACATATACTGTAAAAGCCCAAATTTTCGTTGACAAAAAAAATTCACTATTTTGTCAATCTGAAATGTTTCATGGGCATTAAATTCCACTGTTTAAAGAAAAATCCAATTGAATTCAATGTTAGATCTTATTTTCACTGTGCCTTTAATTTCATGGTCTAGCCTCTTCAGGGGAAAATAGTGAAAATTAGGGCACCTTGAAAATTTGGGCTTTCACAGATGAAGTGGACATGATTGCAGTCATCACTGTTTCAGAGCTCTAAGCTTGCTGAAATTACATGTTATTTATCAAATAAATTATATTAATGAATCACAACATTTTGTGTATGTCAGTATGATAGTGAGAGTTATCATTGGTATAGCAATCAAATGCATTAATTTTATCATTGCCCATTAACATAAGAACACATTTAGATGGAACAGAAAACAAACATTCGTGTATGTTATCTTTCTGAACAACAGTCTTTTATGTATGGTCCTTCCGAACAACATACTTTTAAGCATGGTCTTTCTGAACAACAAAGTTGTAAGCATGGTCTTTCTGAACAGGAGACTTTTAGGCCTGGTCTTTTTGGTCTTTCTGAATAACAAACTTTTAGGCATGGTCTTTCTGAACAACAAACATTTGGGCATGGTCTTTTTGAAAAACAAACTTTTATGTATGTTATCTGTCTGAATAACAAACTTCTATGTATGGTCTTTATGAACATCATACTTTTAGGCACGGTCTGTCTGAAAATGTCTGAACAACAAACTTTTATGGTCTTTCTGAATAACATTTATTGACAGTTCTTCATTACATTTGAGAGTACTAAATCTAGACAAGTAAATGATAATAATCATATTTTTTTAGATCCTTTATATTTCAATGTTCCACTTTTAACAAACATTCATATTCACCCATACACCAATATTTCAGTATTTAGCCCCGATTTCTAGCTCTCCATAAAACATTTAAGACTTTAATGTTTCTTTAAAAGTACATGAATACACATTTAAACTGAATTAACACACAAGAATTTTGATTTTCACAAAGTTTCAGATAAAACAGTTTTGTTTTCATTTTGTATAATATCTCCTACAGCTTACACTTGCTTATTGAGATTTGACATAAAGTTTCACAATTAAGAAATAATCTCAGATGTTCCATGAAATATCTGAACACCCCTTCAGGCCTGTAGCCAGGGACCCCCACCCTTGCCAAATATTCTGAGCACTCTTCAAGTGATTTTGGGCCAAAGGTGTCAAATTTGATCCCCCTGGAATTTTTAGAAGTGAACCCCCTTGGCAAAAGCTGGCTACAGGCCTGCCCCTTCATTGGAATATACATATTACTGACCTTCCAGAATAACGTTAGACTATTGTATAACCAGAACAACGGCAACGCCAAAGCGTAGCGAATCCCATCGAACAGCCATGGATGGCATTTTTACAAACAAAGTATATAGCAAAAATGGCAGCCATTTTTCAAAATGGCCGCCTTCTACCAAAAGTGTCATTAGACCATGTGCCATGCTTATAGAATTCACATACCAAATATGAACAAAATCGCTCTACTGCTTTTCAAGTTATAGTAAAATACGTTAAAATGGCGGCCATTTTTCAAAATGGCTACCTTCTACCAAAAGTGCCATTAGACAGTGTGCCAAGCTTATAGTATTCACATACCAAATATGAACAAAATCTACTTTTCGAGTTATAGTAAAATATGTTAAAATGGCGGCCATTTTTCAAAATTTTTTTCAAAATGGCCGCCTTCTACCAAAAATGTCATAGGACAGTGTGTCATGCTTATAGTATTCACATACCAAATATGAACAAAATCGCTCCACTACTTTTCGAGTTATAGTAAAATACGTTAAAATGGTGGCCATTTTTCAAAATGGCCGCCTTCTACCAAAAGTGTCTTTAAGCAGTGTGCAATGTTTATAGTATTCACATACCAAATATGAACAAAATCGCTCCACTACTTTTCAAGTTACAGCAAAAATCGTAAAATAACGAGTAAAGGCCGCCATTTTTCAAGATGGCTGCCATGTGCTTCTTTAATATCTACATTTCTAGCTTTATTAATGTCCTATATAATTTTTTTACATCTCAAACATATTGCTATTACAGTTTTACAAATTACTGTAAATTCGGCACTAAAATGGCCGCCATTTTAAAATGAGCGGCCATTTTGAAAATCGGCTTTCGAGCAGAACTTCTACCCCCATAGGGTATATGTGTACAAAATATGAACAAAATCGGGCCAACGGTATTTGAGTTATTGCCCGGACGGACGTACGTACGGACAGACGGATGTACGTACGGATGGACGGACGTACGTACGGACGGACGGACGGAGGCGTTCCCTTTATCCCTCCGAACTTCGTTCGATGGGATAATAATTAGAGCTTCCGTCTAGATACTCTATTCTGATTGGACGAAAACAGGTATACAATCACTGATCTACATGGGGCCAACACTGTATATACTGGCTCAATACTAAACACTGACAATAACTCCTGGATTTTGAAAGGTAGCGATACTGTACTGTATATTTGCTGACACTTGTACAGACCTTGGGTAAGTACATGTACTATGTATTGAGACTGTACCATGTTACAATTTGACAATGACAATCGTAAGTCACGATTGTATCAAAAGGAACTCCACTGTCACAATCAGGAGTGGCGTTCACTCTTTGGCAGTTTTCTTTGTCTCACTTATTGGTCTCATCTCCATTATTTGCATTTATATCACGGTGCATTAATCTGTTTAAAATTTCAAAATTGGCAGTACTTTTTAACTTTGACCTTATATGGTAATGATTTTCAAGATTATGAAGAAGGAAGAAAGTAGTAAAAGCCAATATCTCGGCTTGTACGTGTACATGTGATAGTTGATGATATCAAGTGCGTAGGCATATAGAAGTACTTAAGATAAAATATGTTCCGCAAATCTAGGAGCGTACCTGTCATATTGAACTTTTTGATTTAATCCCATCAGAGCAAAGACCTGTCTTTTTGAGAGCCTAATTTTTTGTGAGCAAAAAATGGCTGGATGAAAATGCATGTATAGAATCATTATTGAAGTATTGCACTCATAAGACTATTGACAAAAATATACAAGAGATTTAGAATACCACATATATTCTTATACATTTATGAACAGAAAGTGGCAGTTCACACACAACACATGAAGGCATTTCAGAGTAGATCCCATTTGGCTATTATATCAATTTTAAATTCATTACATCTCAGGTTCAAATTCTTAATATACCTAGTACTAAAATGCTCTAATTTTTCAATTCAACAAAATGTGGAACACAGCTTTTTACTACATCAAGGGGTCTCTTTTGAACCCTGAGTATCTAGGTTCCTCCACTCTAGCAATTTACGAAACATTACTAAAATCTAAAATTCCTGCATTACATTTTTTCAGAAAAATTCCTGATTCTAAAAGTAACGGGAATTATTTTTAGTTCTGTTCAAAGGTAAGAAAAGACATGAATGTTTGACTCATGTTTGATCTGCTACTAACTGATATATGCATGCATGTACACTCCCCTCCATAAGTTTGGCAATTGGCAGTTTTTCGTTTCACTAAATTGTTGATAGTCATCCAAAATGTAATGTCATTGTCCATTATGGAGGGAGTGTATATTTGATGATTGTGGATGCAAATTCATGATATTACGTAGTGGTCCTTAAATCAAATTTCAAATTAGTTTTCAGACTTTGAAATATGAGGTAGGTCATAAAGTTAACTCGAATTCATTTTTTCTGAAATTTGTCATTGTTTAGCTTCATCCATTATTAGTTAAACTTTGAAGAATTGAGGAAATTTCTGATATGCAAGTTGAAAGAAGTCACTAATACAATCCCATAATTCATGGTCCATTCACTGTTTAATGATCTGATTGGTCAATACCTTGAAGTAAAGGATTATGGGATTGCTATACCCTCCTTGTTGCCAGGTACATCAGGTTACAATACAAAATTACGAATTACACATACAACATCACATTTCTTCCTTCAAATGCACCTCATAGTAAACAGAATTATGCATTCAAATTTAAAGGGGCACTATCTGTTAGCTGGGGTAATAAGAACTTACATTTAAGGTGGTAATATTTGTTAATTGCATAGCAAAACTAATATTTATGTGAATAGTAAAGTTGTTCATTATGAGGTTGAAAATTGCTTTTGATTGGTTCAAAAAAGATGTATACATTTATTTTTGACTCAGCTGAAATGATGCATAAACATGTACAATATATACTAGTAGTATAAACATTAAAAACACATTAAACAAGTACTGAATCTACCAGATAGCGTCCCTTTAAATATAATGAACATTAATCATATTAGTAAGGTATAAATAAAACAGTCATTTATTGATTGCGAGTTATGGCATATTGACGTTTACATGTTATTGGCACCATAAAAATATTTGAGCTAGTTCATTACAGTAGATATAAATGAACTGAACAACTTTCAATAATCTGTCCACTATGAGGTCCAAGTAAAAGTACTGTATACAGGGTGACTCAAAAATTCAGTAGCATAATACTTTTTTCAGACAACCTGTATCTCAACGATATATAATATATACCTACATGTATGTAAATAAATAGCTGTAGTATGACAATTGCTTTATAAGTCTGCGAGATTTACTATTGAATATTCATAATATACTATTGAATATTCATAATACATTATTGAATATTCATAATACATTATTGAATATTCATAATACACTATTGAATATTCATAATATACTATTGAATATTCATAGAATGAATACTCTTGCATACCAACCAATTACTCCTGTACTTCACTGTAAAACAAGACCCAGTAATATATGTTATGGTGGATTTGTTGTCAACTAAACCAGTTACCATAGTGATTATTTTGCATCTCCATCACATCTCATATTACATCACAAGTAATGCTGTTATATCACAATCCCCTTTAAATATTTCATTTTTATTCCATCTCGGTACATGTAAGTGAACTTGCTACAAATCAATCTATGTGATGATAGATTGCCATAAGTAGGGCTTTCTCATATATGCACTTGTATATTCAAGTATTTGGTTGGTATACACAATGATGACAGCTGGGTATTACACATTTTGCCAAAATATATGTTTGTCTCTAACTGTTTGTTTGTTCCTGTTGTCATGGACACCAATCAGTTCAGGTTACCATAGCAACTGCTACTATTCCCATGATTTTGTCAGTTGTATAATGCATCCTTTCTCCACTGTAGGCTCTATATAAATGTAGCTTTTGCATCCTCATTAGCTTTCTACTAGTGTAGTATCCAAGGTCCTCAACAATTCCAAAGTTAAATTGTTGCTATGGCAATAGTCATAATAATGTGACTTTACCAATCTGTTACTATGATGACAATAGCATGACTATGGTAATAATAGCATTATAACATTGATGAGTAGAGTGTTGCTATGGTAACACTTTAAGCTTCTGTATCATCTCCATCATGACCTTTCAATCTCAACCGGGCAAAATCTTCGAATATAAAATCATCATCTTGGTTGGCATAGTAACCCTCTCCACTGAAAAATACAAAAATAGTTTATTAAATTTCAGTCAATGTTACATTATACTATATGGTCTCCACTCCACTAAATTATTGAAATGGTCCTTTTTTCATATAGCTTTGAGATCTCATTAAAGTCTCGTTTTTAATGAGATTTTAGGAGATCTTCATTTTTAACCATTTTAAAGACTAACATTTTCTTCTATTTGATGGCATATTTGAATTCTGTGTGTAATTTTCTATCTAAACAACTTTGATTTGCATCATTATTTACCTTTATCAAAATTCTAATGATTTTCTAGTTGTCTAAAAAAGATCGGGCTAAATCCTCATTGACACAATGCTGAAAAACCTTTAAAGTTCATTTACTCCAAGGATCACAATTTTAATGTGATATCACAATCCACATGTCAATAAGATCATAAAGTAACATTCCAATGGTGTTTTAAGTTGATCCAAATGGAATTACTTCTTGAATCAAGAAATTACATTTACCCATGATGCCATCTATTTTCCATTTATATGGAAAAAGATCAATTGATGAAATATGAAATACTCTTAGTGATTGAACCCTGGCAACATTCTAATACATCTTAATTCACAAATCACCATTTTTTCTAGAAATTGGCCCCAGCATAATTTATTCCAAGCTTACTTCACATGTGACATTCAATATGACATTTTTGTACCAAATTACAAGGCATTAACATGCAAAATGTCACCACCTGCCATTTGTTACAGACACCAAACTCCAAAGGTTGACCACCTGATGCGATCACAAAAAAGTTGGAGACTATCACTCATCACTTGTGGCAGTGACATGAAAATCAGTTCTCAATAATATCTTACTTTGTATCAAGCTGGATAAGATTTGCATCGACTGGTGCATCCCCATCTGGTCGTATGACAGCACTGGCGGGTCGACTAGGGGGAGGGGAATCTGGGGGCTTAGGGTGCGTCAACGTAAATGGCAACTCAACTGCTAGATCACTGAAAGTCACATAGTGAGTAAATAAAATAATAAATATTTATAAAAATTTGTATTTAAAATAAATGTGTATCAAAATATAAACTCTAAACCAACTATTGATAAATGTATTGAAGGGAATTCTTTTGCTGATCAATGCCAAATATCATATTTTTTCTACATGTAAACATAAGGCATGTAACACTTGTGAGAAATGACTAGAAATTAACTGACCTTGACCCAAATCCTAGAATCAGTCTGACCTTGACCTTATATTGTACAACAATTCCAAGGTTTTCTGTAGAGTTGGGATCCTGCACACTGAAATCAAGCAGAAAGATTGTAAATTGAAAAGTTCAAAAACACATGTATCGTAACACATACAGTAAATGCATGTGCAACATTAATTTGCTCTGTAAAGGGTGTATAAGAGAAAGTGGGGAACTCATTCAACTCAATTTCAGAATCTTCAGCTCATAATGTCTGGATGTATATAATTCCTTTTGTCTTTTCCCAATGTCTTAAGTATACATGTATACAGGGTAGTCCAGAAAAGTATGTTTTGGTTTTTGGTCCCCCAACCAATATAGATGTATGAAAATTATGAAATAATTTGATTTATGAACTGAATGAAGTTAAAAGCATTGAAAAGGAGTTTGAAATTGGTGCCGTAAAGCTTTAGCTTGTTTTGCCTAAAATGGCATATAAAATTGGACAGGTCCTTTAAGTTTTATTTATCTCTCTTAGGTCAGTGCCCAATGCTGACCTTTAGTTAAAGGAATATTCCTTGCCAAACCATCTCTCTCCTCATATGGTAGCTATAACCATATATATGCTTGCCATGTTTAGCAAAACACGCAAAAATGTTTTGATATGGTCAAATTTGATCACTTAGAAATGTGATGCTCAATTCCTGTAAGCTGCCATCTCTTAAAATTTCACATAGGAAGTGATGTCATCGACTCTCAACTTTGCATATAGCATTAGGTGAGGAGCTATTAAGAATTACAAAACCAGCTAAATATTCTTTTTCAACTTTGTATCTTATTTAATCATTCTGAAAATCTCTTCTTTTATTCTAAGTTGACAAGCCCTGAAAATATTTTTGCACAGAAAGTAATGATCACTTGTCTAGAAGTGATTTTGTGCTACTTTCCTATACTGTTATGGGCAAGGTTATAGATGTTGAGAGTTGATGACATCACTTCCTGCAAGAAATCTTAAAAGATGGCAGCTCACTGGAAATAAGCACTAGATTTTTAAATGATCAATATTGACCATATTAAAACATTTTCCCATGTTTTGCTAAATATGGAAACTATACACAAGATTATAGCTACCATATCAAGAGAGAAAGGGTCTGGCAAGGAATATTCCTTTAATTAAGCTTACAATATGCATAGTTTTATTCATGCTTGAATTTACTTGCAGTATACCAATTAGCTAATATGTAGTTATACAGGTAATTTGCGATGAAGACATCAGAACATAGGCACATGTTAGAACTTCAGTTAGACTAGCTAGAGCCAGCAAACCGTCAAGCAGCATTGCAAAAACCCACCTACCCAGCCCCTTTCACCTCATCAGGTTTAGTATGAAAATACAACTGACCAGCAATTTATGTAAGTATGTTAAACATTTACCATTTAAATGAGTTATTTCAACCTTACTTTAAGAAATAAGCTATTATAGGCTAATTAAAGTTGCCTAATTAGCTTAATTAGGTGGATTTGCTTAATTAGCTAATCCGATTATATTTCTTCATTCATTGCTTTTGCGGCACATTTGCAGACTCCTTTCGCCAAAAATAGTAATATTTGAATGAAGCAGAATAAATTATTTTATCAAGAGATGCCATTTTATGAAACAAGTTGAACGTTCTGTTCAGATGAATTTTACTTCTTTGCATTTTAGAGTAACATCCACATAGAAGTAAACCACTCACTACTCTCATACATATAAATTCACAAATGAAATCACAAAATAATGTATTTTAAACTGAACAAATGAATTCACAAAGTAATTCTTGTAGTTTTATCTCAAAGATGATCCACTTAGACAGTTGATGTATGTTTAATTGTTTATAGTACACAAATATTAAACACCTACATGCTAACGAATCGAACTACAGTACTAAACGCTTCAAATAACTACAGTTAGTGTGTACCTGATCTACTATTTACATATATAAGATTAGAGTTACATCACCCATTGTAATCCAAGTACCATTCTCTTGAACATGTTAGATTACTTAATGGTACTAATGATAATCCAAGTACCATTCTCTTGAACATGTTAGATTACTTAATGGTACTTATGATAATCCAAGTACCATTCTCTTGAACATGTTAGATTACTTAATGGTACTAATGATAATCCAAGTACCATTCTCTTGAACATGTTAGATTACTTAATGGTACTAATGATAATCCAAGTACCATTCTCTTGAACATGTTAGATTACTTAATGGTACTAATGATAATCCAAGTACCATTCTCTTGAACATGTTAGATTACTTAATGGTACTAATGATAATCCAAGTACCATTCTCTTGAACATGTAAGATTACTTAATGGTACTAATGATAATCCAAGTACCATTCTCTTTAACATGTTAGATTACTTAATGGTACTATCCAGGCATTTTAGATTCTACACATTTGAAGAACAAGAAGTAATACTTGACTTTTGAGGAAAATAACAGCTCTCTAAATATCATTCATTGTCAAAATACTTAAATATCATTTTTTCCAAAATAGTTTAACAGTTTATAGACGTACATGATAATTCCTATTTTCACTTTTTATAAAGCCAGTCTTAACCCATTTTCCTCAACAAAATAACATTAATATATTTACTCATTAATCCTTAAATGTCAAAGTATTTTCTTTTACAACTCCATAAGTTGAAGGATATAATGAAACTAAGGTTCACAGGCAGGTATCAGGATGCAATGACTGCAAGTATACACTGACAGTCTTTGCGTTGCCTTTCAAAATGGTGGAAAGAAATCAATGATTTCAAACTTTTTCATCTCATTTTTAAACCATTTTCCCATGGAGTTTTGGGTTTGAAATTACCGTTCATACTACATAAAGCCAAAACATAGAAAAGTGTTTTAAAATTGATGGAAAGGTAAAATTTCGAAATTGTCGATTCTCAACCGCCATTTTGATACTGACCAATGAGGCAGGGTATAGTAATTCATTTCTAAGAAAACATGACATGCACAAACTCTGACCTTGAACTGCCCGAGGAACCAGACTTTTTTGGTAATCTAAAATAAATATAAAATATTTCCTTCACAATGCATAACAAAGCGTACACTCCTGGTAACAAGTATGGAAACTTTATTGTACATTTGATTTGATTTGAAGGATTCAAAGTATACAACATGTACTTTTATTACATAATGTACACAGAAATAATTTTGTGATCGACTATCTGAACAATATTTTAGTTCCAAAGCAGTTTACCAAGAGTGCTATTCTTAACATAATAAATGTATAATAAATTTTTTTTAAAAACAAATGTGAATATGGTATAAGGTCATGTAATGTCAATGCTTAATCACCATTTTTTACTCAAAATTATTTTTAATATGCTTCCTTTTAAAGATGATTTTTCTAAAAAGCATATTTTTCATTTCACTATTTTTATTATAATTCTCATTAGATGACATCACACAATCTTAAGATGACATCACAAAATCTTAAGTTGACATCATAAAATCTTAAGATGACATCACACAATCTTATAAGTTCCATTAACCAAAGAAGATGGGGAGGGTGACTTAACTAAACAAGATATACTTAATTAAGGTGGGGTATAATCAGCATATATCAAGCAATGATAATCCAGCAAAATCACATCAAAAGCATGTAGCCTTAACCAAAGTGAAACTGATGCCCAAAATCAAATTACTTAAAGGAATTGGCTATTTGGTAAGAAGGACGTGAGTGGTGAAATTAGGTGAACTTGTAAAAAGTTATACAAAATCAATGGTGTTGACATAGATACACATAAGCATGTGATGCGATTTTCTTTATACTCATCAGAAAAATTCCCACTAAACACATCTTAAGTGTATCTATACCATCAGTATGGTTTCCCAGAATAAATAGTAAATAAAAACTGATGTTTTCTTACATTGTTGATGATGCGAGATTGGTGTCTTCATGTTTAAGTTTGCCATCCAAGGCAAGTCCCCGTTTGTCTCGATTGTTGCTCAGTAAAGGGACCATATAGTAGACTTTGCAGAATCCAGTTTGGCTGGGCTGTATTGGAAAACCTTCCCTAAAATATGTCAACACACATGCTTTTCATATCTATGGAGTATACATGTATCTAGGTGGCAATACAAGGATATAACATAAAACATTAATACGGTATTAATTGATGGAATTGATAGAATTGTTGAATAACTGTAAGATGGGTATCAACTTACAATTGTATTTCAATATTTCATAGAAATATTAGTTTTATTTGTTAATTTTTAAAGAGTGTATCAGACCTAGCTAGCAAGCTAAACAAAAATTTGTTTCAATTTTAAAATATTTTTATTTATAAATCCCCAAAGTGTATACTTTATTTTAGGAAATGTAAAGATTTTTACACTAAGGTACTATTTTTTCCTATGAATGTAATTGGTTGCTATGTAAATGGATACATACCTACTGCTCACCAGGACAACACATGCAGCAAATGGAAAACAAAGCAACATGCATTAATTAAACATATTAAAAATTCAAAACATTTACAGTAAAACATGTATATCAAAACAATGCTCAAGGCAAACACTTTTTGATCCCAATTTTGTTATCTCCCATTGACTTACATATTGAGAAACCTTGATATATGATCTCCCATTGACTTACATATTGAGAAACCTTGATATATGACCACCTGCTATAACAGATGACTTTAGGTATGTCCAAGTGATGTTTGGATTAGACAGGTTTTACTATAATTATATGTAGAACAGTCAAAACATGTTCTAGAAACCATGCAATTTCTTCAAATTCAAATCTCAATATCCAGAGGCAGAACAAGCATGAGTTTTGTGAATATGTCAAATTGTGCTTTCAAAATGAGTTCAATATTTATAATTTTAACATTGTTTACTATTTAGAGGTTATGTCACTATCGTGGCATATATGCCTGAGGTCTCAGTGATATATGGCCCGACCTTGGGAGGGACATTGATCTCTGAGAACCGAGGGCATATGTGCCACGATAGTGACATAAACGATTTATAACATACCTATGATGATGTAGACTGGTCAGAGAGTACCGTTTTCTTATAGAATTGACAAATAAATGGTTTGAAAATGATTGAAATGAGTTTAGAAAAATTGCTCGCGCAGTTTTATCTTCGATTGATTGGTTATGACGTCAGCGCCTTGACCAATCAGAAAGTTAGCGGGCGCGGGCTTTTCAAAACTTATATTGGCCCGCTGTCTTGTGTACACTTTGCACTATACATCATCATAGGTATGTTATAAAAATGTATTATTGATCGTAATAGATACACGATTATTAGGTTTGAAATAAATAAAAAAGCAAAAGAAGTTGATCAATGATCCTCATCTTTGACAACCATGCAAATTCACATTTATTTGCACTGAAGTAGGTTTCTCGTAAATGCATTAATATTTGAAATAGAATTCCAATGCTTCAGTAAAAGGTTAATAAGTAGGATAGATAAAGATGAGTAGGACTTGATAACAATGTGAAGAAAATAGTGGGCAGGGTCTTGTAACAAGACTCATGATAAAAGCAAAACATCTAATCAAAGTTTACCATTAAAATACAGTCACTCTTTTCTCCTTCACTGTTATGAGCAAGTGTCACTGTCACTGACAGTCCATTTAAAATGTATAACAGTTTAAATCTAATAACATTTTTGAACCCTGCATTTGATCCCATAGCAACAAAAACAATATTTGAATCAGATATTTTCACTGAAAAAATTTCAGGACATTTTAAAGGCATTTTCCTTAGACAATATCAAGCACCTCTATATTCATTCTATATAAATAAATAACTTTTTACTCCACGAATAAAAACAATTGAATGTAACTTCTATTTATATCAATTCTGTCAATATCTGTGATGGATTTTGTTTGTGGATCCAAATACAAGAATGACAATAAATCCAAATCTATTCGAACTTGTTTCTTGAGATAAATGCATAAATCTCAAGAAACAAGTTCGAATAGATCTGGATTAATGATTGTTTAAATAAAGTGTATCCAAATGGAGTTATTGTACGATTCTAGTCTCTTGTCTCCCCATCCATGTCTGTCTTAAACATGGTAACAATATACAGGATCAAACATGCTGATATGCATCTCTGCAACCAATGACAGCCCTGGTGTTGTTTACATGACAGCACTGGGGCTGCTTTAATCTGAGAGCATTGGGGCTGCTTATATGACAGCACCGGGGACACCTACATGAGAGTATCTAGTCTGATGATTCACTCTCCAAATTTTCAAAACAGACTCCATAACGATATACGCAAAATGGATTACTCTTAATTGACAAATCATGCTATCATTCACAATAATTAAAGCCCACAAAACATTACATAAAATAAGCTTAAAGATTATCACAAACACTTTTTAAACATACATTGTCCTTCTTCTCACACACAGTAATAATTTTGGTTTGAGAAGCTTCTTTGGGATGAACCAGCTCACAAAGGCAATATTAATGTTTAAGGTAAAAGTATATATTCAGCATCAACAGATTAAAGAGAGGTGTTATTTAAATTGTGAGAAAAGTGACAATATTTGAAGCATAAAAACTATTAGTTCACACAAAACTGGCAAGAACTGTGTTGTTGTCCCCAGAAACAAAATGTGTCATAATGTTTATGTTTGTTTATGATGCAGAACAGAGGAAATGAATAAACACCCCTCCCATTGTGAATACCTTTCCCCGAATTGTGTAGACATTCCTCTGTGAATAACTCTGAATTAATGAACACCTTTTCCCTAATGAATACATCTACTCAAGTGAATACTTCTCTTCCTGCTGACTTCTTCTCTTTGTGAACATGCATCCCCCTTAAAACATCCATTTCTAGTGAACACCTCTCCCCTGTGAACATTATTCCAAACACCTCTCTTAAAATACCACCTCTCCCCAATAACACCCCCAACTAAAGCATCCCCAGAACACACTTCATCAGGATGTAACTCCTCTCTCTGCTCAGTGCCCAAACATAACCAAAATGACATTTTTGTTTTATTTTTTCAACTTACTCGGACTCTATATCAGCTACTGTGCATTTGTACTGAGCGGTACTAAATAGACAGATGTCCGCAAACTGCCGTACTGTTTATATAGAAAACAAAAAACAAAAATCTAAAACAATATTTCAAGCAGAAATGCTACGCTATGCTATGCTATACACAATATTGACGCCATTTACAATTGATGTTGTTGCGGCAGAGGTTTCTATAACAAGTTTTGATGGTGCTAGCACTGGGTTTTGAATTAGTGGTACAAGCAGGATTTTGGAATGAGGATTTGAATGTAATTTAATGTTTTATTGTATTGTGTAACAAGGCAGACTGGTTTATTGAGGACAAAGAACTATAGGATAAAGCTTCTTCGATTCTGAATATAATCACTGGAAAATGGAAACTGGGGCTAGTAATGAAATTGGAACCCAAGAACGTTAATATTGAAGCCATAAGGAATGAACTGAGGCACTTGTATTTGGGTTTTTGTCTTAATAATTTTATATTGTAGCAAATAAGACAGTTTGTCATATATCCAGATATACTTGGTTTAACAATTGTGAAATTTTGAATTTGATGTAGGGACATAAATGTGAAAGTTAATTTAGACTGTTCCCAATACAGATGATTTCATTATACAGCTTCACCATTAAAACTTATTATATACTTATGGGAGAGACTCTACAGCTGTGCAGCTGTGCTTCTGAAATGTGACTGAACAAACTGCTGTGGCTGAAATGTGATTAGCTTAAGAGCTATGCATTTAGGTGTCAGACTGGGAGAGCCATATTGGCAGTCACTAGCTACTGGATATATACAGGGTGGGCCAAAAATAGTTCCACCCTTTCATTGTCTCAGCTATATACATATCAATTTTAAGGGATTGCATCAAAAATGATAAAGTGAGAGTAAAGTGAAAAGGGTGGAACTTTTTTTGGCCCACCCTGTACATAGATGTTGGATGATAGTCTTATGATAATGATATAATTCATGATGAAAATTGTTTGAAAAATTATTTTTTTGAATGATGCATGCAGTTATAAAATGTTCAAATTAAGAACAATATTTTATTTTGTTTGTTTGTATATTTGTTTATTTCTACCAGGTGGTATTTAGCCCAAAATGTTTCTAGAATGTAGTATGAATGAATCCCCTTTTGATGTGAACAATGACAATAATTTTCTCAAATCACAATAAACAATAAGACTAACATACAACTTATTTAATATAACATTCAAAAATAAAATTCCTAAAATACAATTGGCTATTTTTGTTTTGCCGCCTTTTCCTGAAGCAAAATGGCGGGACAGCAACTTGGGGTGACACCTATCAACAGCACATAGAGCTATATAACTAAAATGGCATAGATAACAAAATACATTGAGGTAAAAGTGAGATACCCTGTACCAAAACCTTGTGGTGATTTTTGAACATGGAATGGAAAAAGAGAGGAAAACAAGGAATGGTGAGAAAAGCATAATTTACACCAAATGTAAAACATTAAAGTTGATTGTTTTAAAAGAAAAAGACAATATATAATAGAATTGATTTGAAAATTTAACCGATTACAAAAAGGTACAGTTTAAATGTAAGCCCCCATGCAATTTCATCACATTCCTTGAGGTTACCTCTCTTTTATACATTTCAAAAATATTCTTAGCTTGAAGTCACTCTGGGCACACATAACTTATCTTTCTCTTAGATTTGAACAGTGATTTCATTTTTGACTCTTCCATAAATTCATTAGTTTCAATGCCACAGCATTTTTCCTTGTATCCAACAGCGTTTTCGACCCAATTTTCCACTCTGATTTAAATAAATTTGACCAGTCCAAGATATTATTCTGACATGTGAAGTTTCATGGTGGTCATGTTTTAAAATGCAAAATAGAGTGGAAAAGAGTGGAATAAGCAAGGAATAAAGTAAACAGGCATGTAGTTGATATATTAACTTAACATTACAAAGACACATTGGAAAATTCATTTATCATTCATTTAAGAATTTGTAGTCAGAATGCAGAGTATGTGCACCACACTTTAAATGTAACCTTGTCCTTTCATCATGATGTATACTACCTTTATTTTGGGTTTTTGTATATCTCGTATATATTTTTGTACTTTTGCCTTAGTTAGTATTTGTAGTTTAGATATTTAGTTTTTTCATAGTTATGACTAATGTAATCATGTTATGATACAAGATGTCAATAAAAGTTATATGATACTCTAAATTGTACAGAATTGCCAAAAAATCAGACACTTCATTCAAATTTTAGAAAGAAATTTGATAAAATGCATGTGACCAGCGTGACAATTTAAGCAGATGGCACCACCACAAGATCTTCAAGAAGGGCTGTGACTTACTCAGACTCTAGCTCTGCGACGTTGCATTTATACATGGCCTTAGAGAAGAGCATAATGTCCGCCACTTGGGTCACTTCACGCAAGCAGATAATAAATTAGGTCAATTGGAAACTTCGTAAATACTTCATTTAGAATTAAAACATTCATGACGTCATGTTTCTAGTCCCAATCACATCAGCAAATACAACTGGATGTGGTATTAAAATCTTCAAACTTAGATTGAAATTCATTTAAATTCAAAGGTTTATGTAAGTTTCTTTGTTTCAGAAGTTTCAAACATGGCTGATTATTGTAAATACTGTCACAAAGCAAATATTATGATTTTATATTTACATTCATGACAATTCTCAATTTCAAAAATTAATTATTTCAATTTCAAAACATATATATACATAACATAAAAACCAAAATTTTACATAAAAATAGTTTACGTTTAGACAATTGAAAATGTTTACTTGATAATGAAATTCATTTTTCAATTCAAAAAGACATAAAGAGAATTGTTTTGCAAAAAGGTATTTCAGAAATCATTATTTGGCAGATGGCAAACAACAAAAAAATGCCATACCTGAGATTTTGATTTTTTTCACTGTTTTGTTTGTATTGTTATCCACCAGGACATTGACTGCTATACTCTCCCCATGGTAGTATTTCTGAAATAGAAATTATCAAAAACAATCTGTCAATTGATTAAATAATATCATAAAGTGTAAGGTAACTTATGATAATTTTTTGAAATCATAATTATTGAAACAATCAATATATTCATTCATAATGTCTTAACTCATTGCTGACCAATCCCAAGATATCTCGTCCATGACGTCATAATCATATCTGACCCCAAGATATCTCGGGGTGCATAAAAACTTCCTTGCAAGTTATTTACACGTAACATAAATGTGCTCAGTGCCCACTTGATTTATGCTAAGACCACTGTAATGTCAATATGTACTCACCTCCTTGTCTAAACTGGCTTCTAAGCGCAGATTCCCAGGACTCATCATAAAGTCCTTAGTGAGTTCCGCTGTGGGCTGTGGCGCTGGTTGCTCAGGGGCATATGTTAACTTACGAATAGCCAACCGGACGGAATTCCTGAAATAGATGAAGATGATTTAATAATGGCTGAAGGTTAAATATTCAAACAAAATTCTTATTAAAATATGCAAAAATGAGCAAAGCCTTTCATTATCATCCTCATTTTTAGAAAGATAAGGCTAAGCCTGTGTAGTCCTCCATTTTGGTTATTTATGATATTCCAACAGATGCAATTGATAAATTATTGAAGTGTTTTTGAACTCATCATTCAATAGCTGATCAGATTGAATACATCAAAAAACTTTTATGTGGCTTCTCATGATAGAAGGTTCACCTTTTATGTGGCTTTTCATCAATACTGTCTCCAACAAATGTTTTCAGTTCGTAATCAACACCACATGGCTGAAACATAGAAAAACCAATATTTAATAATAATATACGACTTAATTGCAATGACATACTGTGTACTCCTCATTGTATAATAAGAGTTATGGGTCTATCAAGGCAAAACACAATCTGATGCTTCATTTCATACTTTCATTTGAAGCAAGCGCCTGGTTGTCTGGCAATTTGTGCATTTCAGGTGAGACTAATTATTCTATTTCCGAATCTCATTTCTTATTCATAGGAAATTAAGACTTATTATCTCATGCCTGTTTGCTTTATCAATCATTATTTCCACTACATATTTGATTCATTTGTATTTTTTGCTCTAATGTTAATTTGTTCATTTCCAAACACCGCTTCCATGACAAAGCCTAATAAGACCCCAGGACATATGCCCTACAGGCTAGAGTTAAAGTAGATTGGGGTATGGTATTGTGGAGAAGGTAACGTATTGTATAGAGGGTATGGTACTGTAAAGAGGGTCTGTTATTGTATGGTATTGTATAGAGGGTCTGTTATTGTATGGAGTGTATGGTATTGTATAGAAGATCTGTTATTGTATGGAGTGTATGGTATTGTATAGAAGGTCTGTTATTGTATGGAGTGTATGGTATTGTATAGAAGGTCTGTTATTGTATGGAGTGTATGGTATTGTATAGAAGGTCTGTTATTGTATGGAGTGTATGGTATTGTATAGAAGGTCTGTTATTGTATGGAGTGTATGGTATTGTATAGAAGGTCTGTTATTGTATGGAGTGTATGGTATTGTATAGAAGGTCTGTTATTGTATGGAGTGTATGGTATTGTATAGAAGGTCTGTTATTGTATGAAGTGTATAGTATTGTATAGAGGGTATGGTATTGTAGAGAGGGTCTGTTTGTGTTATTGTAAGGAGTGTATAGTATGATACAGAGGGTATGGTATTGTGTAGCAGGTATAGTATCCTATAGAGGATACAGTATTGTATAAAAGTACTAACCTTGCCGGTGTCCCCAGGAGCAGGCTGTAGAGTGACTGAAGCTGGAGCATTGGGTGGTAGCTGAAATATGTGACAGAACTACAGTATAATATATGACAGATTTACGGTATTCAAATGATAACTTTCTCACTAAAACAGCTCAAACATTATGCATTACTACAGTATAAAAATATGTAATTCTCCATCTTCAAGTATATTTCCAAAATAAACATCAAACATTGTATATTAAGATAGAGATACAGAAAAAGCAAGCAAAATACTTAAAATCCTGTGGTATTCAAAAGGTTAAAGATGAGCTCCTAATATTTATAACTACACTATATACCTCAAAGAAGAATGGATAGGCATTTGGCCCCAGTTTCTTGATCAACCTTTCCTGCAACCTTGTCAGGTCCTTCTTCTGTTCTTGGACAGGGGGATACACCTGCAATATTAAATCATAGATATATTCAACAGGTAATTCAAGGGGAATAAATATGTGTATCCCATACTTGAGTGGGTTTGGGGTAGATATCACAACAGAATATATGTCATATCTGAGGAGCAGGCAGGATATATTGTATATGTCCCACTCCAGGCCAAATGCGGGCAGATATTATATATCCATCCCGCTCCCGAGAATTTTTCATAAGTTTAAAAGTCAAAGGTTTTCAAAAGTTTTCAGTTTCAAAAAGTTTAAAATTCTTTAAAAAGTTTAAATGTTACAATTTCATTGTATTGAACTGAAGGAATATTAAGAAAATGTTTAAATATAAATTGTGCTTTTACGATGTGCCATGTCATTTGAAAAAGGTGGAAGAGGATCTACCCCAAATTCACTCAAGTATGAGATACAACAGTTATGTATGGTCGGTTTTGGATATAGGGTCTTTTGAGATCTTTTGAAGATTTTTGTTAATTCTGCTGAAGAAGTCGATTGCATGTAAATTAAAACATGAAAGCTGATTTAGAAACCTATTTTAGGAATAATTAAACTTATGATATTCATAAAACAATCCCAGTATGAAAAGCAGTGACCCACCTGTACTGATGCCAGAAAGAGGTCCTTTCTGAAAGTGAGGCCCAGGACATCCAGGTCTTCGCGGCCATATCTAAAGGCAGCTAGAATATGTGCAAACACTTTGCGCTCCTTAAGGTAATCAGGGTCTACCAGGATAACGCCATCTATAAAACAAATGTCCTTTCAGATTACATTCTTCCGCCATAACTTCGAATTCATTAATTATATACTAAAACCTGCTCATAGCATGCATACAGGTGTTTTACTTCTTTTCAAATTATTTTTCATGGATAAATGAAGAGATTGGGGAAGCAGTTCTTCATTGCTACATGGGGAGAAAAATGCTAAGCTACAGAACAAGAACAATTCAATTTTATATGATATCATATTTCGTATATCTCTTTAATATGATTTGAAATATGCATCCCCCTTACCAATGGAAGACATACCTAGAGACCCATTGAGACCCCTTCCTGAGTGCCCCTTCAACAGAGTGAAAGAGGAGACTCTTCAATAGGGTAAGGAAGCCTTTCAACAAGGTAAACAGGCCCTTCAACAAGGGGAAGTGATGATGTATTTCATGATTTTTACATATTAGAGCAACTGTCTCTGCACATGTTATGATACTAAATCCTATACCGATTTATCTCAGTCCATGAATTTCCACTCAAATGCTCTGAACAAAGTAACTATTTTCTGGCACACAGTTTAGAGAATTGATCACAAGCTTGTTCACTTCATGCACTGATGCTTTCACTCTGCACCCTGATTGCTTTACTAAAACATGAACCAGCAGGTTCATTGGTTTGGGCATACCTTTAGTCAAAACAAATGTTCCATATTATCCAAATTTGCAATTAGACATGTATACAAATGTTGGAAGTGTAAAAACAAGAAAAGGAATTTGAGGAAAACGTTACATCTCTGTTAATACAGTAAAACCTCACTAATTTGAACACTACTGGGATAATAATAATATGTGGCTCATTAGGAGATAACAAATTTGGGATCAAGAGAAGGTGTTCATATTAAGAGATGTTCGTATTAGAGAGGTGTACATATAGTAATATGGTTCCAGTTTAACCCTTTTGGGTCTGGTACCTACAGCTACAGACTCTCTTAACCCTTACAATGTTGCATATAATGCCGCAGTCACATTTAATCTACGGCAACCATACCACGGCCGTAGCTTTCCAAAATCTAGAGAAATATGTAGCATAAAATATAGGGATAAGTAGTATCACGCGGTACTAACTCATCGGGGCGTATCGAAACCAAAACACCCCGCAAAACCGTTAATTTGAATTTCAAACCTACACTTTCTTTGGAAAATCAATGATTATGAGTCTCACACTACGCCGTTTTTCTTCAAACTTGTTCCATTCCAAAACACCCTGTTGGATCTATACACCTTATCAGTAGTCATAGACTCTGCGGGGCGTTTTGGAAGACAATGGGGTGTTTTGGTCAATTTCGAACAGTTGCGTAGGACTTTTCAAAATTGATGCGTTTCATGTAATAAATATGTTGATGCAGCGATGGATGGTTGTAATAAGAGTCCTTGCGCAGAATATGGGGGAGAGTGATAGAAGAACTGGCGAAATATCAAGGATTGTGGTTGAAATCTCTGAGGATTTGCAACTTCTGACATCTGGGGACCAAAACGCAGCTAAAACGAGGGACTTTGTAAACAAAAGCAATGTCTCGACTGAAAGGTGTTTCTTTTAATGGAACAAGTTTGAAGAAAAACGGCGTAGTGTGAGACTCACAATCATTGATTTTCCAAAGACAGGGTAGGTTTTGAATTTCAAATTAACGGTTTTGCGGGGCGTTTTGGTTTCGATACGCCCCGCTGAGTTAGTACCGCATGAGTATGATGTAAAATACTACAGTATATCAATTTTGTAAAGCTACGGCAGCTGTACACTCGCCATAGAGCAAATGTGACTGAGACTTAACACATACATACATACATGTCAATACTTTCAAAATGTAGTAAACAAGATATAAAACATTTTCCTCATAGAATATTCTCAAGAACTTAACCCTTGCTTGATCTCACCACTTCCTAAAAGGTTGAGATGGAACAGATGTATATTGAAGATTAGAGTTGCAATTCATACGGGGAAAATACAACTCAAATTCAACAATAAAGGAATTCCATACTCTCAACAGTAAATTCCTTGAAATAACTGTAGTTGAAATGATACCATTTAGAGCATTCTAGATGATGAAATAAACAATATAACTTACCAACAGGATCTATGTGAGACAGATGGTCTATGAAATCTCTCTTTCCTAAATATGTTGTAATCTGAAATATTCAATTAAAAGGCATAAATTAGTTACCCTGCCTGCAAATATAATATATACAGTAAAACCTGTATACAGTAAACACCTATAGAGCCACAAAGATGTGCTCATTGTAGGTAGGTGTTCATTACAGAGAGGGACAAAAGCCATCACACGATGACCACCTTAAGTGTTTCAACACATTTTGTTTCACCAAATTATTAAAAGTATATTTGTGATCCGATACTCGTATATTATAAATATAATTTTACACTCCTGACATTATCATGCAGAATGTTAAGTGCCCCAAGATGACATATGGATGCTCAATTATTCTTTAGTTGTGTGAATGTTGACAAAGATGATGGACACAAATTGAAGACAGCATGAACAAGTGATTGTAATTAGAGGTTATGTCACTATCGTGGCATATATGCCCGAGGTCTCAGTGATATATGGCCCGACCTTGGGAGGGACATTGATCTCTGAGAACCGAGGGCATATGTGCCACGATAGTGACATAAACGATTTATAACATACCTATGATGATGTAGACTGGTCAGAGATTACAGTTTTCTTATAGAATTGACAAACAAATGGTTTGAAAATGATTGAAATGAGTTTAGAAAAATTGCTCGCGCAGTTTTATCTTCGATTGATTGGTTATGACGTCAGCGCCTTGACCAATCAGAAAGTAATCAGGCGCGGGCTTTTCAAAACTTATATTGGCCCGCTGTCTTGTGTACACTTTGCACTATACATCAGCAAAGCTATGTTATAATAGTAGATATATGTGTCTATTGTGGATGTCATTGGGGATTGAATGTGCACGAGGGGATTAAATTACATTCACACATAGCTAGGCAAGGTGTGTCCGATTCCAGCCAATCCGAACAGAGTATTCACATAATGAACAGTGTGTGAAATATCAATAACACATGCAAGCTCAATAGTTAAACAGTTGTCATGGTGATGAATGGATTTTTCACATTGGATTTGATGACTTGCCAACTTGACCCTTGCAAAAAATGTCATTGAAAATGTGTTCTTTTAGTGACTTCGTTCCTTTTAGATGATTTTATAGAAAAAATTTGCAATGTGTGAAAAGAATTTAAGCCCACGACTCAATGCATTGTAGCTGCTTCATTCCATTCAGGCGTTGTTTCCTTAACTTTGTATTCACCCTGCGCGGTCATGCAAAGGTTTGGAAACAACACCTTCATGGTATGATTCAGCAAACAATGCATTGAGTCTTGGGGTTAAATCCATTATTATATCCTTCACCAGCTTGCAGCAAAAAAAGAAGATACCTTAACTAACACCTATGAAGAATAAATGCTGAATGAAGAAGCGATCAGCCATAGTTCATAGTTGACCTTATAATGTAACCTCTTCAATGCAGCTTTTCCTTTTTTGCAATTCATCCACATATCATATGAGTTCTAGACATCTTTTATGTGATGTTTAATCAACATAAGCATATTCTTTATTTCTTAAAATACCCCAAAACTATCAAAAGTCCAAATGTTGCTTAATAACACCAGAACCTAACATTTTGCTGTTCAAAGGCATGTTTCCAAAATTTTGAATCATTCGTTTTGTTTCTTAGCAATGTCATCAATCAGTGATGATTATATGACATAAATGACATCTCAGTAATTGACCAATAAAATATAAGAGAATGTCATGGCATCTTTGTGAAAATGCGAATATTGATATGAATAATAGTTGACTATGTATGTTGGTATGACAACTAGTTGAGTGTAAATATTGGAAGGAAAACTAGTTGAGTGTAAACATTAGTGTGAAAACTAGTTGAGTGTAAATATTGGTACAAAAACTAGTCAAGTGAAAATATGTGTATGAAAACTAGTAGAGTGAAAATATTTGTATGAAAACTAGTAGAGTGAAAATATTGGAATGAAAACTTAAGTTGAGTGTGTATGTTGGTATGAAAACTAGTTGAGTGTAAATATTGGTATGAAAATTGAATGAGTATTAGTTGATGGTGACATAAAAACAGTATGTAATGGAATGGTATAATATATAGACAAGGGATTGGTAAGTGTGTTCTATTATTATTATTACCCATGTGTATGATCAGAGACATAAATTATTTATATTCCCTGATATAATTGCAGTGACACCGACATGACTATTTACTTAATTCTTTCATGATTCACTACTTTTTCATAACAAGTACATTCTGAAATTCAGAACAAGACCATTGTAATATTACAATGCACCCCTGAGACACCATACTCTTAAACTGAGTTCTTAAACTTATTTCTTACTATTCCAATTCAATTCATCCTAAAAGTCGTTATTTGATATTTTGTAAGGTACAGATAATGTTTGTTGAAATAACCAATCAATCACTCAATCTTTCATCGCATCACCATAGCTACCTATTTCTCTGTTTATCTTCTCAAAATGATACATATTTTACCATAAGAGGGTACCTTGACACAAGCTTAATAAAAATCCAACATGATTACATTTCTTTTACCCTTTGCATTTGCTTCGACTTCGCTTCTCAAAAATGAGCTTTGTCTTCATCCTTTCAGTTTTCAATAAATCTCTGAACTCACCGAGCCAATCAGAGATCGTCATAGAAATATGGACAGCTTTCTATATATGGATATATCTACATTAGGTAGAGGGTAGTTTCAAAGTAGACTCTGTCTGTGAGCAGGGTATATTACTTTAGTATTACTTACACCAAATTGATAAAATTCAACAATACTATTTGTTTTCTGGGAAGGACATTCAATTGATCTTCTTTCATTGTCTGGGACAAGACTACCCCTTATAAAAAAATTCATTAATTTCACAGTGTTCAAAAATCTCTCATAAGGTCTGAATTAAATTCTAAAATTCATCTAATTTCTGAAGAATGTAAAGTGAAATATTCATGTTTGGTATACTTTATTACATTCTCTGGTTATCTCTCATTTTCCTGTTTGTTTTCAAGTGGGAGTAATCGCCACGGTGATATCTGTGATGTATGAACTTACATACAGGTGTTTTCATCCTACAGTATTCCTATTTCAACCCATCTTTAAAATGCCACCTGCTTGTACTTATTTCAAACATTTCTCTTCAAAATTTGAATAAAGTTGCTAACTTTCTGAGATTCCCATATCATGGAGAATACAGTCTCTGAACCAGTTTATTTTCTTCTTCATATATTCCTCTCTTTCAATGAGTATTTCATGTTTAAAACTTGACTACCATGAAATGATGTTATTGACTGATATACATTTTATATATAATCCATAAAGGAGACTCATAGACATAGCTATGTACTTCAATAATATAAACTGCCTATTGTCTCAGCAAGATTTAATTCAGAATCAGACTGAGTTCATGAATATAACAATTCTAGTGTTTGCAGTGATCATCATTCTGATACTCATAGCATCTCTCTCTGTTGCATCACCAGAAGGAAGAGATGGAGAGGGCGTGGCTTACCACGATGCCAAATCATATTAGTTATTTCTTAAAGCAACTACTATACACAGATATTAAAATGATAAAATGGTTACAAACGTGTAACAATCTGTTACAGATGTCAACCATCAATACTAAACAGTGAATGCCAAACACTGAATACCAAACACTGAATGCCAAACACAGAATACTAAACAGTGAATACCAAACACTGAATGCATATACAAAAATAGTCACTATTAATTAACAATAACTTGTGAAACTGATGTAAAGTAGATTTGTAGTTATAGTTGAGCTTTCGTATACTGTAGTGACTGATATGTCATTTATATGAATAAAAAATATAAAAGATATAAATATGTCACGGTCACCTGGTAGTGATACTAAATAACTTAATACAATATGTAAGATAAGAAAAGATATGGCAAAAATAAATAATAGAAGTTTGGTATAAAAAGCTAATAATATATAGGCAAGGATATTTTTCAGTCAAAAGATAAGAATTATATTCGATGCTTGATGTCTCAAATATCACATCAGTCTTGCCCCACATTTCAAATTTCTTGTCATTTTTCAAGTTCTGCCTCTAATCTGAGATTACTTAATGCTATCATGACATTCTTAAAGCAGGAAATAATAGAGACAAAATATGAACACTAAAATAATGTGCCGACTCGCACTGACAAGGATAATGTATTTTTTATTTGACTTCATATTCATGATATTTGGATGTTTATTTTTCTAATTTACCCATTAATATAACATAAAACAGAGAATCTCATTCTTATGGAAGGTTTGCCTTTTGTAATATGTGATCTTAGAAGAGTAGCATTCATTCTATTTGCTTAATATCTTCATTTCTTTTTTATCAAAATACATATGCTTTTTATTACACTCCCTATATCCATCTTTTTCAAGCCTTTTAAAAAGTCTCATTTGTGAATATCATGCATTTTACAGTATAAACAATTGAGAACTTTTACATTCATAGTTTAATACAAGCCTTTCTGTTTTTAGAGTAGAGTAGCCTACACTTTAAAATCCAATCAACATAATGTTGTTTTATTAATGCTATTGTTTTCTTAATATATGTTTTCTTGCTTACCTTTCCATTTGGACTGCTCTTCTTGAATACTCTGAAATACACAGAAAAAACAAGATATTAGCATTAAATTATAGTACTTTGTGAACCCTATATTGCTACATGCATTATGTACCAGACCATGCATTAATTAGAAACAATGCACTTAATTAATTATATATATTACATCACATCACTCATACTGTGCAATGTGTATTATGTTATGTACCAAACCATGTATTACTTAAATACAATGCATTATGTTGAATTAACCATCCAATTCTTAACATAACAGCTTTATAAATAAACACTTGCATTTTTTTATAAATCTTGCATTAACCTAAAACATTGCATTATCTGATAAACCTTGCATAATAATATATTAACCTTGCATTAATCTTAAACTTTGCATTACCTTAATTTCATCTTAACCCAGTTATACTTCATGGTGGTATTCAATCATTTGTTTATCTAAATCTTGTATTTTTGTCTTTTCATCTGAATTCCAGAGTGTCAACAATCAGACTATTTTCTTTTCCGTCACATATAGCCTGTTTTCCGTCATATACCACCAGTTACATCATAGAATTATCTACCACTTTTTAAATGAATAAATCTTTCTGTAATATCTCTGAACATGGTCAGAATGGTAGAAATCCATCCCCGAGGGCTCATTTACTACATGTTATATTCAAAACCAATGGACCATATAAAGTGTGAACTTTTCATTAAAGTCAATGAACTTTCTTTTGCCTTTTGCCCCCATAAAAACACCCACACAAAATGTATCATCTTGAAGTTCATGCTATAGAGGAGAAATAATTGAGAAAGAGAGGGGAATAGCTGAGAATAATACATATCTGGGACAAATCTAAATGCTTTAAAATTGATATAGAGAAATGTAAGACTTCAGGTTCTTCTTCATGATAAATCACAAGAAATAATAGTTTACAGAGTGAGTTTTAGGCAGAGGATGATAGATCTTTCTCAGGGACCCAACTTTCACTTTCTGGTGCCCATCTTCATCAATCAAACCCAGCTAGAAAAACAAGGAATAATTTGAGTCTTTAAGACTTAAGTTTATCGAAGTGAATACACTAATATACAGGCACAAATGTAATTATTACAAATGTAATTATTACATTTGGAGGAGGGGACAAAGTCTATTATTTTTTGCTGGTATAAATAAATAAATCTTGAGAGAAAGAGACTTTTGAGAAAAATCAATATAGTTTTTGGGGAGGGGCTTATATCTGAAATATAATGAATTATATTTTTTAAAACATGAGTGGAAATTTTAAGTTAAATTCATCGATGTAATGATGTCATAGATGTAATTCAGAAACTTTCTCAAATGGGTTAATTTCACCATCCATCTCTCTGTAGCGTTATTAATGTATGTACTGTACGATATATAAATGTGTCACTTAAATGTCATTGTTTACGTCATACATAATCTGCTATACAGTCGATATCGATCATGTACGTAGATGATAGGGATTTTCCCTTGTTGTGCAATAGAAAATAATTAAAAAGAGTAATTGGCAAACATTTTGTCTTTTATATATTTCTAAAGCCATGTGCCCTGGGATTTAACAGTTATTTCCTTTCTGTATTCTCTGGGGCTCCCACTTTGAATAAAAAATAATGAATCCAAAGAATTACATTTTTATATAATCTTTCAAACCCATGCATTGCTCAACTTCAATGCTATTCTCTTAACCATCCAGTGTTGATTCAAGTCCTTATGCACCCCCCCCCCCCTCTCCTGCTACACACCTCAGTTCCATACTATATCATCCATTTTTACAATGGGACAACAGGACCACCCAGCCAATTCTATATATTGTACACACATTAATTATTTTACATGGTATTCATCCCAGACTCTGCCTAGATACATCGGATAGAAAGCAAGTAATTAATAACAATTTCTGAACACAAATAATGTTTTCATCTCAATGAATATCCATTGCTGATAACGCATTGTATTGAGATGAATAATGAGAAACTTTGTATTCATCTTATTGTTGGTACTTGGAAACTGTTTTTCTATTGCCTCTAAATAATACATAGAATATAGATAGCATTAATGAATTAGTTTACCTTTTGAAAGAGACAACCTTTATCTATTTTTTGCATTTAAAATAATTTTTTGATTTAACCAATATTCAAAACACATACAGTTAAACCTGTCTCAGTGAAACACCTTTGGTATCTCTAAAAAGTGTTCTACTTTGGTGGGGTGCTACTTATAGAGGTTCATTTCACATTAAGTCAGGTGGTCTTAGGACACTGATGGTGTTAAACTAACAGAGGTGTTCCACTTTTTGAGGTGTTCCACTTCTTGAGGTGTTCCATTTTACAGGCTTCACCGTAATTGGAAAACTTTCTACCTCGTCAGTACGTTAACATACATTTCACAGTCAAACTGCTATAAAAGGTAATGAAAGCTTTCTAATGGATCTACTGCCTTATACTCTCTCAAGTAAGATAAAGAGGGCTCTGCTAAATCAGAATGCCATGAAAGTGACAAAATCGCACTGTGAAGAGCAATGGCTGCCTTCGATATTCATTTAGATTTTATTGAAGTATTACCACTCTTTTGATTCATAATAGTGAATTTTCAGTAGGATGAATTAAGATCTGAATTAGTGGCAATAAAACCTATTTCAATAAATACACCATGAGACAAAACATCAGGAACAAAACTGTATGAGATTGAGAATTGTTTCTATTACAGATCCTTGTATAATCGATTCTCTTATTGTCTATATCATCAATAATAATCTGCAAAAGGCTAATAATCCCATTTCAAGCAGATATATAATTTAACAGTGATAGAATTACAATATCATATAATTTAAACCTTATATTATCTATAATTCTACTGAGCATCAGCAAAACTTTATACCTGACATAAAACTACTGTATAAGTGATATCTAATCTGAGTGGTCAATTTGCCGAATGGTCAAATTTGATCATTTTCCTTATTTTAATTTTCTTAATGACAAGAAACAACCCATTCGATAACATTTATAACATTTCTGACATTTAATTTTCTGAACCTGGCAAAAGTTAGGCAATTGGCAAATTAAATGATTAGGCAAAATTACCATTTATACAGTATACCAGTATAAAAACTTTAAAGCTGACATAAAACATATACGAGTATGAATTAATTAGTCATTTCATTTACTGCCCTACAATTGTTTCATATAGGTCACACAGTATTTCATCATTCAGTATACATTAATTGAATACAGAAGGAAACTACTTTATTATAATCAAGCCTGATTTGCTGGTTTTGATATAAAAATTGCATACAGTTTCTATCCAGTTTCTAACAGCCATTTATGAAAATACATTAACATACAGTGGTGCAACCACTTACACATTATATGATATAAGCATAATAATAAGCCAGATAGATTGTAGACAAGATGGAATATATATTCAAATATAAGTATTCAAAGCTTTTATACTATAAGGTTAAGATTGGTTTAAAACAATATTTCGATAGTAACATCAGTGAATTTGGACAAAATGAATATCCCATCACATCTGTCAAAAGGTCCTCATCTCTTATTTGGTATAAATTCATTTTCAAACCCTTGGGATATTATTTCCTTATTTCCACATGGTTCCTACTCACCTAGATTACCTTATATTTAATTCCACTATAAAACTCGGCACGTGGTCTCGACTTATATCGTCAAGATATAATATTAATGATCTATATGATGGATAGATCTATAAACAGTAATTGCACATTTGACCTTCTCCCTAGCTCACGCTATTAGACAGTTAGACCTAACTCTTTTATATTTCTCCTATTTTTGTCGCTATTCTTGACTAAATACTATAATTTTAGATTTTTTGTAACTCTCAAAAATGTTATTCCACAAACTAAATTTTTATTCACTGAGCCCTCTTGATTAACAAATATCAGCCTCTATTCCAGGAAATGAGGAAAATGAATAATCTCATGCACTTACCGTGTAAATATATTTGGATCTTGATTCGTTGTCATGTCTGAATTATTGCTGTTGTTTGGAATTCTTCATTAGCTAAATGTCTGTAAGTTTATAGAATGGCCTATTCTTGAAATGCCATATGCGGATTTACTTATGGACACCTACTCTAAATTTTCATAGAATAACACCTTTATCTGACCTTTCCTTGTAGATTTGGATTACCTGTTTTTCATAGTAGGGTAGGGGTCATGGAAGGACCTGATAAAAATGGTGAGTTTATGTCTAATGATGTTATGGTTCAACTGCGAGAGTGTTTTTAGCAAGAGGAAATGTGTCAAACATTAATCTATATTAGTACAGAAGCGTATGTACATACAGACTACACCGGATAGATTATCAATACCACTGTGTTTTAATTAAAACAATCGCTAATTCTCCTTCTCTTATATCCTATGATATCCAGTTTTCCCTTAGAAAAAATCTTGCAGATTGTGACTAGACAAAAGATCACGCTGACGTCAAACTGTAATAACAGGAACATACACTTGAACCTAATGTCTGCTATTTCTATTGTGTATAAATTGATTCTTAGACTCATCTTTTCTTAAATCATTACAAGAATAAGTGGAATAAGTGAGGCATAAAATAGTACAGGCCCTAACGTTTTATAATCTCAAAGAAGCTCAAGAAAACCTCTTCTAATCTTCAAATTTCAAAAAGAAAGTCTGATATTGCATGTGTTGGATAACTGTTGTATTTTAATGGAAATAACTTGGATTATGGAAATAATTTGGATTTTCATACATTGAGAAGATGATAATATATAGTGATGACTACAATGCCATCTATCATGAAAGAAAGATAATACATTATACATTATCATTGAATGTTACATTATTTCATTTTCATCATAAAGATAAACAAATTCACAAACTAACCAATCTGAAACTAAAATTTGTATTATTGAATACCTCTCTCTTGTGAACACCTGTCTCTAGTGAACACCCTTCCCCTGCACATACTCTATTGAGTTCAGTGTGAACTACCCTCTCTGTATGTAGTAAACACCTGTCTCTAGTGAACACCCTTCCCCTGCACATACTCTATTGAGTTCTGTGTGAATTACCCTCTCTGTATGTAGTAAACACCTGTCTCTAGTGAACACCCTTCCCCTGCACATACTCTATTGAGTTCAGTGTGAATTACCCTCTCTGTATGTAGTAAACACCTGTCTCTAGTGAACACCCTTCCCCTGCACATACTCTATTGAGTTCTGTGTGAATTACCCTCTCTGTATGTAGTAAACACCTGTCTCTAGTGAACACCCTTCCCCTGCACATACTCTATTGAGTTCAGTGTGAATTACCCTCTCTGTATGTAGTAAACACCTGTCTCTAGTGAACACCCTTCCCCTGCACATACTCTATTGAGTTCTGTGTGAATTACCCTCTCTGTATGTAGTAAACACCTGTCTCTAGTGAACACCCTTCCCCTGCACATACTCTATTGAGTTCAGTGTGAATTACCCTCTCTGTATGTAGTAAACACCTGTCTCTAGTGAACACCCTTCCCCTGCACATACTCTATTGAGTTCTGTGTGAATAACCCTCTCTGTATGTAGTAAACACCTGTCTCTAGTGAACACCCTTCCCCTGCACATACTCTATTGAGTTCAGTGTGAATTACCCTCTCTGTATGTAGTAAACACCTGTCTCTAGTGAACACCCTTCCCCTGCACATACTCTATTGAGTTCTGTGTGAATTACCCTCTCTGTATGTAGTAAACACCTGTCTCTAGTGAACACCCTTCCCCTGCACATACTCTATTCAGTTCAGTGTGAATTACCCTCTCTGTATGTAGTAAACACCTGTCTCTAGTGAACACCCTTCCCCTGCACATACTCTATTGAGTTCTGTGTGAATTACCCTCTCTGTATGTAGTAAACACCTGTCTCTAGTGAACACCCTTCCCCTGCATATACTCTATTGAGTTCTGTGTGAATTACCCTCTCTGTATGTAGTAAACACCTGTCTCTAGTGAACACCCTTCCCCTGCACATACTCTATTGAGTTCAGTGTGAATTACACTCTCTGTATGTAGTAAACACCTATCAACACTGAACAATAATACTAATAACCTCCATTTCAGCGGGCAACATAGTGAAATATTGGACCCCCGGCCTTCAATCTACCTTAAGAATAGATCTTAGAATCCCTGTCAGAATGCTATAGATCAGTTAACTGCATCCATATAGTAGTGCACAGCCAAAAAAATTAGAAAAATAAATATCACTGATGATCTTTTTAGTTGTTAAATACTCTACAGATCCTATATTTATTTCTCTGCATTTAATAGATCATCAATGGATATCTTGCTATATCAATAATCAAAACTACTAAAACTAGTAATGCATTACCCTTTGCATTCGTTTGACTTCACTTCTTAAAAGAGAGCTTCGTCTTCACTCTTTCAAACTAAAATAAACCTATGAACTCACCGCGCCAATCAGTGTTCGTCGCCCAAATTTGACCGATGTTCTATATATGCTTATTCCTTCTGACGTCATCGTTGAGCCCGGAATTGACCAATGACATGCGCATATTTAATTAGAACGCATTTGGCATATGTTTCTTCAAGCTCGCTGATTGGTGGAAGAAAGGTCAGTGCGTAGGTCAAAAGTGATTTATTACCCAAACTGTCACCGGTACCCGTCGTGGGGGCGGGGCTACTAACTGTAATATGGTCTCTACTAGGCAGAGTGTAGTTTAACTAGACTCTGCACGCAGGGTTGTAATGCATTAAACTTAACATAAAAGTCACATGTGTGCTCACTGGAACTGTGATCTCATTAGAGAGAATACGGTTGTTAACTTTTTCTACAAAGATGTTAGAAGTTTTAATTAGATCTTGAGCACTTGGAGATGGTTAAATTATAGAAAGAAAAGAGAAACTTATCAGGGAAAGACTTAATTATCATATATGAAGACAGTAGGGTAAATGAACTTTAGAGATTATTAGACCAATGAACTACCACTTTATGTTTACCATCCATTTACGTATATATAATATAAGGCATTTTGCTTCTTCAATAAGCTACCAAAAATACATGCATGCCTTCCTAAAGCATATAATGCAGAGGTAACAAAATGTTGCCAACGTTTTCTGTGTTTTTTTATTAAAAAAGTATTTTCACTGTTAGCTTTAGCTTGACAGTAAACGATGAATCAACCATTGATTGGCCTTAATTATCTCCTATGTTTATGTGTGATATGTGCTGTGTTTTAATTAAATTGAGAAATCAGTTACTATGCCAATAGCCAGTATAAGTTCATCGTCACCTCACCTAGGTATATTACATAGATTTATTAAAAAACATGTGCAATACTGCCAATTAAAGTCTATTTAATCAGCTACCATTCTTAAATATGGTGTTTCTGAGGGGGCAAAAAACTTGGAACTACATTGGGCATTGAATAGCCACGCATATTAAATGTTATAATATATGAACTTGTAATATAAATGATTAATAAAAAATAGCCACGTGTGAAAGAAAAGTATAAATGCACTACCAGACAATTGAAACTCTAAAAATCAAGTCTAAATAATAATTTTATATTGTTTTTAATCCATATTTGCCTCACCTATTCAAATTCACCTATTCATATTTGCCTCACCTATTCAAATTTGCCTCACCCATTCATATTTGACTCACCTATTCATATTTGCCTCACCTATTCATATTTGCCTCACCTATTCAAATTTGTCTCACATATTCATATTTGCCTCACCTATTCATATTTACCTTGCCTTCTTATTGCAGGTCATAGTGTGAAAACATGTACCAAATATTAATGTTGTCTGAAGATGATACAATCTCAAGACATTTGTCCAATCAGTCAGAATTACCTGTATGTTACCATGGCAACTGATTATTTTCTGCAGATTAGTTTTTTGGTTAATCAAATGTGACACTGGGCTTTATTAATTGAACCTCTTAGGTATGAAGTAATGGAACACTTTTTCTCGTTGTCAGCTTCTTCAGACTGGGTAAAATATCAATGTTTTTAAAGAAACCTTATCTTCCTCTCTCCTTAGACCAATCTCCCTCTCTCCTTATACCCATCTCCCTCTCTCCTTAGACCAATCTCCCTCTCTCCTTAGACCAATCTCCCTCTCTCCTTATACCCATCTCCCTCTCTCCTTAGACCAATCTCCCTCTCTCCTTAGACCCTCTCTCCTTAGACCAACCTCCCTCTCTCCTTATACATTTCTCCCTCTCTCCTTATACCCATCTCCTTCTATCCTTTAAGACCAATCTTCCTCTCTCCTTATACATTTCTCACTCTCTCCTTATTAGTGTTGTTGCGATTAATCGATACATCGCGATATACATCGCCAAAGCTGATTCTGGCGATGCATCGATGTCTGAAAAAAAACATCGATGTTTTAAAAAAAATTTAATATGCTAAATATATCCCCCTTTCTTATCTTATTTTGACGCAAATCGCTTACCTTTCTCATATCTTATTTCATTTTCCAATTTTTCTGATATTTTTGCTTTAAAACTGTTTTAGCTAGTCGAAATGAACCATTAATCTAAAAAATTACTTTATTTTCATTTCACCGTTAGTAGAAGTTCCCGGATGTGCCAGCGTACTATTATTAATTTGTTCTGTTCAGTAATTTAGTGCATTAGCGTTTAGTATTTCAGTGCACTTTTCTCGGACTTTTTCTCGATGTACATCGCGATGTGCATCGATGTTTACTACTGAAAATTGCTGATGCATCGATGTACGATCATGGCACATCGCGACAACACTACTCCTTATACAATTCTCCCTCTCTCCTTATACCCATCTCCCTCTCTCCTTAGACCAATCTCCCTCTTCTTCATTATACCCATCTACCTCTGATCTTTGAGTTTCTCCCTCTCTCCTTAGACTCATCTCCTTCTGTCATTAGTTCATCAAACACCGAATATACATTATCATCTACACATTGGTTAAGGTTACATGTAATTCTCAAATGAAACCTGAATTCAAACCCTCCTCCCTTTTACCATAACAGAATTAGTTCCACAAATAATATTGTTACATTGTTATGAAGCATCATATGTTGCATTAGGGCCCCGTTCTCCCGAAACTCTCTCAAATCTCTCCATGAGGAAATGTTGAATGGGCCCTTGAGGCTCATGTTATTACAAGCACACATATAATTGGCTAAGATCTGTCATCATACTAAAACCATTTAAAGCTGCCTTTTTCGAAAAAAACGCAATCTTGGGTTGTTCCCGGGTCCCGAGTGATATTTTGAGCTATAATGAGAGAATATACAATAATAAACAAATGGGGAAAATGCTGTGCAAAAATACTTATGATAAAGGTGTTATTATGATGACTGGTCCTTCTATTGCTCGGATGATCAGCCGGGCATTTGTTTTTTGAATATTTCTAATTTTTTATTCTAATTATATTGTTGGCTTTGATTCTACGCTTAAAAACATTTATAACTACGTCAACTTTATATTAAAACATTTATTATCTTGTCAGTTGTATTTAAATGTAAAAAGTAATATATGTCAGCTTATTGCCTTTTCGAGAACAGGCAAGGTTTAACTGCAAAATAGGTGGCATTAGGTAGTTGCCCACAAATTCTAAATAATAATATCTACATGTAAAATTCTACACCGAGTATTATCTAGATGTACTTGAAATATAAGATGGAATATGCACATTACAAAGTAAGCATAATTGATAGAGATAGAGATGAATACCCCCCCCCCTTCTCTACCATTTCAGCAGTACACAGCTGAAGCCAACATAAAATATTTGACCAAAAATAAGAAAGTCATTAACACAGATTATGAAGGATATTTCTGAGCCAAGATAGTACAAAAATAACTCCTTTTGATAAAAAATCTCTTCAACTTACTTCCTAGGATCCATTATCTCAAAATAATAGGATTATTTTGTGCAGACACAGGTCATGTTGATGTCATAGTTTTTCCATAATAAATCTATGAACAAAGGAGGTACTTATTTCCCAGCACTAGTGCATTACAAGTTCACATTAATCCCATAAATCCTTGTGTCTTCCTCTACTTCCACTGCATAAACGACGAAAAAGCATGAATCTGTCATAAATGTTCAACCAATAATATACTACTAATTATATGGCAGGTTAACAAGTTTCACTATTGACCTCTGAACAAAATGACACATAGGCCATCCATATTATTGCAAAATGACTGAAAATCAATAACAAAATCTATGAATACACTGAACAGAAAATTTGGTAATAATCTCAATTCTATAAAAAATCCAAAATTAAACAATTATTCAACCTGAAGTGAGGAAAAAGAATGAAATAAAGCAGATCTAGAGCATGAGTTTAAATGTGAAAGATTTACTTTAGTATTGACAAATACTAATCAATGACTCCACATGTATAGTACTATGTATAAATCTATTGTTAATATTTGAGTTAATTGACCATTTGTACAGTAACTTGGTCAGCTGGTTCATTAATAGTGTTCATGTAATATGTAATAACTACACGTGTTGTCTTACAAAAGACCATTTGCCATAACTTGGCTATGGAGCTCAACTTGACAATGGGTGATAGGAGAACTATGATTTTAGTCTTAATTTTACATTGAATGAGATTTAATTCTGTGATACCTTGATAATGGTTCTTTAATACAGTCCATCAAAATGTTTTACAGATCTCAATAAATTCTGGTCTATCATAAAAACAAGAATTACCAGGACATTTTTCATCAAATTATGTCAAAATGGACATGATGTATGTTACTTCAATGATTTGACCAACAAAAGTAGAGAATTTGTTTCGTTTTGGCGAGGGGTAGATTAGGTTTGGATTACTAGGGAACAGACATGGATTCATAACGATATGTTATAGAAAGGATAATTATCAGATTTGTAAAAATAAAATTGATGAAGTTAAATGCAGGAAAGTCATATTTATAATTAATCAACTCCCAGATCATTAATAGCAAGGATTAGTTAGGCATCCGACCTTTTATAAAGCTTTTGCTATGAATGATCAACAATGATTGGCTGACTAGTAGTCACATGATCAAGCTAAGTGAGCTGGGTAAGAGCATTGTGCATAAAAAACAAGCTTCGGAATTCCTAATGCAACAATAATAGGTTGACCCTTCATAGTTTAAACATCAATTATAAAAAATCCAAATCCATAAGAAAACGTTATAATTAATCAAACATCAGAAAATACTCTGGCAAATGATATGATCAATTGAAAAACAAACGATTACACCTTTAATGGTACCATTGCCACATAGTGAAGAAGCAGATTTCTCTAAAATAGAGTAAGAGTTGGTAATAATAATAAGTTGTAAAAAATAAGCCTGAACCCACATAAAGTGAATACAAGGCATTAACATGACAAAATGTCACCACCTAGTTGCTCACAATATTATGAGTTCAAACTTAAGTCAGATTTGAATTTCTGAGAGCTTGTAAATGACTAATATGTCAGGTCATGACATCTAAAGAGTCAATAAAAGATATATATAAATCAAATTTGAACTTCTGAAAAGATGTAGATGATTTTGAAAAAAAAATTTGGTCAATTTGAAGCAAGTTGAAAACAGACCTTTTTGACCTTTTTTGACCTTGAGAAGGTCATTAAAGGTCAAATGTCAAATCTAAAGTCAGATTTGAATTTCTGAGAACATGTAGATGATTTTGAAAAAAAAAATTAGTCAATTTGAAGCAAGTTGAAAAAAGACCTTTTTGACTTTTTTTAACCTTGAGAAGGACATTGAAGGTCAAATGTCAAATCTTAAGTCAAATCTAAAGTCATATTTGAACTTCTGAGAACATGTAGATGATTTTGAAAAAAAATTTAGTCAATTTGAAGCAAGATGAAAAAAAACCTTTTTGACCTTTTTTGACATTGAGAAGGTCATTGAAGGTCAAATGTCAAATCTAAAGTCAGATTTGAATTTCTGAGAACATGTAGATGATTTTGAAAAAAAATTTAGTCAATTTGAAGCAAGTTGAAAAAAGACCTTTCTGACCTTTTTTGACCTTGAGAAGGTCATTGAAGGTCAAATGTCAAATCTTAAGTCAAATCTTAAGTCAGATTTGAATTTCTGAGAACACGTAGATGATTTTGAAAAAAAAATTTAGTCAATTTGAAGCAAGTTGAAAACAGACCTTTTTGACCTTTTTTGACCTTGAGAAGGTCATTGAAGGTCAAATGTCAAATCTTAAGTCAAATCTTAAGTCAGATTTGAATTTCTGAGAACACGTAGATGATTTTGAAAAAAAAATTTAGTCAAATTGAAGCAAGTTGAAAACAGACCTTTTTGACCTTTTTTGACCTTGAGAAGGTCATTGAAGGTCAAATGTCAAATCTAAAGTCAGATTTGAATTTCTGAGAACATGTAGATGATTTTGAAAAAAGAATTTAGTCAATTTGAAGCAAGTTGAAAAAAGACCTTTTTGACCTTTTTTGACTTTGAGAAGGTCATTGAAGGTCAAATGTCAAATCTTAAGTCAAATCTAAAGTCAGATTTGAATTTCTGTGAACACGTAGATGATTTTGAAAAATTTTTTTAGTCAATTTGAAGCAAGTTGAAAACAGACCTTTTTGACCTTTTTTGACCTTGAGAAGGTCATTGAAGGTCAAATGTCAAATCTTAAGTCAAATCTTAAGTCAGATTTGAATTTCTGAGAACACGTAGATGATTTTGAAAAAAAAATTTAGTCAATTTGAAGCAAGTTGAAACCAGACCTTTTTGACCTTTTTTGACCTTGAGAAGGTCATTGAAGGTCAAATGTCAAATCTTAAGTCAGATTTGAAGGTGAAATGTCAAATCTAAAGTCAGATTTGAATTTCTGAGAACATGTAGATGATTTTGAAAAACGCCAACCGCTGTCGCAAAAAAAACGGAGACCATAACAATATGTCACCACTTTTGGTGGTGACATAATTATGAGCATTTGTTCTGATGAATACTAGTGTCCATTGCTATATAATCAAAATCAGAAACATATCTTAGAAGGCATTGATACAAAGATACATATTACAGATATGTTACCATAGTGCCCCATAGTGTCCCATAGTATCCCATAGTATCCCACAGTCCTCATCTATATTATAATGTTTATTCGACCAGTTAACAGTAGTTAAATAGGAGCTAAGGTGAAGCCTTTAACCTTCTGCACTCCGACTTATTTCAGCAAATATATCCCACGCATCTGACTTATTTTTCAAAAATGATATGCCTGGACTAAATAATTAATATCTCAATAACTACTGAATGAATCTGGATAAAATTTTCACAAAGGGAAGATACACTAGCGTGGCTCATGAGAAAAATGTTCTCATGAATTTTTTTCGTACATAAACACGACTGGGCTTGAATATACCATGAATACTCCTCCAGAATCCGCCGTTTCGCCCCTCGGGAGATTCAACGTCTGGTCAGAATCCAAAACTGAATTTGCAGAGATCGAATGTTCTTCTTTTCAGTTCAGAAAATATTCTAGTTTCTATTTTCGATGACCATTATCGGCTTCCAAGAGCCTAAAGAGCTCGAAATCGCAATCCATTTCCTCCACATTTTTGTTGTGATCGTATTTGGCCGTCATTTTGTACGATTTGTTCACTAAAAACGACTTAAACACTGTTGAATTGTTGAATTGAGAAATATTTTTCGAAACATCGCCATTTCTAGGTCAACAGGAAGTCACCTACTAAGGACTGAATAAATCGGGCAATCTAATTGGATCATAAGAACGGCGGGAAAAAGTAAAGTTTTCAAAAGTTAGATTTGTGTCGTCCGGATCCGCCGGTGGATTCTGGGGGTAGTTTTGAATGGGCGGACGCGGTCGCCGGTGGTCTGCTAAAGGTTAAGGAGGCAACTCAGAAATTGGTTTGGCAAGTCTTAAATCTTGCTTTACTTTGTCCCTCAGACTGAGTCTGTTCTAAAAAATTTCCCTTAATTTGAAGTTTTTCAGAGTTTAATATTTCTATATTATAACTTTGACCCAATTAATTTCAGCCATTCACATGTACCAGTATTTCTCTTTGCTTCTCGTTTTTCCTCTTTATTTCACATTCCAAACATGATAACTATGATGCTTTTTGTGTGGGTAGGTAGCTATAAATTTTTATACACTTCAAAATGCCAGTAAAGGAAATAAGAAATCTTCATTGCACAATTATGGAGAGAACTTCTAATGACTTCTAGGCCAGAGTAAGTTTAAGCGATTAACATCAGGCAATATGTAACCATTAGCTGGGCTCCAAACGTAAACCAAAACTGTTGTGTTGCACGGTTCTTAACACTCAGTTTGTACGTTGAGTTCGAAAACTGTACGATTCAGTTTTTTAACTGTGCGTTAATGTAGAAAACGATTGCTGTTCACGAAAACATTGCCAAATTCTCTAAAAAGTGAAGTAAAAAATGATTAGCGTCGAAGCAAGAGAAGGACTCAGCATTATTGATGCTCTTAAGTCATATAAAGCTCAATATTGGGGATGCTTTGGTTTTCCAACCTAGGATTATGTTCCAATTACGGAAAAGCGAATATGAAGGTTGTGCAAAGTTATTCTGATATATGAGAAATTATAAAACCATTCCAGCCCTAGTAATCACTAGCAACAATTGTTACAGACATTGATGTCAAACATCAGAACCAAATGCTAGTCATCTCTTATTACTTTGGTCTTTAGCTGTTTTCAGGATTTGCAGGACCTATGTGCTCATCTTATCTTTGAAACAAAGAATCTCAGGGACACTGAATGTATTACATAAGCCAATGAGGAAGAGATGGTTCTAGCATCATAACAAATCAACAAAAAAACAGAAGTTCTGTCATTGTGTATGTGATCGTGATGACATCAAGAGCAATTTCTTCTAAAATGGTTATAACACAAAGTTGGATCAACTGAAACCTTGAGATTCAACCCCTTTCCAAAATCAGAATAATGTAAAACAAAGAATTTAATTACACTAGCCTCATGCTGGGTGATGATTGCAAACCAACTCCAGGGAAATAGGTCTTTACATAAATGGCTCCAAAGGGAGCTGGGCTAAAGCAAGGAGTAATTTACTTGCCATTTAAGGTCTGAAATCTGAAAAATTG